CATCAAATTCATACCATGTCACAAGTAAGAGTGTTCGATTTTTTTTCATTTTATGAAGGTCACGTGCTTAAATTCTATCGACACATAATTCGCATTAATGTTTATGAAGGTACCCGTGATACATTTGTTACAGTGTAACTTCTTCGTGGGTACTTGTTTTATTTTTATTTTATTTTAGAGTGTATATTGCCGTTCATTGGGCACTCGTACTCTTCGGGGGTACTTGATTTTTATTTTCTTACAAATTATATAAATATCAATGACCAAGATTCAGTTGGCTTAAGTTCATTTCTATAACATTAAAAAATACAAATAAACAAAATTGTCTATCAGTAATCGAGTTAAAATATATAATAAGCCGTTTCTTCAGCCCAGTGTTAAAAAAAGTCTCGATACAACATACACGAACTCATAAAACGGTAATAATTTGATTGCGCAATACTCGTACTTCAAAACCAAAATATTTGTGACATAAATGGGTTTTAGAATTGAATTATTTTATTACCAAAACACACAACTACATCATACCTTTCCTATATAAGCTACAACGATGCAAAAATAAAGTTCAACAAGTTTATTGGTTTGAATAATTATTTTTTTTTCATTTCCATTATTTCGTTAATATAGATGTAATTGAGTATTTCAAACATTTTTATGAAGTACGTATTTAAAATAAAAAATAACACCGACTTTGTTTTATAGTGCTAAATTGTTATATCGATGAGCTGTACTTTAAAATTTAACTACCTCCGAATCATAATTATGCTAAATTTTACTTTCACCAATAATTTATACTTAAATGGTGCTAATTTCCAATTAAAGACAATAATATATACGGTAATTAAATCAAGCATTTAGTTTAAAATAATTAAAATTGTTATTAACTATATTTAATTTGATAATTTTACTGTTAAATCAAGATTCCGAATATATTTCAGAACATACTTTTCACAATTAATCACCATTAATACAGTTGGTTTATATGATTCAAAATCTTGTTTTATTCGCAAACTTCACAATTTGTTAATTTAAAGAGTTTAAATAATTATATGAATTATTAGATTGTATATTTTTGATTAAGTAGATAAAATTAGTTTTTTTAAATTGAAAGGAAAAAAATCAAAATAACAAGATGATACTATTCAAAATAAGCATTAACTTTTGTAGAAATTCATTATAAAGCAGCGAAGTACAAAACGTAGAACATAAGACTAAACTTTTAAGTAAATAAACTTGCCTTCGGCTCGTGATATAATCCCTCGTTTGGCTAAAAAATCACAATTTGCACCCCTTGAAAAATATGCTAATCTTGTAGCATAACTTTGCTTATTCTAATTAATCAAAATTGTATGGCATTTTTAGTTATAGAAGCAAATAATGAAAACAAGAAAAGAAAAATACCTAATAAATAAATAGGTTGTTTAAATGTTCCACAATAATTTTATTTCATATTACGCAATAAAATATGATTTTTGAATTTTGAAATAAATAGACTTATCGTGGTGAATAATTTAGAAGTTTTTAATTTTGTTGAACGTAAGGACTAGTGTTATCAAAATTCAACTTTATAGCCATGAACATTTGGAAGAATTGACTTGTTTTCTGTATCCGGTGCATCCGGGTTAGCATAGGCTTACATCCTAGATTTACGTTTTCTACTCCTTACCAAAGTAGAGTCTCTCAGCTGTTCTCAGTGAGCTAAAAAATTCTGAGATAATTCTTTCAAATTCAGTATTGGCTTCAAATCAAATGACCAATAAACTATTGAATTTAAAAATAATCGTTTATACCATTATTACCAAATTGATTTTAAAAAACTTTACCAAGTTTGATTCAAAAAATATTTTAAATATATTTGATGAAAAAGTTTTCAAAATAGTTTATTTTTTATTTCCAAAGACTAATTATTTTTCCTTTTACATATTTTTTTAAATAGAATACATCTTTTTTGATACGTGGGGCTTTGATTTTCTGATTGGTATAAAAAATACTGGTATAGAAAAGATGTTATAAATCGGAAAAATGTCGAATTTTTTGGATTAAAAAAAGGACACCATAAAATCAACGAAAACACGTTTTTGATTTTTATAACCCATGCGCGGCTTCTCTTGTATTAGCCGTTGTGTGGATACATCCACAAAGGAACACAGCGGCTATATAAAATATACTGGTAAAAAAATTTTTTATAAGGCTCAGATTAAGCCTGATTATAAAAGCATCAAGGAAAGAGAGTATAATGATTCGCGTATACATACGCCACGTGAGAGTCTTGCGGCCATTAAGGCTCACGTTGTCCACCTATAGCTCCGCCTATTTATAATGAATGCGTATATATATAAGAACGTCTTTTACATATTCCAAGAGTGGAACAGCTGTGTAGCTTTCGAAGTAGAAAAGAAATCTGTAAAGAACGTTGAAAAAGTTTTTCCCCACCAATGTAGCTCTGAATTCTATTGGCTCTTATACCGATGTCAGTCCCAAAAGATATTTCTCCCTCCAAGTTACCGGGTAAAAAAGAGGACGTCTGCAAATGGACCACAACAAGAAGTTATTATAAGAATAGGTAGAAATAGAAGGGAGATTTTTTTGTCTTTCGAAAGAATCGATGAAAACTTCCATTTAACGTCAAAATGGACGGTACCTCGCACCACCTGTTTTGATTTCATTTTAATTTGTTTTTTTTACTTTTCTAAAAAAACACCGCTTACAAAAATCAGAATTTATAGTCGGAAGTTGTATCACTGTTTTTTTTTTATTGAAGAGAATGATCTGTTTATGGATCCAAATTAAAACAGTATATCTTTAAACAAATACATAGTGTGATTCGGATCAAAATCGTTTGTTCAAGTTAGCATTAAAAATATTACAAAATTATTTGAAAAATGTTTCTTTTGCATATAATAAATAGCTCATTTTAAATCGAAGCAGGTAAAAGTTCTGATGGTCATTCTGTAAACTTAGACTAATTTTGTTAAATACTTATATTTTAAAATATATGGATAGTCTATACTTTAAAGTATATGCATTGTTCTGATCATTAAATTATAATTGTATATTTCTTTTTTGTAAGAGTGAGCGCTGCATATAGGTTGATAAAAGTATCTACGTTTAAAGTTGCTATTTAAAAAATGAAATATATATCAGAAAGTGAATAAAGTACGTTCTAAAAAAACATTTTTGTTATTCAATTTTATTTTGTTACTTTTTTAATATTTTTAAAAACTACGCTGATTTTAAATTTTGATTGGGCAGGCAAAATGCCAAGTTAATCTTTACCAGCTCCTGAAAATAAAAGTATGACGGTGTTGCACGTTGACATAACTATGCCTATCGGTATATAATTAGCTATCGGTGGTGCAAATTCCTTTTGTACATATGATACACGAAGGTCCACTTTGCCAATTTCCAGTTTTGTCTTTTTTCGATGTAAGATTTGCGATGTGACCACAGTATAACGTTTTACGAGGTCACTTTTTAAGGAATAATCATGAAAGGGATTATGGTTGAAAACTGAGTGAAATTATCTAAATTGAATAAATTGTATTTACAAAAAATGAACTAATGCGTAAAACTTAAAGAGGCGAAACGATACAATTCAACGTGTTTAGTTTGTATCAGCGCTATCATGCGCCTTTTTGCTTGATAAATAAATATGTTAAAATCTACCTCGTATTAGCCTAAAGTATCAACATTTCAGATTCTAAGTGCAACTTAGAATGAGTTTTTCTCGAAAACATCGAGCCGAGTTCGATAAACAAAAACAATCAAAATTTTAATTTAAAAATCTTATCAATTCTATTTCAACAATGCCTACTATGTAGATCATTGTTTTAATGACTGAACAATGTTAATTAAAAATGAGCTTTACTTATTAAATGATACTATATTTACTGAATATAATGATTTAACTCGATTAGAATATGTTCAGAGATTAACTACCAATGATAAGTAAGACATTTTGAAAAATGCTGCCCCTTATGGCGGTTTTTTTAAACTGGAACTAACAGTTTTAATGTAATGGATTCCTTTATCTTTTGCATTCAAAAAACTTACCCCAGCGAAATTATAACATAAAAAATAATTCAAAATCTTCAAAAGAGTGGGTATAATATTTTTTAAATTTCTCATATTATTTTCTAGAGAGTTGTCAGGAAATCCAAAAATTGTTGTTTCGGTGCGCAATTATGGTGTTCAAATAAGGTGGATTATTCTAACATCTTTACTGGAGAGAATCGTGTAATATTATTGTTTCAATACAAAAATTTAAATAATTTTTTTTCAATAAAAATAATGATAATAAAAGAGGAAAACTACATTAAAATCTTGTTGCTAATGGAAAGTAAAATTTGAATAACATATCATTATTTTTTATCATTTTTAAGAATGAAATATAAAAATAGATATTTTAAATGTACCAAACCAAATTGCTTCATTTATCAAAAGTAAAGAACCGGTAACTCAGCATAACATCCGCGAAAAGTAAATCAGTATACAGTTAACTTATCAACAAATTTTATTTTTAGTATTTAATACTTACATTCGGGTAATTATATTTCTATAATAAGTATTTGAATAACTTTAGTGAGTTAACTTTAAAAATTGCATTTTATAAATTACTTTTCTAGGGTATGGAGAATTTGTAAACTTAGTAATCATTTCAATTTATTCTGATACGCTGTATCATGGTTATTATTATAATTATGTTACGATAAAAATCATATTAAATTATTCAAATTGTATTCAAACGTAAAAAAGGTAGAAGTATAAAAAGATTTCTCTTTAGGTGACTGAAAACTAAAGACATAAATACATTTAGTACAGCTACTACTCGACTTCATGATCTAATTCTTTGCACGACGAGAAAAAGAGAGAGGGTATATGACCGGTATAGATTTCAACGCCGATATATGTGTTGGATTAAATACAACTAGTGTCTGCGTTAGTAAAGTTCGAATAAGCGTCATGTCGTCAGATATATGTAAAAATGTATAGATAAATCTCACTTCCCCTACTTTTTTTGTATATTTTAAAGCAGAACATTGATTTTACCAGTCACGCGGCACAACGTCAACACAGTATCGTTCTAGTGATATGCATGTATGGAACTATACATACTAAACGTTTTGTTTTTCAAGTTACTTGTTTTTACCACATTGAGTTGAATCCAAAAATTCATTATTTTCTTTTGTATAATTGTTATTCCAGTATTTGTTTCATATTGAATAATCTAGTTGTAACGTTTTTGGCATTATTAGTCAATTTTCATAACAGTTTTTTTGACAGTTTTTTTAAGCTAATAATTAAAAATTGTTCCAGGATTATGACTTCCAGAGGAATTTTAAGCATTCATGAAGTTAATTCATTACCAGATGAAAATTTTGAATGGTTATTTCACAATGTGATAGAATACAGCCCAGAGGCTGCTACAGCTGCAGTAAATAAAAAACCATTCTCTAGTACTGAAGATCTCAAGAAAGCTTTTGATGATTATTTAGATAAGCTTGATATGTCAGGTAAAGTTTTTTTATTTATTACAGCTTAAGATTATTCAAGAAAATACAATTCTCTTTTATTTTAAAAAGAAAAAGAAATTATATTATTGCATCATCCTGATTTGTCAAGCAAATATTCTGAAGTTATGTTGACTGCAGAGTCAAGAAATGAACAAAAATTGGCTGGTCTAGATACAATAAATCAATGCGATAAAGAATCCTTCATTAATAATTTAAGTCTGTGAGTGTGTGATAATAACCATGTAAATTTATAAATTATTTTAATTTTTAATAGTAATCAAATTACATTGTTTTGAAATAGGTACAAGGAAAAGTTTGGTTTTCCTTTTGTGATATGTGCAAGAGAAAATAACTTAAAATCAATTATGGATCAATTGTGCCAACGATTACATAACTGTAAAGAAACTGAACTTAAAGCAGGAATAGAAGAAGTAAAAAAAATATGTAGAATAAGAATAGATGATTTGGTTTGGCCTGATGTATAATACAATCTATTGACTTTTTAATGTTGAGATTTTTCTATTGAACATTTTATATGTGTATATAAGAAATTTATTAAAAGAACTTACAACTATATGCATTTAGCACTGTTTTATTTATTGAATATCACTATGCTGGCCAATCTTACAAGATTCCTAAACTTTTTTCCACCACAGCATGTGGCTGTCCCATTTGTTCTCTGAATTCAGCTGTATTCAAAATATCTTCAAAGCTGAAAAATAAAATAAAAATTATAGTTGATTATCAATTTAAATAAAAATTTTGCACAAATATACTGTAAAAATGTTTTACCCAATATCATCTTCACGTCCAAGAATAATATCCTTCATGAGATTTGAAGATGGCAAGAATGGAAGTCTACCAATTTTTTCAGCTGCTTTGATTTCCATCGCTAAACGCATTGGAGCATGAATTCCTTGTGTATTACGAAGAACTAACATTTCCATCTTTTCTTGGTTTTTATGAAACTGAAAATAATTAGTAGTATGTTCATTAGTTATACAAAAAAGTGCTCGATTACTCGATAAGATATTAGCTAATATCGTTAGATTCAATTACTTACATTCAATTGTGACTTTTCTAGTGGATGCGGGCATCCCATTTGCTTTCTAACACCGCCCAATCTTTAGTAAAAACAAGAAAAGAAACTTTAGTGTCATTGAATAGGAAAAGTTTAATTATTTCAATTGGTAACTCACCCAGAAACAAAAGCACTCTGGACGCCATAAGGACTACCACAGGAATTATCTGCAAAGCCTTTAGGCTCAGACTTTAAAGAATCAAATCCAAAACTCTGCAAAAAATAAAATATTTTTAAAAATGAATGTTTCTAAAATATAAGTGTTAAAATCCCGTAGATATAGATCAACTCATAAAAATCTTGAACTCAAAAATATTGACACAAACATAACCAAAAACGAAAGTTTATTATGTTTGATGTATAACTCGTATGTTAATGAAAAATTTATTTTGCCGAGATAAGAAATGAAATAATATTTTAAACTTACCATTTTGATATTATTAAATTAATTTATACAATTTTATGTGCGTTGAAAACTTGATAACGTCTTGACACAGCACAATATTTAGCGGTTCGACTGTGTATTATATGCGAGAATAAGGCAAGTCATGCATAGCAATCTGCTTTACCAACAAGTTTCACATTTATTGTTGACACTGTCAAGATATACAACTATTAGAACAGAGGGCTCAAAAAATTTGAATTATTTACAAAATTTAATCATTAGCTATCGAAGTTTTTGAAAAAGGTGAATTGTTTCATTAATATCAATGAAATGTATGCTTAAAATACCACATGTTTGACTATTTTCAAAAAATACGAATTTTTGAAACGTTTTTATTTTTATGTGGTATACGTTTGATTATAAGATGAAAAAAAGGGATTTTGAGAATTAAATTTAACATTTTCGGTACTTAGAACTCAATTAAAAAGATTTTTGTAAAATATTAGTAAAATCTTGAATTTTTTTAAAAATTAAATAAATAGATGACACAAATTTAAAAAATTAGTATCATTTTTTTAAATTTTCATTCAAATGTACTTAGGATTATAGATGTTGCCGTCGAATAAAATAGATTTGGTGTCGTTGTTTCTATAATCGAGAATAAGAATAGAAGATTAGCTACGACAAAGATTGGTTCTCTAGCCATGCGGAATCCTAGACCAGCTAAAACTGTTACTGACTTAGTGCCTTCTTCGAACACAGAACCTTTGACTTTTTGAACGATTTTATAAAAATATATGTTCCGATTAATAGATTTTGTGTTTTTTCTTAATTCATCAATGGTCGATGGAGCGCGTTCGCTAAATTTAAAAAAAGTTAAATCAGCTGTCTTTTGGTCAGTTAACGATGTGAGGCATATTTTCGACTAATTTATCGATAATTTCTGGTGTAAAACTTTTCTTCATATTACATAACGTACATGAAAACGTTGAATAAAATTAAAATTATTATTTTTCTAATGTTGTCATGAGTAAATATTATTTATTTACTCGAATATTATTTATTATTTATTTACGAAATACCTGTAAACCCTTGTATGACAGTTAAAAATGATTTCCAATCCAATATTTGCATCCTTGTGATAAAGATAATCTCCTTCGCAGACCATAATCATTTTCATGATCTTTGGCGAAAAAAGGGACCTGAAATACAACATTGAAAGAAATTGAAAATGAAAATTTCAATTATGTTCACCTTATTCAGTCGTTGTTTTTAATTCGTTCGCTCTTTGAATCAAACAATTAATCGAAACAATTGAATGATTTATCATTTTTTATTTATTATTACATGTTTTTTACTTATTTATCGCAATACACGAATTTTCCTTTTTTTCCTATTAGTAACATGAATTTCAAGATGCATTAATCATACTTCATTAATTAATATTGTCTTATTTATTTATTGTGCATTCTTCCAAACACATCTTCAGTCCAAAGCTTATCTCTAGCAATAAGTCTATTGTTAAATATCAAGGTTAATGTACTCATTTAACAATGTTACAATGTAGTATTGTTTGAATGTTGCTTTTCGCGGTATTTGGGCATGTTGTATGCATAACAGATTATTATGTAACAGAGTGGTGTCAAAGGAAATATGTTAATCTGATAAAAAATGCATTTATAACTTTTTAATGCATCGGTACGCTATAACTAGAAACTTGCTTGAAGAAAAACTAAACAAGCTAAAGCAGTCATTTTTATCTCTTTTCTAGAATTCCGGGAAAACAGCCATAAGACGTTTTCAACTAAGGTATCGTAATTAATTCATTCACAAAATAATTTTGCTATTTATAAAAAGCTAAAATTAGTGTATTGTTATACACTAAGTAAATAATTTAGAATGATAACAAAAAAAAAGATAAATCATTCACTTATTTTGATTATTAATATTACTATTCAAAAAGTGAAATCGGATTGAATACAACAACCAAATGAGGTGAACATAATGTAAGCCTAATCATTGAATTCCTTTTTATTGTACTTGTTCATACATAGGGTATAAATATGGAACGAACTGAATTATGAATTCATTGATAATTACTTCAGTAGCGTCTCTGCTTCATATTCGAAGCATTCAATATGAAGTTCTCTGTTTTTAAACTATTTTTAGTGCTATTCTATTCTTGCCAAGCTCAAGATATTTTATTTCCTGATAAATTCCAGAGAATTCAGGAACGATATCAGGTAAGTTGTTCCTTCGACAAATTGTTGCTCAAACACATCAAACGTAATGAACACAAATAACACAGAACATAAAAACAATTTATTACAGAACCACTATCCACGACCAAATCAGCCCTCACCACCTCATCACCCACCGGTAATTATCAATATTTAAAAAACTGATTTTATATGATCTCACACTTCCAAATTACAAAAAAAGACGTCATTTTTAAAGTGGAATTAAAAGTTATTTATTCATTCTGAGCAGTAACTTATGCAGATCATTGTATTGAAATTCTATAACGATAAAATTTATGGTTTTCTTTAAATCTGCACGCCGACCTGCAAAACGTTTTGAGAAAAAAGTTGTTGTAGACGATACGGAGTTGCCAAAAATCTAAAAAAAATTTTTTATATATTTTAAGGCCGATCAATTCTATGCGAAAAGTTTCATTAAGAAGTCTCTTTATTGCAATGAAAATTAAACATTATAAAATTGTTATTATTGTAGTTTCGAGGGGTTAGGTCCCTTAATCAAAAAAATATAATTTTTTTTGCAGGTCTTTAATCGACAACAATGGCAGCCCTCACCGGTAATTATAAATAATTTAAAAAATTTAACGATTTCAATGCACGAAAAGTAATACATTTCTTTTACAGATATGGGCCCCGTTTCACGATAAGTATCCACCGTTTGAACAAAAGGTAAAATATCTGATCATAATGTTATAAGTACTGTGGTTTATTAAGAGCTATCATGTCTATGCAGTCCGAACTACCGAACTCAGTAATTACTTTGTTTCTGTAATTCTTAATTCTAGTTCAAGAACTTATTAATTTGATTTTCAGAATGTTGGAACAAGTAGACCATTCTTTGAATCATTTGAACAGGTAAGCTAAATATTAATTATAATTCAAATTTAAATTATAAATTATTTCACGAGCTTTAAAATTTAAGTTTCGGGATATTTTGTCAAGAGGAACAACGCAATTGACTTTGAACATTGATAATATAATGGAAAAACAATATCCCAGAGACAACCTTGTTTTCTCACCTCTGAGCTTGCAAATGTTACTTGCGACCATTCTTTTGGCGTCCAAGGGACAAACTTTTGATGAAATCACCAAAATTTTTAATATCAACAGTGGTATATTCAAAAATTCGGAGAATGATTTCCACCAAAATTTTGGAAAACTTATCCAGCAAACGCTTTCTAGTACGAATAAACTTGGAGCGCCGAAATTTAACTTTGGAACAGGAGTGTTTGTAACGGTAATATAACAGATACACATAGTTAATTAAAAATTGAAAGAAACATAATTTTCAATGTTTTTTTTAGAGAAATTCTCCTATAGGCAAATCTTTTACATCAGCAAGTGAGAAGATTTATCAAGCTCATGTTAAGAACATTGATTATAGATATGAACCAGCTCGAAATATCATCAATGATTGGGTGAAATCTAAAACCGAAGGTCTAATTCCATCGTTTTTGGACGAACAACCAAGAGGCGATACTAAAGCTATCATAGCATCTGCTATATACTTTAAAGGAGAATGGAAAGCTCGTTTACACACTAGTGACATAATGTATGAATTACTTGTGCACTTATTTCTTCTCGAGGGGTTATTTTATAATCAAAATTTTAAATTTCAAATCACTATTTTAAAAATTCCAATTGTCAATTTACAAATTCCGATCTCTAATAGGGATATGCGGAGAATTTTTCTTCGAAAATGATCTATCGGTTTATTAATTTTTGTTCGCGACAAATTTTTAGCAGAACACCAATCGATCATAATGTCAGCTAGGAAAAAAGAATTAATTATGAAAAAAAAATTGATGATACTTCAATAATCCTGAGTATTTATGTTACAAGGTGGCGATTCAAAATTTCAAACAATGAAATGAAAAAAGTGAATGCGTTGGTATCCGACGGAACTATACCATATCGCTTTTTGGAGGAAAAAAGACTAAAAATAGTTGCACTTCCATACAAAAGTTCACAGGTAATTTATATCAAATTGTGTTTGATGTTTTACTTAAAGTTATTCTTATTGTAAACAATTCCATTCAAGGTTTCTATGTACGTCATTGTACCACAAAAACCAGGAATAGAAGGTTTAAGAACGTTAAAGAAAGAATTAACACCTGAAATTATCGATGATTTAATTGGAAAAATGAAAGAACAATCCATTCAACTTATGCTACCAGCAATGAACCTATCTAGCACTGTGGATTTGGAAAATATTCTAGGAGAAATGGGTCTCTCAACGTTGACTGATCCAAGCCGAGCTGATTTGAGTGTTTTAACATCTAACGAAGGCATTCCTATCGATGTACTAAGAACAAACCGAAATATTAGGAATCCAGGTATATTTTTCGATAAAATCGTTCAAAAAGTTAAAATTGCTGTGACCGAAAAAGGCACTGAAGCTGCTGCTGCCACAGGCGCATTAATTGACCGAATGTTCATTCCCACCATAAACGCTAATCAACCGTTCTTATTTTTTATCAGAAACGACGATACTAAATCTATATTATTTTACGGTAGTATCAAAGATCCTAATCCTTAAGTTTATTACACCAGTGATTAATAATTTTAGACCTTGCATTCACGAGGTTTTGATTACTTTAGTAATTCAAACATGTTTTAAAAGTTTTTAATAGAGAACCACACTTTGCTTTAAATTAATTTTCAAGTTTCATAATTCATTATAATAAAACGTCATGTTCATAGAACAAGTTACATCAATGGTTCAAATCAATTCCTTACCCCTAATTGATTTAAACTTGGTTTTTATATTCAATTAAACGTTATGCTCAATTTTGGAAAAAAGTAATTTTATGATAAAAAGTAAAACTATTTAAAAATGTTCATGGTTCAATTTTTTAATTTCTATGTGGTTTTTTCTTTCTTGAAAAATAGTAAAATTAAAATTTTATAGCAAAGTAGCTCATGTCATCTAGATTTTATAAGAATACAAAGCCCAAACTTATAATAATTTTGTTTAAGAAAAACGCAATGTAATTAAAAAATTGTATGTACCTTTAAACTGTTATGGATAACAAGTCATAAAATTTCATTGAATTTTTTGCATAAAATATATATTGAAGTAAAGGAATAGCATAATAATTTTTCCAGATTACAAGTCCACTTGTCCATATACTTTAATTATTTTAAAACTTATTGTATTTACATACCATATTATAATAGTATATGAGTGTAACATTCTAACATTAATATTCACATGAACACAAGTATACACTTACTCACAAACAATTATACTTAAAAAAGCATAAATATAAATTTTAATTAGTCTAATAATATTTTCTTATTAATTCTTTAAAACCTTCTTTTAAAAAAGAAAAAATTTGACGTATTTTTTAACGAACAACAAATTGGCACGCTCACTTGATATTTACAAATTATAAAAACTTAACAGCTTCGAAATTATCATAATGAATTTACATTCAATAAATGTTATACGGCCAACTTTTAAAGAATGTAGCATATGATAAGTTAAAACTGAAGTAATTTAACAAACTGCGTTTAATTCACAATAGATTTACACTCTGTATAATAGATTCATTGCTTTTTGACGACCCTTATAATTCCACAAAACATGAGGATGGATCGTTCCAGATACCATTCTAGCATCTCTGAAAAAAGAAATGCAAATTAAAATAAAGTTTTCATCTACAATGAACTGTTAAGTAGTAAATAAAATTACTGCTAGTTCATACGTACATTTGAAAATAGCTGTAATCACAAAGCTTGTCACCAGGAGTTGAAAATTCCATATGAAAGTCTAACAATTGATATCCTTTTTGACTTGCATAAAATCTTATCCACTCATTGAACGTTTTATAGTTAAAATATCTATCTATATCATGAATGCCAACATTGCACATCGGCGGTAAAGTACAAATCGTTATTTGGGTTTCCTTGTATCCAAATTTTTCTTTCAATAGGAATAAAAGATCTTTATAACTTTCGATCATTTCGGAGGCATTTCGTCGCTGTAATTAAAAATTAAATCCATGGTTATCATATAAAAAAAAATTTGATTGGGTTATCAATAAATTGCAAAATTTACATTATAAATATCGACGGTTCCTAAATTGATAACTAATTTATTGGCCATCGCCTTGATATTTTCCAATCTCTGAATAGCTTTCTTTATAGTTTGTCCCGATTGTACAGTTCCGCAAGTAATGGCTGCTTTTGCTACACAGTTAATAAACTAATTAATGTTACACGATAACATTATCAGGTAAGAATTATTCTACTTACCGTGCTTACGCACTAAGGGCACGTCGCAGTATTTTATGCACAATTGCAAGAAATAATCATCCCCGATCAATTGTGATCGGTATACAACAGGAGTCGTGCAAACCTGATCCTAAAAGCGATGAATTACATTTTTTGATTATTAAATTCAGATTTATATTTCTAACTTATAAACTTTAGGTGAATTGAGCTTTGAATGAATTGATCTCAATGATAACGCTTTTTAACAAGCAAGCCTAAATTTGTGGAAATAAAGTCGATCTACTAAATTCACAATGTTCATTATAAGTTACCTTTTTAAAGTCCTCATCAACAGTCATGATTTCTGGACGACCCCAGTTCTCATCAGTCGGTGGTTGCATGCTGGTGTTATTTGATCTGTTGGGTCTTGTCCATGTACTTCTATTCATATCATGTCTTTCTTTTCGGGTTTTGTTTCTTTTTTCCATAAAGGCATCGCGCTTTACTCTTTTTGAGCGCTGTAATGAAAGTTAAAAAACAATTTTCAGTGTGAGCATTAACTTGATACAACCCAATGATCCTTTGAGAACATTCGGAGTTTCTTCGAAAAATGATATGAAAATAAAAATTTACCACAACATAATTTTTCGGATCCTTTTGTAATTTAATCATCTCTTGCAGATGCTTTGTTTTACTGCTAGTGCATAGTAATACTTGTCTACCGGCTTCATTTTTGGTATTTTTAATATCTGGTATGTCACTCAACATATGATAGAGACTACGGTAACCCATTTCACGAATAGGAAGATCTTCTCCAGTATTTAATCTATATTCACCTATGAACAATAATAATATTGAGCTCTAATTTATAGAAAAAAATGGGTTACTTGAAACTTCAATTTGCAATAAAAATTTGTATCGATCGAACTAAAATTACTAGAAAAAAGTAATTAATAAAATTTTCAAACGATAAAACATTTAATTTGATTTGATACATAACAAATTTTCATCAATTAAAACTTACGTTCAAGAGCGCTAGGTTCCAATCCTCCTTTTTGCGTTGCAATGCATGATTTTATTGCTGCTACCACTGATTTTCGCTCTTTTTCGAACTTTGCATTTTGCATCATTGTCTAAAATAGCAAAATGCAAAATGTAAAATATTGTCAAGTATGTGAAGTGTTATTATTGAATAAATCTCTCTGTCATGCTCAAATTAAATTTTTAGCGTTGCTCGCAATTCAAAAGACATTTTTGACTTTTGTTGTTCTTTCACAAATTTACAAATCTTTTAACGAGTAAGGTACTCAGTCAGATGCCTTTCTGGTGTAAGAAGTACAATTGAAAACTATCGTTGCAATCGTCTATTTTTTTATTACAAAGTATTGATGATTTTGAAGATAAATAAGGTTAAAATTTTGTAGCTCACACTATTTGATTATTAGAAGATCGCGTCTCTATCATTTTATAGACATTACAACAAAGAAACGTTTTTTTTATAATTGAATTGTAGAAATACTCACGAGATTATTCCCTTTATTCATCCACATATTGTAAAATCAGTACAGTAAAATTTTCTCTAAGCGTGCTTAACACAGTGCGATCAAATTGTTACTAAGGGAAGTGTATTTGGATTTCTCGCGTAGTGAGATTATCTCGATAACAGTGCGAAGGCAGGACAACAAAGATCTACGTGTACCAATATTATCGCGGGGTCAACGGTCGTCGATGAAATTCTTCGATACAAGCGCCGAAATGAAATTGATCTTCGCCGAAAGTTAAATTTTCTTTTAAAATTACATTTTACGAGTTCAGAGTCTTTTCGTGTGAAAATATTTTTCAATGTAAATGTTTATCTTCGTTATTTTATTGCTTTAATCTTTTCTCAGCCTTATTCTTCCTGTCAACAGCGTTATTTAATACGTGTGTTCAAGCTAACAGGATCATAGACTCGACGCTGCAAATCATGAATTTCAAAAAGCCACACAGCCAATATATCTATACAACTTGCGTTACCATGCAAACGAAAGGCACAACAAGTGTCGCGCCACGCGCCAAACAAAACTCAGCAGAGTGAACCGACTTGTCGAAGCGAATATTTTAGTCAGTGTCATTTGACAATCGCAAAAATTGTAAAAGAACCGAAACTCTAGCTCGATACTCGCGAGATTTAATTGTAAAATCAAAGATCATGGCTGCGTTGATGGACAGCAATCGGGCTTACGCGGGTTACAACGACTACTCGACTTCGGACGTCAGCCAAGAGGATTATTTTCGCGAGGTACGCAGAAGCAGTTATGGCCCTCGGCTCGTTGTAAGTTATCATCATCAGCAGCTTACGCTGCTCGAAGGCAACAAAAAATGCAAGACGATCTTTATGAGTTGCAGGCAACGCCGAAATTTCCCAACAGCGTAATGCGGCTGGGAACGTCGTCAGGAGTAAGTGCACTCGATCTTTATTCGGCCGGATAAAAGTACGCGAAATTTTGTTTATCAGCGTTCTTGGCTACGGAATTCATAAATGTAAATATTTGGAAGAAAATCGAGGATCGGATCTATTTTGAATTTGAGTTGCTTCGACATATCATTATCAAAATACACAATGAGCTCTGCGAGCTCTAAGCATGTGGTTACTGACTACACTTAGTAACTTTTTGAAACAATTTGGAGACTGCAAAAATAATAAAGCGTGCGAAAAATTAGAATAATTAAAAATTAGAAATATGAACAATGCATTTTGCTTGGACATTATTTGGGATATTACTATCTCGATAGTATCATAACGCTGTTATTTTTTTATCTTTCGTTTCAAAAAAACAAAAATGAAAAGTATCAACGTAGCGGAACGGCGGGACGTCCCGGGACCGGGCTGCTGCGACCGATGACGGCGGTTCGCGGGGCCGGCTACTCGAGCGCGGCTCGTCAGAGCTTCGATCCGCTCAACATGAGCAGCGCGTCGCGCCATCATCCTCTGGACGCCGAGAAAGAGGAAACGTAAGCGCAGAACAATACTTAAAAATAATCGTCGTCGCATATCGATGAGCCTATTATAAATGATTTTCCAATTCGGCCCGCAGACCCGAGGACAAGATCAAGCAGGCCGAGCGCCGCATCATGACGCTGATCGAGGAGTCGGCGAGGGCCGCCTGCGAGAAGAATTACAAGGTGGCCCTGGAGCGGGCTCGCGAGGCCTCGTCGCGGGAGCGGGCCCTCATCAGGCTCCAGGAGCAGGCCGGCCTCAGCGACAGTCACAATATCGACTTGACTTTTGCGGTACAGGACCGATCGATTTTTATATCTGCCAAGTTCGGTTTCGGTGTAGCTGTAATAGGAATGCCTGTGCACAGGTGATCTTCAATCTGGCCTGCCAGTACTCCAACAGCGAGCTGTACACCGAGGCCATAGCCACGTACCAGGCGATCACGCGCAATCGCAACTTCAGCAACAGCGCCCGGCTCAAGGTCAACATCGGCAACGTCTACGCCAAGATGGCCCAGCCCTCGCAGGCCGTCAAGATGTATCGCATGGCCCTGGATCAAACGACCACCGCTCAGAAGCACCTCAGGTATGAAGCGAGAGTCCGAGTGCGAACCGAGCTAATTATCGATCGAATCGTATAATAATTACAGAATCAAGATAATGCACAACATCGGCATGCTGTTCGTGCAGATGGGCCGCTTGGAGGAGGCCGCGAACAGCTTCGAGTGGGTGATGCGCGAGAAGCCCGACCTCAAGGCCGGCATGCACGCGATCCTCTGCCACTTTGCCCTCTCGCACGAGGACCAGATGAAGAAGGTCTTTCTCGAGCTGCTCGACGTCCCGCTGCACATCGAGCACGACGACAAGTACAGCATCAACACGGTAGGGGCCGATAGACGCCGCGATATTTTCCTATACCATAAACGAGTGCCACATCCGATGAGAAAAGTTCGATATTGTCGCAGGACGATATCGCGGCCAACATCCTCAACGAGGTCGTCAAGAACGACGATCTGTCGAAGCTCGAGCGAGAATTGAAGGCGAACGCAGAAAAGACGATCCTCAACGCGGCCAATCTCATCGCTCCCGTTATAGAGGACACCCTAGCCGGAGGCTTCGCTTGGTAAAATACATTCCGATTTCCTTTGCAATTGTCACGCGCAATTGTGCTACCTCGATCTGGCCATTTTATCTATAGGTGCGTCGACGCGATCAAGTCCTCGTCCTACGCTCCGCTCGCTGCCAATCTCGAGATCAACAAAGCCATGGTTTTCTTGCATAATCGCGAGGTTCGCATGGCCATCGACGCCCTCAAAGTTTTCGACAATCAGGACACGAAGATCAACAGCTCCGCCTCGACTGTTTTGTCCTTCATACACTTTCTCGTTCGTATCGAAATTGTTCTTCGCGTTGATTTGAATCGTTTGACATTGGTAACTTCAATTTCAAATAAAAGCATACCATTCTTCGCAGCGCGGTGAGTACAATCAAGCGGAAACTTACAGCGATGCGGCGAAAAACGCCGATGGTTACAACATCGCTGCGTACGTCAATTTAGCAGCTTGCTCGATCATGAAAAATCGCTTGGACACGGCCAAAGAATATTTGCTCTCTGCTCTGGAAAACGATCCAACTCACGTTCAAGCTCTTTATAATTTAGGTGAGATCTTTTTTTATTTTCGATTTATACTTTTCAACAAATTATAAAATTCATTCATGCACTAATGTATAATTTAATTTCGGACTAAAGGTTTGGTTTACAAAAGAAAAAACATGCTCGAAGAAGCTCTGGAGTGCTTTTGGAAGCTCAAAAACATCGTTCGCTACGATCCTTTGACACTCTACCAAATTGGTCACATTTATCAGTTGAGCAATGATGTAGAAAACGCATCGGAATGGTACGTTTTTTTTTTAAACTTTTATCGTTTTATTAAGTACCCAAAATAATTTGTGCGTCTTTTCAGGTACAATCAACTCTTGAGCATTATACCATCAGATCCTGGGGTGCTGAAAAAATTGGGTGAAATGTTCGATAACACTGGAGATAAACAACAGGCCTATCAGTACTACAGTGATGTTCGTAATATCTAGAATTATTATTGTAAAATTTAAAAATCGTAATTTTATTTGTAATTAAATTTCTTGTTTATAGTCTTACAGATTTTATCCAGCAAATTTTGATGTCATTGATTGGCTTGGATCATATTTTATATCGATGCAGGTCTTGACTTTAGCATTTTTTATAATTCCAATTGTCATTTAGTCGAAAACAATTTTCTAATTCTTCTAATGCAACAGGTTGCAGAAAAAGCTCTTGTTTATTTTCAAGAAGCTGTTGAATTAGCACCAACTGAACCCAGGTGGCGTTTGTTAGTTGCAGCATGTTTGAGAAGGATAGGAGAATTTCATAAAGCCTTAGCTGAGTATCAAGACATACACAAACAGTTTCCAGACAATATTGAATGTCTAAAATTTTTAGTTCGACTATGCAGCGATTTGGGTCTGAAAGAAGCTCAGTTTTATGCAACTGAGCTACGAAAAGCAGAAAAAAGTAAAGAAACTAAAGAAAGAGTTGGATCAGGAAGACCAGGAACAACAAGTATGTTTTTATGGTATAGTTTTAGAATATTAAAATAATTTTGTTTATAAATGGGCTCATTTGTACGGTTTCATAGATTCAAGATTGAGTAATAGTGATGCATCTTCAAGGGATGGTTCAGGTTTGAGTACAAGAACTAGTCCAAGAACACACGGTGACAGTGTTCAAAATGGTATAGGAAGTGCACACAATCATCGCTTGCTAAGGACTGATTCTGAATATACAAATAACTCAGGTACAAATGGTATTACTTTTTAGATAATTCAAAGAAATGAATTTGAAATTTAAAAAACATCAAATGCATTAACCAGATTCCCATTACATTGACCCAGTGGGTCCATTACCAGTCAGACCAATGACTGCCGCAGGAAAAAGAGATGACGATTTTGGAGATGAAGAATTGGGAGCTGAACTTTTACCCGAATAAATACAATATAAAAACTTTTTCAGTTTGTAAATAATTTATTACTAATACTTGGAAAAGTATTGGCTTAATAAAGTATACAGATTAACACAAAGTTTACTTTTAGTTCAGTCAATTTCAAAGAATTACATATTTTTATGATTTAAATCTGTTGAAAAATTCATCTCAAACCTTGAGTGAAAAAAAACAACAAAAATATGTATAAAGTACTATTTAACTTACATACATACATATTTATAGATAGCCATATTTGTAATGTATAGTAGTTTATCTATAGTATTTATAGTATAAGCTACTATTTTATCACAATTCTATTTACAACTTTAAATGTACACTTTTTTCAATTGATTGCTACTTAAGATTGAATACTGTGGAATTACAATTTTGTATTCTTGATGTCACTTGGTTTTTGTAGTGTACACAGCTCATCTACCATAAAGTCAAAATTTTCAGCGGTACAACCAACGCATTGATTAAGAAACTCTCCTAAACGTTGCATGTCACTCATCGGACTGTGGAACATGATTGTAAATGCATATCTCCAAATAAGTGTTTGATTGTGTCCATTGGAAATATCGAGTAGAATCGGAAAAAGTCGTTGAAGATTAATCCAATCGTGCCTCATTAAACATGAACGCATCTCAGATACCACAGAGTACGGCAAAACTGAAGTAGCTATGGATCTTTTTGTTTTGCCAACAACATCATGATGTGTGCTCGACGAATTTGATTTGGATTTGGAGTCTTTTTTTGCCTTCTTAAAAAGTTCAAGCGCCTTTTCCTTAAAATAATAGAACAGTTTTAATTTTTTATGCAACTCATACTCAAATGAAACAATGAAAAAAACAATCAACTTACCACGTTTTTTCTGCGAGTAGGAGGTTTTTCTTCTTTAGGCATGTTGAAGCGATAAAACTAAGTTTATCAGCCAAATAAAGATTGCAATAAATTAAATTTTCAACGTAGTATAAAATCGTTGGTGCAGATCATTCGACATATATTACTGCACATATTGACAACAACAATCGACTGTGTAAACACGTGGGTTAGTCGGCTGTCGGCTGTCGGCACTCCGCACTCAACCTGACAGAACCAACTCAGACTCCCTCTTTGTACAGTAAATGTAAGTTCTAAAGCGCAGAGGACGATTTAAAATTTAAATCCTTTCAAAATTTTTTAAATTGGCTTCAGGTTATCAGGCCTTCAGGTTATTGGCTTCAAAATATACAGCAAATTTCAATGAATTTATATAAAAAACGTTTTCGACTTATGATCAATTTATAAAAAACTAAAATTTGAGCTCAAGAACCTTATCAAATTAACAACATTTATCGAATGAGGTATTATCTGAACCAAGCCTTATAAAGGCGATATAAAGAGCGGCTAACTCATTCACCGTTTTCTGTGTTATCAAAGTCATAATTTCAGTATCATACCTTACATAATTTTAGTATGATATGCCACTTTACTGATGTGTATACCTATCATGCAATATGATTTGATCGTCTGCTGGATCCGAGTCACCGACCGACTTTAGTCTCTTCTCTTGTTACTTACTCGGCATGTGAATATTCGCGAATGCGAAGTAAGTAAACACCACTAGCTGAACCTGCTGAACTCCCACTCTTTATAAGTAGCTCTCTCGTTCTCTCGAGTTTCCACTCGCGCGATATATAATAATAAGATCGGATCATATTGCCGGCTACACACGCACGCTCGCACATCATTATACTGGTAGATCTCCGGCCAGAGGGGTACAAAATATAAACTATCAGTGCAGTCGCGGGTCGTCGTTCTTTCAACCATGTTGCGTTTAATCAGCAAGAAAATTAATTACAACTCGCTGCGCGGTTTCGCAACAGCTGTACCTGCACCAGAAACCAATCCATCAGTGCTTTATGCTGGAGTAAGTTTTTTCTTTCAATTATTTTATATAACGTCTCGTGATACAGCAAATTGAAAAATACATTTCCATGCCTCTCTTTGATATTATCAAAATAATTATGAATGAATGAGCACTGCCCTTCCGGTGCACGAATTTAAACTTTTTTTGATATAGAATAAATAACTTTGATAGTTTGATAGTTGCAATGCCATAAAAGCCAAAGCTTTTATTCTACATTCTAATTGAGATGTAATTAAAAGTACTTGTATTTTTTTACTTATTTCCATTACATAATAAAGTCCTTACAATAAAATGAATGTTTGATATCATTAACTGACGTGTTTAATATAAAAATGTATCTTATGTATCACAAAATTTTTTTAGATTTTTATCAACAATGAATGGCATCAATCAAAATCTGGAAAAAAATTTGAAACCCTTAATCCTGCTACAGAAGAATGCATCGCTCAAGTTCAGCAAGGAAGTGCTGAAGACATTAATATTGCAGTACAAGCAGCACAAGAAGCTTTCAGATTAGGTTCACCATGGAGAACTATGGATGCTTCTCGAAGAGGCCTTTTGTTAAACAGATTAGCTGATTTAATGGAAAGAGACCGCACATACTTGGCTGTAAGCTAGAAAATCTTTTATAAACCATTGGAATTATTTGACAAAAATTTATTTTAAAATTATTTAAATTTAGTCCTTAGAAACTTTAGACAATGGAAAACCTTACTCAACATCTTATGGCTTTGATGTCCCAGCAAGTATTGGAGTTCTAAGATATTATGCTGGTTGGGCAGATAAAAATCATGGAAAAGTTATTCCAATGGATGGTAAATTTTTTGCTTACACAAGACATGAACCAGTTGGAGTTTGTGGACAAATTATTCCCTGGAATTTCCCTCTTCTGATGGCAGCTTGGAAATTGGGACCTGCTTTGGCAACAGGTATGAAAAAAAATGTTTTGATGATTTAATAGTTCCTATAATCATGAATAAGCTTAATAACACTGAAAATGATAATATTATTTCAGGAAATTGTGTTATCCTTAAACCAGCTGAACAAACACCACTTACTGCATTGTACATTGCTCAATTGACAAAAGAGGCTGGATTCCCTCCAGGCGTTGTCAATGTGGTTCCAGGGTTTGGGGATGCTGGTGCAGCATTAGTGCATCATCCTCATGTTGACAAAGTAGCTTTTACTGGCTCAACAGAAGTTGGTAAACTTGTACAGAAAGGAGCTGCTGAGAGTAATTTGAAAAGAACAACATTAGAACTAGGAGGAAAATCTCCTAACATTATCTTTAGTGACAGTGATATCAATGAAGCTGTTGAAACTGCTCATTTTGGATTGTTTTTCAATATGGTATTTAATAATTACCTCATATTATGATATTCAAGTTACAAATGAAAACTTCCATATTCTACACCCATTTATTTTTGTTGTTTAATAGGGACAATGTTGTTGTGCTGGATCAAGAACATATGTAGAAAGTTCTATCTATGATGAATTTGTGGAAAGAAGTGCTGCCAGAGCAAAAGCAAGAACAGTTGGAAATCCTTTTGATATGAACATTGAAAGTGGTCCACAGGTATAAATTAATAAATCCACAAATACACCTTTGAATAAAGTTGAATACAATAATAAATCATTTTTAGATTGATGAAGAACAAATGAATAAAATATTAGGTATGGTAGAAAAAGGAAAATCTGAAGGAGCAAAGTTAGTACAAGGAGGTAGTAGAGTTGGTGAAAAAGGATACTTTATTGCTCCAACTGTTTTTGCTGATGTTAAAGATAATATGACCATTGCAACTGATGAAGTAAGAATTAAAATCTCGTTGTATTTTTAAATTTACAAAAACAATAACATCGAATTTTCAGTTTATATAGTATTAGTTCTTTTTTGCAAAAAAAAAAAATACTTCTCATTTATTTCAGATTTTCGGACCAGTTCAACAAATATTGAAATTTGACAAAGTTAGTGAAGTTATTGAGAGGGCAAATAAAACTGATTATGGATTAGCAGCGGCAGTTTTCACAAAAGACATCGATAAAGCTAATTACATTGTTCAAGGATTAAGGGCTGGTACTGTTTGGTAAGTAATCATACAAAATAGAAATATTAAATACAGAAACATAAAAATGGTGAATTTCACGTTAATAAATTATTTCAGGGTAAATACCTATAACGCCTTGGCAACTCAAGTACCATTTGGAGGATACAAAATGTCTGGAATGGGAAGAGAATTAGGAGAGTATGGTTTGGAAGCTTATACAGAAGTTAAAAGTGTTATCACCAAGGTACCCGAAAAAAATAGTTAGATGAGTAGTTGAACGATTTTTTGATAAAAGTGTTATGATGACTATAATTTTTTTTACACATTTGTACTTTGAAATATGTAGATCATAGGTATATTATTCATTGTAAATGAAAATATTTTTTTAATCATGTACAATTCGTTATTATGTGTCCACCACTTCAAGTGTTTCAAGAAAATTTGTGATAGACGTATCAGTTAAAAATAAAACGCAACAGACTTTATTATTTTATGTTTCATTCAAACGGAATGTTTCGTTTGAATTTTTATAGTTGCAATGTTTTGAAAACAACGCTTCTATTTCAAAAAATGCCAAGATAATAATAGCAGCCAATCACCATTAATAAATTCTTATATTATTTAATATTTTCTTCTTTGTCTAACCGAGCGAAGAGCGATCTTTTCGATGCGTAACGAATGATCTCGAATTTCGCTTAAAAACTTGGTCTCGCAATGTCGTAAATTATTAACTATAACTTGACAAAAACAACTGTTTGCTTCATAATAATAATCTGGAGCTTCTAAAAATAAAATGTTGGACCGAGGCTGCCAAGACAATTCTTAAAACCGTACACATATATACATTAATTGTTTTGAGAAGAAAAGAAACGAATTAATCTGAAGTGTTTACCTAGAGTTTTGGTAAGCATCACGAAAAAGTTTTTACGTATTTTCGTTAGTTCTTGCTTTCGTGGTAAAAGAAAAATTTGAAATTCAATAAATAATTTTTTAGTTGGAATTTACATGAAAATTATAAAAATTAATTTCTTTGATTCCGATATAATTTGAATTGTTTCAAAAAAAAATTTGCTGACTTGAATAATTCTTATTTTAATTGAAATTTTGCATTGATTATAGACGGGAGAGGTAATAAAAAAAGAAGGAAATTTCGTAAAATAAAATAACAATAACAATGTATAATTGTGTGTAATCTTATAAAATAAATTATCTCGCCGTGGACGCATACATCAAATGAAAAGATTTTGTTCACAACGGTATGAGAGCTCGATTTACATGATCAATAATCGTACAGTATAGTAATTTTTTTCACTTCACACCGCTTACATGCCAATCGAGTGAGATGATAGCTTTAAGATCGAATTATTACTTAGAAGAAAAAGTTCAATTGTTCATTTTCCTAAGAGGATCTTGCGGGAAGCGCCCATGTTCTGTCCTGCCTGGGTGGCTCCCTTGTTGCTGCCAGCCTGGAGACCGATCACCGACTCGCCGGCTCTGAGCTGCTCCTCCGTGAAGTCGCGCTTGTGCTCGTCGGCGGGCTTGGGTCCCAGGTTAGGTCCCTTCCATTCGGGGTGTCTGTAGGTCTGCACAAATGAAAGACAACGTGTAAAAACAATAATCGAAGGTGCGAAAGATGGTCGCGCGCGACGATCCGTGCCGGAATACTGACCTCGCGACCGAGGGCGAAAAGTGTTGTGATGACCTGTCCAATGTCTTTCTTTTCCCATAGCTCGACAGTTTGGAAAACATCTATGTCTGCGACACCGTAATCTTTCAAAGCTTTTTGGAATCTGTTTTTTTTTTTTGAAACGAACAAAAAACAAAGTTAGTAAAAAAAGCAAAAAATCGCGCCGCTGAATTACTAGCCATCGATCTCTTGCGAGCGACTTACTTGGTGATGTTCTCCATCATTTTGAATTCACCTCCGGAGGTGTTGATTTTGGGAACGGAGCCGGGCTTGATGATGTTGATGAGCTCGCAGAGCACTTGGCCGTCGCGCAGGTACTCCTCGAAGGGCGATGTGAACTTCCTGCCGATGATGCTTTCGATCCATTCCTTGGCCTCGGCCTCCATCTGGGGGTCGCGCTTCGCGGCTATCTAAAACAGGGCACTGAACAATGAGGCACTCGGCTTTTTGCGATTTCCCGATATTCTTCTTTTTTTTTTTTTTTCATTTTCGTTGTTGCACCGGTGCGAAAGACGACCTACCTTAGCGCGGACTTGACGTTCGAGAGTCATGACTGTGTTTGTGTTTGGGAGATGCGAGTCGTACGAGCAACTTTGAACGAATCTGCGAGCTTGGGGCTCGGTCGCGAGCTTTTATAAAGCTTTCGCGGCTCCGCAGGGGGCTCATATACGTCCCACGCATTTCCTCGCCAATGTAATATACACACATTATACATTGTGCGCATATGATATCATCTCGTATACACAAACACGTATACAACAACACGAGCTCGCGAGAAATGCTGCGGGGTATGAGTGTCTATTATTAGAAAGCGCGACGAAAACTTGCTGCTGCTCGCGAGTCGCGCTTTTTCCAAGAGGCCTGAGCTTTTGTGTATATACGCATAATTCCGAGGAGAGCAGCGCGCGCGGATGAGCGATGAAAGCGAGCCCGCGAATCAGAAAAGAGAGAGAGAGAGACAGAGACGATAGTTTGCTAGACCTTGTGCGAGATATTCTGCATCGCGAATCGCGAGAAAAAATAGCCGTTTCGAGTGTGCGAGCTATGCCCGTGGAGCTTTTTCGCACAGCTCGCGCATGCAGCGAATTCTCGCATTTTATGCGACCAAAATATGCGATGTATAGAGCATGCCAAGGTGGCACACGTTCACAGGACTCGAGCCGATCATCTACCGATCTTCGCGCCGATCGGTATGCTCGCATCTCGTTTGGAACGTGACTTCATCCGTATAATATACGTAAAACGGTTTCTATGTTCTAACAAGACATTTGAACTTAAATTTATGAGCTTTTGAAACGATCCCGTGTACGCGCAGCGGTGGACAGCTCAATTTCTACTTGAAAGGCAAGAGTCGAGGCGACAACGCACGACTCGTGCCTCAGCGAGCGAGCCAGCAGCAATGTCGTCGCCGAGTCTCTTGCCAAAAAAAACTCGAACGAACGACGAGCCATGTATCTTGCCACGAGTGTACACACGCATCCCCAAGCGCGTTATGCATACACTCAATTTAACGCGTTATAAACTAAGTTGACGCGTCGTCTCTCCAGAAACGGAGCATCTTTTGCACGATCGCGACGTCGTCCGTCCCCGACGAAGAGCACGACGCGATGCAAGACGAGCTCGCGACGATTTTCGGGTCAAGGTGTCGTTAGGGAGCCGTAGTGGTAAAAGAGAGCTGCAGCACTCGTCATTCTGACGCTTATGATTTTGTCTCCATTCTTGGAAATTTAGTTTTATTTTTTCTTTCTTTTTTTTTTATGTTTTTTAAGACATTATAAAGAACATTGATTAATCATCTAAGATTATTGGGAGAAAGAAAAAAGCGTATTTTTCGGAGCTTGCAATGTCTTGGCCGGCAGAACGAATTTACGCCAAAAGTCGAAAATATAAAAATAAATACTGGGAAAAACATTTTTATTGACATTTCAGCTAATACGGTGGACTGTGAGAATTTGTTGACTCATAGAGTAATCAATGATAAAAATTGATACACTCATAAATTTATTACGTTCTAAACTTTTTTTTGCAGTTTACTTCTATAGATTTCAGCCTGGACGCCGAATCGATTTATAAGGAAGCATACAAGCCTTTTAAGGATATGTAATACTCGAATAAGTTTTTTAATAACGTTTCAAATTTTTTTTTTTTTTAACAAATTTCCAAAAAAAAACTGCTTGAGATAATAAAATTTGATAGTGAAAGAAAATATTATATTTCGCAAACAACAATATTAAATAAATCTTTTACTAATTAACGATAGGTGTCATTTTGATGTAAACAGTCGAGTCAATACTGTTTAAGTTTAGAGATGACTCAACTTCTAAGCCATTTAAATCGAAATAAGCTACAAATTTTGAATTTAATGTAAGCTGCAAGCATTAATTTGAAGATGATTACGATATTGCGCGATAAATTTCTAGATAATTGAGATTGAGTTGAGATGAGGATTGAGGATTCATTATAGTACCTTTCTTTACTCTACATAATAGCTATCACGACCTCTTCAAGAATATCGTCAAATGTAGCTGATCTGAGTAGAGCAATGGATAAAATTAAGCGAGGGCAACGACATTGACGTAAAAATATTACTTATGCAAATTCTCTCATCTGGCCGAGTTGATGATCTTTTTGAAAAGGTCATTTATTTTCTGAAAAACGTACGTTGAATATATAATCAAAAATTATCAATGATGTTCTTTTATCAATTCGTACGTAATAAGAATAAATTTTCGTAAGAGTAATAAAAATTCATTGATCAAGATCTATTACTGTGTTCAACTCGGATCAAATCAATCAAATGAATTGTTAGTCAAATGAAGATGTAAAATTATGTTTGACTGCATGCTGCACTTATTTAATTTACTAAGCTTTGTCCAAAATATTTAATTGTTCGAAGGATAAGTATGAATATTTTTCGATTCATTACTTATGACGGCTAAATTTTTTGTCCATTGTAATAATGACTTCACACGACATTACATAACTTTTATCTAAAGAATCAGGTAAACCATTTCAACTCAATGGGATATTGCTTTTTGTATTATCTCCGTGTTGTGTTTTTTTCGTGACACTGAAAAAAAATAATATCTTTAAAACTAATATCCAAATCTAAAAAAAATTTGAAAAATGAGTAATAAATATGAACTATTATTTTATTTAGAGTGAAAATTCAAACTTTTGCGTATCCTTACAAATCCTTCAGGCCATATATTCATAATTATAGACAGCCCCTTGTTGGCAAAGCACTTGCAAGTCTACAACACTGCAGTCTGCACCTATGGGTTATTGCAAATTCGAGCGATAGCCGGCCCGCGAATCAAGAAGTTTACGAGCTTGTTTACCTAATATTGGATAATGCATCATACTCAAGAATAAATCTCGAAATTATTTTTAAAACGTTGAGTGACATTGACAACAAAAATGAGTCAACTTTCCGAGGATGACAGTGGTTCCGACAGTAGTAGTGATTTTCTCGTTCCAGCAGATAAAATTGATCTCGATTCGACTTTTTTCAAAAGTACCAACGAAAAACCTAACCCTAAGAAAGCCAAAGCCGCGCCAGTAATTGAACACTCAGATAATTCCGACGATGAGTTTGACTATTGCAATGATAACGTCAGTTCGAGTGAGCTTCTATCGCAGGTACTGAAAAATCTGAACGATGCTCAGAGTTCTCATCTCTTGCTTGCCCCCACTGATAAGCATCAAGAAAGCACCTCTAAATCTCCGAAGAAAAGTCCTAGTTCGCCGAAAAAACATGATTTGTCTCAGGAAATCGCGAATCTTCTGTTACAAGGAGAAACGTCAACGACTTCCTCAAAAGAAGATAAAACTGAAGAACATAAAATCTTAGGGACAAAAGAAAAAGATCAGGAAGAATATGTTATTCCTCAAAAAGGTGTGCAAGTTCATCTGCCAGGAGAAAGTGTTGTTATGTTTGACAGGAAAAAAAAGAAACAACAAGATTTGCAAAAAGTTCTTCAAAGTAAAATTAATCAAAGAATCAGACAAACTCAAGTATATGTACATAAAGTGGGTTTACTCAGTTGGTTGACTCATGGATTTTATCTAAATAAGTTGGCTAATGATTCTGCACTGCTAGAAGCATGTCTGTCATTAGTTTCACAAAATGACTATCCTAAAAGTAAAGTTGATTTAAAATATCTTGACAAATTTACAAAATGGTTTTATGGGCGTTTCAAAATTTTTGCTCTCCACAAATCTGAAACCATTACAATAGATCTCCTTTTACAAAAAATAAAAGAAAAAAAAATCCACAATTATATAGAACTTGTTATATTGTATATTTGTACACTTAGAGGAATGGGAATAAATTGCCGTTTGGTTATATCTTTACAACCGCCACCACTAAAACCAACAGCAGATCAACTATTTAAAATTCCTCAAAATGAAGAAAAAGATAATTCTAAATCAACTGAAAAGAAAAATTCTACAAAAGGGAATCCGAAAAATAAACTCAAAACTTCAAAAAAAGATTCATCTGCAAATGAGAAAGTTAAAAGTCCAAAAAAAACTTTACCAAAAAATGTTTATGAAAATAGTCGAGCTGCAGTACTCATGGAAGCTAGAAAAAAAGCAGCTGCTACTTTAAAAAATAAAGGTAAAGCTGAGGCTAAAGCTACAACTTCAAAATCTATCAAAAAAGATGACAACGAAGATAGTGAAGATTCAGAAGATGATTATAAACCAGATTCAACAGCTCTTGCTCAGAAATCTTCAAAGCATTTCAAACATAAACGTTCCAAAAAAGATTCTGATAGTGAATTTTCTACAGATGAAGATTATGTTGAGAAAAAACCAAAAAAGAAACCTGTAAATAAACATAATCTTAGTATTGCTGCAAAACTTGCTGATAGAGTAAAAAATGAAGCTAAAGTATTATCAACTGATGATGAAGAATCAGTTCCCAATTCATTCAATATCTGGATAGAGGTATATGTAGAATCTGAAGAAAGATGGATAAGTGTAAATCTCCCAGATCAAAGTGTAGATTGTGTTAATACCATCTATGTGAGTATTATATAGAAAAAAATGTATTAAAAAGGTTCTAATTCTAATCAATGTTGTAATTTTTTAGAAAAAAGCAGCTAGTCCAGTTTTGTACATAATAGCATATAATTCATCGAACACCATAAAAGATGTTACCAGGAGGTATTGTCCTCATTGGCTCACAGATACAAGAAAGAAAAGAGTAGAAGAAAAGTGGTGGAGCGATACATTGTCATATTGGAAAGAGAAGAAAACTGCCATGTCTAGGGCAGAAGATGACCAACTGTTGCAAAAGTATGTAGTTTGATTCAAGTATAATAATTTCATTGAAGTTAAAATTTTATTATTGATTAAATTTTTTCTGTTTTAGAGAATTAGAGCAGCCCCTTCCAACAACACTAAGTGCTTGTAAAGGACATCCTTTGTATGTCATAGCTAGACATTTATTGAAATTTGAAGCTCTTTACCCACCTGATTGTGTACCTCTTGGACATTTAAAAACTGGCGAGGCCATTTATTCTAGACATTGTGTACATACTCTTTATTCAAGAGAAACTTGGGTAAAAAGAGCCAGAGTTGTCAAACCAGCTCAAGAAGCTTACAAAATTGTCAAATCTATGCCAAAGTATGATAAGGTATTTTGAAATAATAATAATTTTAATGTTCAAATGAAACATCAGGCAAAAGTACTGATTTTATCACTTTAATTCATCAAGTTATCAGGTATGAAGATCAAAGACCAACCATTAGAATTATTTGGAAAATGGCAAACTACTCCTTATGTTCCTCCTGAAGCTAAAGATGGTAAAGTTCCTCGTAATGAATATGGAAACGTTGATTTGTTTAAAATGTGCATGCTTCCTAAAGGATGCGTGTATATTAATCGTGAGTATTTTTTAACAATTATTAAAATATTATTATCTTGGACTTGAATTATAAAATATAATGTTTCAATTTATAGTTCCAGCATTAAATCGCGTCGCACGAAAATTAAACATCGATTGTGCTCCAGCATGTACTGGCTTTAATTTTGGATGCAGAGGAGCTTTACCTGCTTTTGAAGGATACGTTGTTTGTCAAGAGTATGAAGATACTTTAAGACATGCTTGGGAAGAAGATCAGATTGAATCGAAAAAAAGAGCTGAAGAAAAGCGATTGAAAAGAATTTATGATAATTGGAAAAAATTAATAAAAGGTGTACTTATCAAAAGAAAATTAGCAGCAAAATATAATTTTAAGGATGATGAGGATACTGTTGCAGTCAAGGATAAAACTAAAGTAATAAAAAAGTTTGCTATTACTGACAAAAAGAAACCCGTTGTTAAATTAACAAAAGCAGATAAAAAATTAGCGGAAAACAATAGTGAAGAATGTTCTATAAAACAAGATTCACATGCTAGTAAGAAAACAGCAAATCAAAAGTTAATTAAGGAAAATAATGAAAAGGAACAGAAGAAAAAAACATCGTCTATCGCCGCTTCCAAAACTGATGCAACACCAGTCGATGATAACTCTGAAGATGGTGAAGCAGTTAATGATTCTGATGAATCAGAATCTTCAAAAATTGAAAAAAATTCCTCAAAAAATAAATCAAGAAAGAGGAAATTACCCGTTGAAGACGACGACGACGACGACGATGATGTCACAGTTGAAAGTAAAATTAAAAAAATTTCTGTTGAAAAGAAAAAACCAGTTAAGAGTCTAAATTCAAGAAACAAAACGAATAAAACTGCAAGCAGTGAAGCTGTTGAAACAACGCAGACAAACGATGAAGAAAATTTAATTGAAGAAAAAAAATCTAGAAGTGTAAGTAAGTCACAAAAAAGAAAACTTTCTGAAGACGAAGAAGATTCAGAAATGTTGAGTAAGAATGCAAATAAAAAGAACAAAATCTCTAAAACAAAAGCTGGTCTTTTGAAAAGTGCAAATGCAAAAAAACACGTTGAATCAAGTGATGATGAAGAATTTGAAAGCAAAGTTCGGTCTAGTAGAAGAAAACCTGCTGAGAAACTTGCAGCAGCAGAGCCCTCTGAAACTACTGCTAAAAAAGAGAAGGCTAAATCAACAAAAAAAATTAATTTGAAGAAAAAAGATTCTGAAACCGAACCACCCGCTTTGACCAAGCGTATTACTAGGTCTTCCAAAAAAGTATAAATTTCATTGAATACAATGAAATGAAACAAAATTAAAAGTTCAAAAATTAGTGATGAAAAAAAAATATACAACATTAGTTGCTGCATTTTTTTCGTTGAATTATAATTTATTGTGTTTTTGATGATGAGTGGGAAAACCGTTATTACAGTACATTTAAATTTTTTTTTCAATTTATAGCAAAAATCGATGCAAGCTTCATGATAACTTCAATTTTCGAAACATTTCATCTGCAAGTCTTGTGAATATTTCACATCACAAATAATTATCCTTTCCCATATAAGTGGATTAAAAGTATATCATCCAAAATATACATATTTGTTGAATTTAATTTATGTACAATAATCTTTAACGTACCAAATTGTTTCGTGAATAATGTAACAAAAGCCGGTTTTCGTAAATGTTTTGTCTAATGTAATGATACAATGATTAAGAGTATCATATATATATTTTTAATAATATGTACACTACCAGTATTAAACGTATCTCAAATAAATTAACGCACAGATTTTACACAGATTTATAAATCTCTCAATATTTTTTGTAAAGTATGCTTGTAAAAAATGTCTTGTATAATCGTAATAGATGTTTATTTTTTGTATAAAATACCGTTATCAAACTCAACATCAACATTGGCTTTTTTATTTTTCCAATCAAATCATAGTTATACCATTACAGTTACATTTAATTTCTTTGTTAAGAAATGAATACAGATGAACTACTGGTATATGATAAAGTTCTAAAACATTAACAGTACTTAAAAACTAAATGTCATTTGAAATATATTTGTAATTTTCTCGATTTTTGTTTCTTTCATTTTTTTAAGCCACAAAATTGCAATTCAATTGCAAAATCAGTTGAATTACGTTTCATTTTCATAACTATGAAATTAATTAATTTTAACGGAATGTATTGGCAACCATTTTTGGAACATAAACAGTTACAGTAGAAAAAACTAGTTGTACCATGAATTTGATTACATATTGCAATCCAATTGACTCAAGATGGGTTATATCACATGTAAGTTATAATAATTTAAGATCATTGTATAAAAATTTTATTTTTCAGTGTCGATTTTTTTTTCACTTGACGACTGAGTCCTTGACGCGTTTGGATTCAACTGCGCTCAAAGCTATGCCGAGTTGCGCCGCATAATACGTCAACATGATAGTGATCTAAAAAGTTGAAAATATTGTAGTAATTGTTTTCTTATTATATCAGAAATTGATGGCTTTAAGCTTTTTAAACTCACTTGAGGATAAGGCACAGGGCTGTAAAAATGATGAAAACCTATCATAGTATCCGAAATGACAAAGCATATGCTACCGATGCAACAGCATAATCGGTTCCATGTCCACTGACCCTATAAATTATTTATTTTTAGAGGTAATAAATGGTTCATTTAAAATCTTTACTTCAAAAATTTTAAAAATCAATCATATCGACTAGATTTTCATTGATTATACCTCGAAAAATTGTACCCTAGAGATGGCCCTCCAGGACATGGTACCTAATAAAAGCGTGTAGACAGGAACGCCTATTTTTAAGACACCATTCAGACCGGGCATGAGTGTGAAAATGACTAGAAAAATTGGATCAAATACAACAACTGATAAAAATATCAATATCATAATCATAAATCTATGTAAGTATTTTTAGTCATTACTTATGGCGCAAAGAAGATACAGAAAAGCACCAAGCTTAGCGTTGAGGGGTTTAAAGCCAAATGCGGTGGTGTACATTATTTGTGCTACGGCGAACATAATCATGCCAAAGACAAAGCAGCTGGGCCAAACGAGCAGTGCATCCCCCAGGCAGCTGAAAACTAGGCCCGTCAAAATTCTCTGACTGAAGGCACGCCTTGCAAAGAAAAAATCAAAATTTGTAAAATCGTTAAGCAGAATTCAAGTTAAAGCTAAATCTAATGGGAAATTTTTATTTATAAATAATTCAAGCTCACTCTTGGGAATAGTCGATGCCGTGCAACAGGATAAAGGCAATCAAGCTTATGATCGGTAAGCATTTGAAGCAGACCGTGAGGATGCACGGCTGATCGGATACCAGGACGAAGTAGATGCCGACGCTCTTGAAAAAAGGTACCAATTTCGGGCCAACGTTGCGCAGCTGTAAAAAAAACAAAAAAAACAAATTGTCGAGACGTTTGCACACTCGTATCGCTGGAGAACCCCACTGACATTTATGTCTCCTCAACTTGACTATTTCGAAAGCTTTCGAAGACTTTTGCATTACGTTCCACATCGATTTTTAATAATGCTACACGAAATTTTTTAAAAGTCGAATAGCCTTTTAATGAGTTGTTTTTTGCTTGAAAATACAACAAATTAATACTTACATGTAAAATCGTTATCTTAAGTCAAAACAAGATTTATATTTTATTTTCGTAAAAGCAAATATTTAATAATGAATCGAGTCGTTTTTGTAGCGTGTAATAATGATTTCAACTTGTGAAAATTATCGAATATCTAAGCAAGCTCAATGTACAATTTATAAAATGTGACGATGCACCTTTACTATTCCTGCAATTAATTCAAAATTGTTGGAAACCAACGAGTATGTACCATACAATCATTGCGCAAACCTGACATTGCTCAGTTGTTCGTAATTAAAAGATTTGACTGCATAAGAATTATAAAAATTGCGATCAATGTAAAAATCGGATAGTTTTATAGCTACGCATATATAAAATATAGGATAAAATTCAAAAATATAAAAACCTATTCATAATAAAAAATTGCCCGGCAATGACGATCATTCGTCGTCTACAAAAGACATTTCATTGATCAATCAATGACAATGACTTATCTATAATTTTCATTAAACTGACGACAGTTAGACGTCAAAGTTGCGTGAAAATTACATTGAGCAATCATCGAGTTTTGTAAGCGACGTTTCAAATTGCCATTTATTTATCGTGTATCATTCAATTTTAGCGCTACAATTTAAATTTAAATGAAAACGAGAATATCTCTGGGGGAACATTATCAGCTTTATCTCAACTTTTAACGAAACAACGCGCTAAAGCAATGAACGATTCGGCCTAGTACATATAGAAAAAATAATAATTGTGCACCGGAGCATAAGTGCAAGTGTAAGAGATAAAAAGTAGGTTTGTGGTCGCGCGCACGCGGCTAATGCATATAAGTAAGGCCAGTGCAAACTCATCATCGATTGAGCTGTGTGTATGCACTTATTCGTCGCGCCATGCTCGCTCTCAAATGGACTATCTGTCAGGCGTGTGCGGAGTAGTCGATGGCCGATGCTCGCAACTGCCTTTCTCCTCCCAAATAAACGCGCATTATATGCTCGCGTCCGGCACGCGCACAATCTGTTTCGAAGCTAGCGTCTTTGTCAACGGAATGGGCCAAATGATCCAACCGCTAGTGGTCGAAACCAAACTTTCGCGACTCGTGAACATTCTAAATTTCGATACTCGCGATGAAAAACCAAACAGCGACAACAAAAATCATCGGGCCTGTAAAGTTCAAAAAATTGTCACGTTACTGACCACTAGAGCTGGCGACGTCCAAGCCAAAGCGGTTTCCATCGATTGTCTGACCTTCGCCGCCGACCCCCTGGACGGTCTCGCTGCGTGCGAAGCGCTGCGGTGCATGCGACCGGCCGCGCTCGGACTTGCGAGGAGGAACTCGCGAGATTGGCCAGTAATAATGCGCCGCCGACTCGGCGAGCGACCCGCGGCCAACTGCTCCTGCGCCAGAACGCGTGGAGTCGGTGGGTGCACACAATCGGACAACGATATATCGTATGTATATAGTGTATCGACTCCGTCCTCGCTGCGCGTCGCGCGACTCGGCGACCTGCTTTATCGAAGCTCCAACACGTGCATAATCGTCGATTGTCTAGTCGACGCGATCGTTAACGAAACCAAGTTTTTTTACGAGTACGAGTTAAATATTGAATGATTGATTTTGATGTGTAATAACCGCTGCTCTGCACGATTTTTCCTTTTTTCTATTTTCCCGCGCTTAGGAGCCACTATTCTTGAATGATGCTCGAGATACGCTCATCTTGATAGATTCAAACGATTAAAAAGACTAAAATTACATTTTGTCTAGAGGTTTGTTAAAAATTGATTATTAAAAATGTATAGTTATGTTATTGTTCAGGTAGGTTTGTATTCAATTAACGAGCAGTTTTCATGTTGATTATATATAAATTTATATATTTATGATCTTTTTTTTTTCTTTTTTGTATTTTTTTCATATTTATGATCTAATAACTAAGCACAATAATACTTAGTTAAATATTTACTAACTGAAACAAATCAAGTATTTCGGTAAAAATTTAATTTAAATAGGAATCGGCAGATCTTTAGCTACTAATAATAAAATTTGTTCAATGCCAAGACACCAGTTCCTTATATCTTTTGACACCTTGCACCAATTTTCACCATGATGAGGTTCAGCTGCGACGCATCGTTTCTTAACGTCTGCCTGTTGTTCTTCAGTACCATTCAAAAGTTCAAATTTATAAAAATATGCCCAAGCATCACCTAAATCTGGATCTATTTTAACTGTTTTGTTGAACCAATCGCGACATTTACTTATTTTATTAGGATCGCACCAGAGCATTCTGAAAAAAATTGTTATATTTTGTCAGGAATATTATTAAATGAAACGAATGAAATTGAAAAAAAATCGGTACTCACTTTGCTATAGCTAGAAGTACGTGTGGATCATGTTCACATTTTTTACACGCGTCTACACTCTTTGTTCTCCTTTGAGGTCTGGGCTCCATAAATATAGATTCAGCCCACAGTATTCCTGAATTCGGACATTCCTGAAGAGCTTTGGCCATTAGAGTATTGGCCATTTCACGATTTCCGCCTATGTTTAATTCTATTCTTATGGCCTCAAGCCAAAGTTCGGCGTTTTTAGGGTTGCGCAATCTTGCTTTTTCTAAGACTGAACGAGCCTTGGTAATTTGTTTTCGTTTGATTTCTAATTGTGCCAATAGTTTCCACATAGGAATTGAAGTTGGACATTTTTTAAGCTGAAAAAAATTTATATATTTTTAATTAAAAATGAACTTATTTTGATGACTTTATTAATTGAAGATTGAAATTAAAAATGTAAAAATATGATTGTTTTTACTAATAACTTACTCCTTGATTGTAGGTTTCAATGGCTTTGTCAATTTTTCCAAGCTGCTGTTCAATTTGACCTTTCATCAACCAAAGTTTTGGAAAATCTTCAAAACTTTCTATAGCTTCTTTTAATAGTTTCAAAGCATCTTCGTTATTATTTAGAGCCCATTCTAATTTCGCGCTTTTCATCATCACTCGAGGTGTTGGCGCAGAAGCTCTGGCTTTTGCAAGCAATCGTCTCGCCCTTTCATACTCAGAGTTTTCTGATTCAAGTTTGACAGCAGCCAACCAAATATTTTCGGAATTTGGATTAGCTTGAAAAGCTAACGATAAGATACCTCTAGCAGCTGGTACATCACCCTGATAAAAAAATTAAAGAGTTAACTTATTGTCTTCAAAAAATCAATTTTAAAAATAAATATAAACTTACAGCCATCCATTTTGATTTAGCTCCCATAAGCCAAAGTACTTCACTTTTAGGACAATGAGCAACTGCTCTTTGCAGCAATGATTCCAATGATTCTCTTGTTCCGTACTTTTTTTCAAAGTATGCCGCTCTGAGCCAAATAGATTTCTTACTTGGAAATGCACTCAAAGCATAGGCATATACTGCCCTTGCACACTCAAGAGCTCCCTGATCAGCACACTGTAATATATTTAAAAAAAATGTTAATTATACAGTTTTATTTTAGTGATTTATTTAAAACTTTCATTAGATTAATCAAACAAAAAGCAATTACCTGTTCAGCATCTTCCATCCATGTGTGCTTTCTATCTTCCTCTTCAACTCCATAACTTATAACTGATTTAATTATAACTTGACAGCAGTAAACAGCACCCGCTTTTTCGGCTTCCATAGCTTCCTTAAACCAGTGCTCTCTGTTTATTTCTACTCCATTAGCACTCAAAGAAGAGATAGCTCTTTCAATAATTTTTTCCACCATGTGCTTATTGCCATTAGCTTCTTCTAATTTAGCAGCTGTTGTCCAAATTTGTCTATCAGTAGGAATATTTTCTCTTGCCTTATTTAATACTTTTCTTGCATTTTCATAAGTTTCAAGTCTTGCCAGTGCCAACCATAGATCAACATTAGTGGGACAACATTCAACAGCTCGACTTAACAAAATGCGCGCATCTTCTGGTTCCTCTAGTTCTACAGCAGCCTTCCAAAGTCTGACAGAGTTTGGTATTTGTTCTAAGGCTTTTCTATAAACTTTTTTTTTAGCTTTTGTCTCTGTTTCTAAATCTGCTGCTTTTATCCAAATCCTTACCGACGTGGCAATATGCTTCACAGCTTGAGCTATGACAGCTTTTGCTGTATCAGGTGGTTGTAGTCTAGCAGCTTCAAGCCACAGATCTTCGGATGAAGGATTTACTTCGCAGCCTTTCATGATCAAATTTCTTGCAGCCTGAACCTTTCCTACCACTTCTTCTAATCTAGCTGATGCTATCCACGCTGGTGGATGATTGGGATTTGTTTCTCTCACGGATTTGAGAAGCAATCTAGCTTTTTTAATATCACTGAAAGAATAGAAAAGAAAATATATAAGCATCCAGCTCATTGTGAATTTACTTTTTAAATTGAATGTAATGTTAAGTTACTCACTTGATATCTCCACCATAAGTAGGTATCATACTTTGAAGATCAGTTAGATAACCTTTGGGATCTACAACAGTTTGTCCTTCAACAGAATCTGAAACTTGTCTCAATTTCACATTCATCAAATTATTTCTAGCTTGACCAATTTTTCTCAAATCCAAGTCTCCTGTTGGAGTAAGCATTCCTGGTGTAGCCACACCAGGTAACATTGACGCTAGACCACTTGATGGATCAATAGTAGTGGCTGTTTCTCCTCCTAAATTTCTAGCTAATACTGAATCTGGAAGAGGTGTGAATTTTTCAGCTCTTGGATTTCTTTGTTTTCTGTTTCTAGCATCACCCACTTCAGGCACATTTCTCCATTCACTTTCTGAAACACTAGCTAAATCTCTCTTTAAATCAGAAAATTGCTGTTGGATTTTGGGTCTTTCCTGTCTGTAGCGTTCTAACTCCTCTCGTAATCTTCTTTCTCTGTAATCTTTTCGTTTTTCATCCATACGTTTATCTATAGCTTCATATATTGCATCAGCCTCTTCATCGTCTTTGTCATAGGGATCCTAGAAAAAATATGCATCTATTCGAATATCATTAATAATAGTAGAGTGCTTGATTCAAAAAGCATTTTTAAAACTTACTTTGCTGAATAGTGATCCTCCATATCCAGAGAATTCATCATAATTAGAGTCGTTAAGATCCTCCTCATCTTCTTCCTCTTCTTCTTTTTTTTTTGCTCTTTTAGTTGGTGGAGCATGTCTGTCATCTCTATAAAATGAAAATCATAAATTAAGCAATAAATGTCTATAGAAACTCACTTACGTCAATAGAAAAACACTTACGAAACATCATTAGCATCACGAGCGGGTCCAATATCAGATCGAGTCGTAAATCCAGTGGCTCTGAAAATTTATTCAATAGTTATAGCTTTTGTACACGATCAAAATAGATTAAGAAGATGGCAAAGTTAGCCAAAAGTAAAATTTTCCAACTTGTTTCCTGAAACTGGAACTAATTCACTTGACTAACTGAACCACAATAGATTGTTTCAGTAAAAGGTTCTATAGCAACCTTGATTTTGATATATTATAGAGCATCATAGAGTTTTTTAGAGAAAATATATTTAGTAAATAAAAATGTCAAAAAAAAGGATTGAAAATTTGATTTTTGGGCTAGCTTTACGTTGAGGTTATGCATGTTTAAAAAAAATACTGTACCCTCGACCAACACCAGCTACATATCCCAATGGAGCTGGGACACCAAGGAAGTATTTTTTATTTCTCGAAGATAAAGATGCAGGAGGAACAGCCATGTTTATAGCCGCAAACAGAAACAAATTGTTTTAAAATCCAATCGGTGTCGCGTTTGATATAAAACTGTCGACAGTCAACAACAACACTGAACACAGACAGCGACACGCGTGAAGAATGAGGATGGCAGAATGCAGATGGCTCAAATTCAAACTTCAATTGCGCTTGAGCGTGCTGCGTGATCATATGAAGTAAAGGGTCGAAGCATTTCTGCAATATGCTTGCTGCATTGTAGAGTGTTTACTGCACTTGTCAGAATGCAAAAGAAACAGGTCGAAATTAATCATAAACTCTGTTTTCAAAAATAAATTAATTTCAATTTTTTTCGTTATTTGTAAATTATTTATGTAGTAGTAGAAGATTTTTTTTTTATGAAAGTGATAAAAGTCACAAATTTCAGTGAATAAGGTAAATTTTCAGTAAAATAATTATTTCAAAAGTGGTCTTTAAAATATATTACTTCGATTAATCCTATATCGAGCACCATTTTTCCCCTAGAATAACCAGACCCACTTATAGGCTATATACCTAAATGAGCTTTTTGCACAGGTATACAATCGAAGTCGCGCGTGTGCCTTTATCAGTTGATACTGGTCTTTTTCACCTGATATGTCGCGATAACATCTGATTGTGTCTAGCTCGCTGGTAGCTAGGCTATATATACTTCCTATTAGCTGTTTCGAATCATAATAAACGACCGAATTTTTTTCCGTTCTTGTATCATAAAGAGCGAGGAAGTGGAATCTAATCATGAGCTTTAATTTACGTTTTACTGTACTCTTGTGATAAGTTAATAATTTTATCGCATTTAAGTAGCCAAGGCATTGTCATAGGCCATCTCTGGAAGGATAGAAGATTAAATGTGTAGAGAACGCTTTCATGACTCACCTTGATAAAGTAAAATTTGAGTTGTCAAGCAGTCTTACATTAACAAAGGTTTGATTTATTTTAGTATATTTTACTGACCATTCCTCATACGCTTGATAAATATTTTCAAAGTTGACTTGGAAATAAACTGAAAATAATTATTACATCCCTGCGAGTGTAATCAATACATACAACTATGACACATAGTACACATTAAATTGTAATTGAATTTGACTTCAGATTGCTTATAATTTTTTCAGTTATGATGCTTAACAGCTGGACAAAACACACCTTGCACTGTGTTTTATTGGCAACAGTCATAATAATATTTGAATATATATCTGGAGTTCTGAAATGGGGGCCAAGAGAAGAAGACACACTCGATCCTTGGGCAGTTTATGGATTTGTTGGTGCATTCACACTTTATCTACTGAGAACTTTGACCTTGCTCTCTTTACCACAAGTTTTATTTAACTTTTTTGGATTAACTATATATAATGCTTTTCCTGATAAAGTGGAACTTAAAGGTTCACCTCTATTAGCGCCTTTTATGTCTATAAGAATAGTGACACGTGGAGATTATCCTCAACTCGTAAAAGATAATGTAAACAAAAATTTAAATAAATGCATTGATGCTGGTTTGGAAAATTTTCAAATTGAAGTAGTAAGCGACAAACCAATTGGTTTAGTTGCTCACAGAAGAATAAGAGAAATTGTTGTACCATCTAGTTATCAGACAAGCAGTGGAGCACTTTTTAAAGCAAGAGCGCTTCAATACTGCTTAGAAGATTCTGTTAATGAGTTAGCTGACAATGACTGGATTGTCCATCTTGACGAGGAAACTTTATTAACAGAAAACTCTATTAGAGGAATAGTAAACTTTATTCTTGATGGAAAACATCAATTTGGTCAAGGTCTTATTACTTATGGTAATGAGCAAGTGGTTAATTGGTTGACAACTTTAGCTGATAGTTTTCGAGTCGCAGATGATATGGGAAAACTTAGATTACAATTTACTTTATTTCATAAACCATTATTTAGTATGAAAGGTTCATATGTAGTAACACAAGTATGTAAAATTTATAAAAGTACCAATCTTTTACCAAATATTCACCTCATTTTAAATTAAATAATTATTTTTAGATGGGTGCTGAAAGACAAGTATCATTTGACAATGGATTAGATGGGTCAGTTGCAGAAGATTGTTATTTTGCTATGAAAGCATTTTCTCAAGGATATAGCTTTAATTTTATCGAAGGAGAAATGTGGGAAAAATCACCCTTTACATTATGGGATTTTGTTCAACAACGTAAACGATGGGTTCAAGGTATATTACTTGTGGTCCATTCAAAGGCAATTCCTCTGAAAAATAAGATATTACTTGCAATATCTTGTTACTCATGGGTCACAATGCCATTATCTACATCCAATATTATTCTTGCTGGTCTTTGTCCCATTACATGTCCAATTATCATGGACTGTGTATGTACATTTATTGGCGCTGTAAATATTTACATGTATGTGTTCGGAGTTTTAAAGTCATTTTCTATGTATCGCTTTGGAATGACTCGATTTTTATTGTGCATTTGTGGAGCTTTATCCACTATTCCTTTCAATTTAATCATTGAAAATGTTGCGGTGATATGGGGGTTGTTTGGAAAAAAACATAAATTTTATGTTGTAAATAAGGAAATCAAACCTATTATTCAAGTCTGATACTTAATTTGTTTAAAAATACTTATTAGTCAATTCTGTAGTCAGTATGCATGTGTTTCAAATATTGTTGAAAAACTAGTTTTTTATAATAAAATTTATCTAGCTAAAAATCTTTGATAAGGTACTGTCATATACTTCTGACATAAATTTTAATTGTTTAATTTAATTATTATTAAGCTTCATTGTAATATGATTTTTTAGAATCATTTTGTTCAATTGTTAAAAGTAAGCTGTTTTTTTTACCAATGTAGCTAGCAATTATTAGACAAATAGTGTAATAATATTTACACTCATAGCTTTAAAAGAAACTTCGTAGTTGTGAAAAAATCGATAAAAATATAAGTGAAGGGGCCAATATAAAATCTTCAGCTCTTTAGATACAAAGTTAATCTTTTGAGGAAAAATTATGCTTAGAAGATAATTAATGGTGCCTAGTCAAAACAACAAAAGAAAAATTTAATATTTGCTATTAATAGTAAGTAAAACAAACAGTATTACACAAGTAAAAATTTGGAAAAACTATACTGTGCACAAATATTATAGAACTAAAGAAATTCTGAATACTTCATATCGTTATAACTTATAATTGTTTTATAGTTATAAAATTTATTTAGAAATGAAATGTCTTCTATATTTTCATATTGATGTATCAATGCATTGATCTACAGATACATATAAAGCAAAAGCAAAACATTTAATCTAAATATATTGACTATAGTTTTTTACAGAACTGTAAAGTCATGTCCACATTGACTTTATTCAAGAAAATAGAGTCTAATGAATATATTTTGTTTTAGAACTTAATATTAACTTGCATGCAATTCAATTGAGATTTTTATCCTTAAAATCTTTTTTCAATAAAAAGTTTTCAAGGAAAAGTTATAAAGTGCTCTTTTGTAACTTTATTTCAAATCAAAAATTTTCTGCAAATATCTGTAAGCTGCATCTATTAAATGATCACGAATCTGCGAAATACTATCACATATCATACAAATCAAACGATTATAATCTAAAATATAATGTCATTCATGTAAAATATAGAAAACTGAATAATCAACCAAATGTCTTTAAATCTTCAACCCTGTTCTGCATTAATTAAAAAATTCTTTTGTATATCAAAAATTTTTTATTAAAATTATGGTAAGTAATTGATATAGGAATTTGTAAATTTTGTTTTTATGCAATTATGCTGCAATGAAATATAGGAATATCTACAATCTACATTCTGCAACCTTGAATTGAATCACATGCACACATCGTTTTACTACAAGGTTGAGCTCTGTTTTTTCAAAGAAAATATAGAATTCAATAAACAACACAATAAATTGTAAATAGTACCAATTACATTTTCATCAACCAACTTCTTATTTTGATTTCCAATTAGAATTTTTGATGGTATTATGAAGGATTTTTAATTTATATAAATAAAATTCTTGAAGATGAATACACTTTGTTTCGAATATAAATGAAAAGTTAATAGATAGTTAACTGAAAATTACCTTTAAAAAAATTTATAAAAGTTGTTTCAGTTTTATGTGTAACATTTCAAAAGAGATTAACAATTTAAATATTAATAATATTCTTTCGGGGATCTATGCCGATATGGACATCAGGCATTGATAGATTACTTATACGTCGTGTATCACACACGCCCACGTATAATGCTCATTTTTAAACGCTAATTTGTTGTTTTCATAATTAATCATCAATAAATTACTACTACCGAATGGTTATTTTGAATAAACTGCATCCGATGAGAAGAATTATCAAGAGTCCCGCCAAATTTTGCGTCATAACCTTTTGCAAATACCAATCCAAATACATTATCGCTCATCTTTACAAATTCTGCGTCAAAGCAAAGGATGGCTGCTTGCTAAGTGCGTGTAAATAAACAAGTCAATGTTTGGTGCATGTGATCTCATTGAACATAACATACTTCTAAATCTAAGAAAAATGTGTTTTGTTACCAAGTGTTACAATCTAGATACATAAAAAAAGTTCGAATTTTTATTAGTTTAACTCATATTGTATACAAATTTTGGAATAATGAGTGAATTCAAGCTTCACCATTTGGTTGTGGAACTAATCGACTTGCTGGGGTAAATTAATAATTGAATTTATTTTGTATAAGCAGTGAAAAAATATTTTTTGACATTTCAGTTCATCTTCTGCACCCGAAAAACATGTAGAGAAGTTGCAAAAGGAAGGCTCTGCAACGAATGTTGTCACATTAAATTCAGTAGCTACACAAAGCTGTGTTAGACAATTAGCTAAAAATTCACCAAATGCAGAATTATTCATAAAAAAATATGAGGAACTTAAATCCAAGAAGTAAGGTTTATTTTCAATCAGTAACTTGGCATTTTAAACAAAAATTTGTAACATTTTTGTTGATTATTTTAGAGTGGACATGTTAGGTCCTTTTATGCAATTATTGGAATTCATATCAGTAGACAGAGAGCTCAAGAGTTATTTGAATAAAACTTCATCCTTAGCACCAGTAACAACTTCAAGCACAACTATTACAAATGAAGATTTACCAAAAGTTTGATTTTCATGTCTTACATATAAACTTACAATTTCCAAATAAACATGAAATTAATTTTCAGATATTTAAAAATGTAATCAAAGCAGCTCATGAGGGTGAGAAGAAATTAAACAAACAACTATGCCCTGTCAATACAGAACGCGATATTAGTCATATGAAACATACTTGGTCCAGTGAAAGGCCAAGATTATCGTGGAATTTTCAAACAGAATCTCCTGCTCTGCAACTGCAAAGTATTTAATCACATTTTTTCAATTACTCTCACAATTTATTAAAGAATAAAATTAATCCTAAAAATTATAGAAGTGGTCCCAAGTATTTCACAAGAATCAGTTCTTTTATGGGATACATTGCAATGTTTAAAGGGAATAGATGGGTCTTACATTGTTTCTGAAACTCCAAGCCACCCATATGGACCTGTAACTTTTAAAATATCTCCAGATGTTGGTGAGTTTATAACTTGATAATTTAATATGCGTTAGAATGTTATTTATAATATTAAAAAATTTGGTAATTAATTTTTTTATTTAAACTTTTATGGAGAAGCATTTTTAAAACAAATTCAATGTTTAATTACTGATTTACTTAAATTTTACTTTAATTACAGGTGTTTCATTCAAACAACTAACAGAACAGATTCTTCCACTTGCTTCTCACTATTCCATGACAGTCAGATTTGTAGAAGAAAAAATGTTACCCGATGATGGACAAGTAAATCATGCTTTAAGAGGAGCATTAAGTTCTTTACTCAGAGATTATTTGGTACAAAATAATGTTGCATTAATAATTTAATCAAATTATAAGTTAATTGACTAATATAATAATTTGTTATGATAGTTATTTGTTGTACAATTAGAAATTGAACATCTCAGAGGAAAGTTAAATTTACAAAAATTATGGTTTTACATTCAACCTACTCTGACAACCATGTCAATATTGAATCAGATAACTTCTACTATTTTTAAGGTATTGAGAATTTTCAATAACTAAGACTTTTATGCAAGAAAATTTTCAAATTATTATCTTATTCTATTTTTACAGGCAAATGCAAAAGGTGGCAAAGTTTTAAGTCTGCTGCATGAACAAATTAATAATATGAGCGGAGAAGCCAAGTGTAAAGAATTGTGCTTATTTTTGATAAAAGCAGCTAGTGTACCTTACATGCAAACTTTGGAAAAATGGGTTTACAAAGGTGTCATATATGATCCATATCAAGAAGTATGTTAGACATGGTAATTCTAATAAAATTGAACATTTAATTTACTTCTTTATATTTTCAGTTTTTCGTTGAAGATAATGAATTAATTCAAAAAGAAGAATTACCAATGGATTATTCTGCTGATTATTGGGAAAAAAGATATAGCATGAGGCCTGAAAGAATTCCTGTTTTTCTTAGCGAACACGATCAAACAATTTTGAGAACAGGAAAATATTTCAATGTCATTAGACAATGCGGTGAGAAACACAGCTTTCATATAGTTTAATCTTAGTAAACATGAAAAATTTAAATATTATAAAATGAAATGTTCATAGGTAAAACTGTCCAATGGGGAAAGCAAGAACCTCTAGTTTATCAACACAGGGATCAGAAATTTATTTCTGCTATTGATAGAGCTTATTCTGAAGCAGCTAGAACTTTACTTGAAGTTTTAATTCAAGAAAATGATTTGATGGGAAGATTACGAAGTGTCAAAAATTACTTTTTGTTAGCTCAAGGGGATTTCGTAGTTCAATTCATGAATCTTTGTGAGCCTGAACTCAGTAAAAATATGTATGATATTGTGACTCATAGATTATCATCTCTTCTGGAAGTGGCATTAAGAATGTCTACTGCTGACTCTGATCCATATAAAGATGACTTGAAACCTGAACTATTGCCTTATGGTCTACAATATCAAATGTTCAGAATTTTAACAATTCAAACTAATGAAGAAAAAGGTACTGTCATATGGCAAATAGGAACTATAAGTATATGCTGTCCTTGATAAAATAATTATGTTATGAAAATTTTGTTTCATAGAATATTGTGCTCAAGCTGATAAAACTGTTAGTGGGATGGAAGCATTTGTTTTTAACTATGATGTAAAATGGCCAGTTTCATTAGTTATCAACAGAAAAGCCATTGCATGTTATCAAATGCTATTCAGGCATTTATTTTATTGTAAGCACGTTGAAAGATTATTATGCAGGTATTTTATTAATTTATCCTTCAATAATAATGATCGCCTACCACTTTACTGAAATTAATATATTATTCAAGAGTTTGGATTAGCAATAAAATTGCTAAAACTTTCACTCATGAAGCTGCGATGACTTACAGACAAGCGTTCTCGTTACGTCAGCGTATGTTAGATTGTATTCAGCATCTAGAGTATTATATGATGGTTGAAGTTATTGAGCCAAATTGGTTAATGTTTTTGAACAAAATGAGCAAGGTAAATGATTTAATTTATTTATAAAATTATTCCAAACTAAACTAATATTAAAATATCTTTTTAGGTCAGTAATATCGACGAAGTTTTACGAGTTCATCAAGATTTACAAGACAGTTACCTAAAGGAATGTATGTTGATGGATCACGAACTTTTAGAATGTATTACTGGAGTTTGTTCAGTGTGCATTGAATTTTGCAAATTTATGCAGGTAAATTGAACTAACTTTTTTATATTGGTATACATTTTTGCGATCTTGGAAAAGCGATGTAAATTGATATGGCTTGAGAAATTTGAATATGAATCTTTGCTTATAATTAATGGCATTATACTCACATAAAGCGTATGAGCCGTTACTTCATTGATGCTGAATTGAGATCGATGATTGGAAGCTGTCAAGATGACATCTTTGAACCAGAGGTATTTTAAGAGGTTCAGAATGATTATGAGAAATTGTAATCTTGAAAATTAATTCAAGTAATATAGTTTAGTACCACTGCTTGCTTTCGTAATATTAAATGGACTCCATATTTTTTGTTCACAAATAGTATTGTTTTTAGTTGGTTTCTAATTTATTCAACAGAAAGATTTATATTACCTCAGCATGCATTATTTTCAAACATCAATTGAAATATAATTTCATATCTCAAAACATAGATTTTAACTTTAATTCTAAATAAAAAATTTAATATAAATCAAAGAAAGTCATCAATGCTTTCTGAGCACTATCATAAAGCTTAGGTACAATCATCTATAAAACCTGAACTTGGTTCATTTTTGTAAAAAAAAGTAGTAATTCTTTTATAATTTTTGATTAAATAACAATATCTAAGTTTAGTATTACATGAAATTGTGAACGCAGTCAAAAGATGAGTTATAATTAATTGTCTTTAATCATAAAATCATAATTTAAATCTAATTGCATGGAAATTTAATTTGAAAATTTCAGTATTTTAATAAGGCAGTTTTTTTAAATTGTCTGTGACCGATTGAAGTATATTTATTAGGAGAACTAATAAAAAGTTCGAGTATCTTTATATGGACATTTATAGCCGCAGTAATCTTTTTCCAACCAGGAAACAGTAATTTTTCTGTAATACAACGTGGAGTAGTTTGTTCCATTTTTTCGAGGAATTTGTTTTTTACGTAGTGTGTTTATCCCAAAATCATTTAGCGATAATTTCGAGACCCTGAGTACCGTGATCCAAGAGGTTTCTATAGTTCATTACTATTTCAATTCATTGGTTTTTGCCATTCAAGCTTGGGAGTCATTCAAAGAACCGCTTCTTCAGCCGTTTGATCAAGCTGCTGCAATATTGATACTCCACAGCTGCAGACCCCAAAGCATTTTAGCATAATTTATATATTTAAATTTCTAATCATTTTTACAAAAAATTTTTTGTTCAAGTAACTAATGTCATACATTTTTCAATTGATCTTAATTTTTACCGAATTTTTTGATGCACGTTCATGTTACTATTCATTTTTAAATCATTTTTTCTTCGTACTGAATGTTTTAAAACATATACAATTATTGCTTGGCATTGAATGCAAAAAGTTAAGTCATTTTATTCTTTAGGCGGAATGCAGCGGAAATTCAAGTGCCGACGGTGTGAATTTCATCGACAGAATTATGACTTTAGACAAACAATTTACGGAAGTATTAATTCGGCTTCTAAATCGAATATGTGATTTAGGATGCGACAACAGTAACGAAAAACTATTGAACGTAGTTTGTCGGTAAGTTGTTTTTTTTCATTCAATACGCTGCAAAAGTCGAGTGTTTTTTTAACCATCGAAAAAATTTTTTTCGTAGTCTGGACTTCAACCTGTATTATACTCAAATTCTCATGCAGAGAGATAGCAAGAAAAGATCGCAAGAGACATCTGGGTGACAAAAATTTGAAGGATAAGATCCGTTCGTCAGTTTAAAATATGTTCATTCATACAAAGTGAAAAACAATATATTACTTTTTTATATACAATAAATCGTTTTTTGATTAATTTAAAATCGTAAAGTAAACCTAAACTTATTATCGAGAGCGATTCAAGCATCTTGTGAAGGACTGGCAGACCGCGAAGGCGTTTGACTATTGACAGTGGCAGCGAGAGAGTTCAGAGCTTTCTCGATGTCGCCGAGACGATGACCGATAATGTGCTCGAGGCTTTTCACCTGACTCACCATCCGGTCGTAAGCCGAGGTATTTTCTCGATCCGCTAGGATCTCCTTGGCTCGGCGCACCACCATCGGTTCCATGCGACCCATGCTCGACGTCATGCCATGGGCTCTGATCTTCGACTCGTTGAACGGTTGCACGCTTATCTTCGCCTGAGGCAGACAAGGGAACAGCAGCACTCGACGGATCAATCGACGAAACAGACCCAACCTGGCCAGACCCTCTGGGCGATAGCAGCAACAGCAACAATTGGCAGGTTTGGCCGGGGGTCCGCCGACGGCCACTTGATCCACGTAGGCGAGCACGCGGGTACGCGCCACCAGGCCGACGATCTCGGCTTCGGCAAGTATCTCGGCCGCGTCGTTGACCGCCACGCCGGTGAAGATGTTCAACAGAATGATGACCGCGAAAAAGATGAAGCTAACGAACACGAATCGGCTGAACGGTGAATTGGAAAACGGCAGCCCGGTCGCGTCGAACTCGCCCGTGAACATGACGATCGTCCTGAAAAGCGCCGAGTCGGCGGTGGCAAAGCTGTCGTCCTGGCTGCGGAACAGTTGGAAAAATGCCATTGCGAATGCCATGAGAAGGAGAATGTACAGAAGAAGGAACTTTGTGAAGTTGGCCGTGACAGTCTTGAACATCTCGAGGTTGCTGGATAGGAGGCTGCGAGGATGCGGAGATATGAGCAGTACCAGCTCCCACGTGGAAAGCAGGATCGCTACAGCGGATATCTCTGGCCCTCCGCCCAGTAACAGAGCGATGCTCGCACCCACCAACGTCAACTCCAGCCAATTTGTTACTGTCGTTAGATACTGCAACGGCGACGAAACAAACTGCAAAGTTTCGCGAACGATGAGGTAACACAGGGACAATCCAAATAACGTACTGAGCAATGGATGACTGTACTGTAAATTATCTGGTTCGTTCGAGGTGGATGTAGCTACCAAAAACAGACATATTTTTATTAAAAAATTGTTATAAGATGATAACGTAATCAATAATAACATCGAGCTCTTTACCATTTAACGATGGAGTTTCTTCGTTCCCCGTGACCCAAATGAATGAAAACAAAGAAACAAAATACACAAGGTAGAAAAAAAGGTTGATGTATATCAGATGTCTGACGCGCTGGTACTTGAGCTGGAGGAAGGACGCCAACAAAGGATGCGTGAGCAAATGACGCAAGTTTTTGCGCTCGGACAGGTACATGCAGACGTCGGTTTCCGACGACAATTGCTCCGACAACGTATCCTGCAACATGTGACTATTTTGCTGCGATTCTTTCAAGTCTTTGATGTCGTAGTCATCTTTGTTGAGGCAGTGTGTACCGTGCGGTACAAGGTTCCTGTAGTCTATTACTATTTCGAAATCCTCGGTATCCTCCTTGGAGCTTTCGAGGCACTCGTTGAATCTCTTCTCCAGCTGCTCCACTTTCAGCTCGTCCAGTACCGACTCGCCGAAAACGTTTCTGTGGCCGATGTAGGCGCCCTTTTCCAGCAACAGTTGCACCCCTTGGTCGCTCGAGGCACGCGTCGCGTAATGCAGCGGACTATTGCCTTTGTCTGCAAATTATCGCAATGATTTTATCGTCAGAAATATATTTTCTCGCAATGGCAAGAAGAAAAAAGTAGAGTTTTACGTACCGTCCTGTTGGCGTACATCGACGTTTTCCTGCTCGAGAACGAGCTCGAGGCATCGGAAACGCGGCGCAGCGGCGTCGTGATCCTGCGCTGGTCTGGGCTCGAGTCTCGTGCAGAGCGCCTGACTGGCGGGCATCAGCAGCTGATCGGCGAACTCTCGCGCCCCGAGCTTGAGCAGCCGGTCCAGCACCTCCGGCCAGGCGTGCTTAATGGCCAGCTCGGCCAGAGCCGCCAGCTCGGCGGGGCCGGGCGCGAATCGATGCAGCAGTTGGTCCAGCGGTCCGGTCAGACCTCGCATCGTCGCCTTCTTCAGCAGCTCGAAGACTCCCTCGGGCGTGCCCTCGATGGTCTCGAGGGTGCGTTCGAAGTTGGCCGGGTCGTTGGCCGTCAGGTAGTGGAAGAGCGCGCGCGACGGATCGGACGTCGTGGCGTTCGGCAGTTTTATGTCGGGGAATTGACGCTCGATGGTCGCGCGAGCCGTCTCCTTTCGTCGTGGCTCCCTATCTCGCGAGATCAGAATCGTCAAAAATCGGCCAAGCGATCGTTTCACCGTATACGCTTTGGTAATACTCACTTGTAGGTGTCGATGTCGAGATAGGCCGCGTGTTCGATCATGAAACGCACCATATTCTCTCTGGCCAATTGGGCCGCCATGTGCAAGGCCGTCAGACCCTTGACGTTGGGTATATTGGGAGTTGCCTGGGCCTCGATCAGCAGCTCGACGCAGCGCTCCGAGTTGGCGCGGACCGCGTAGTGCAGGGCCGTCTGTCCCGCGGGAGCCTCGAGGTTCGGCTGGATTCCCTTGGCCTTGAGCAGCACCGCCAGAGCCGAGTCGCTGCCGTTCTCGGCGGCGAAGTGAATCGGCGCTCGGTCCAGTTCCGGATTCACCAGGTTCGGATCCGCGCCGAAGCCCAGCAGAGACTCCACGAAGTCCGGCAGATTCTCCGCGGCGGCTTTGTCGAGGAGTCGCTTGTTCGTCGTGTCGGGTATGAGATAATTGACATCGATCGTGACTGGACGCTCCGCCAGTCCTTTTCGGATCATCGCTTTGAAATTCGCCAGACGCCTGTCCTGCATGGCTTTCAAGAGTCTCGCGTAGGGCTCCCGTGACCTCATCTCCCACGTCTCGCCGACGCTCGGCGACTTCATTTTTCTCCGTTCTCGGTGTCCTGTGAACTTGTGATCGCCGATCGGCGGCGGCCCCTCTTTATCGATCTCTATCTGCAAACAAGTCGGTATACATTAGAAATTCATCAAGCTGAGTGCAGCGGCGACGTACTCTCGCGTCCATTGGGAATCATAACAGAAGAAAGTGGCTCGCAAACACGCGACTCGCGGAAACAATTCGCTTCGTTTGCCAATGTAGCTCACTGCACATACAATAGAGGTGTGTACACACTCGACCGGGGAAAAAAAGTGAAAAATGACAAATTATCGGTCCTCGCGCGCTCGCTCTAAGACAGCCGCTCTTTAACCGCTTCACGAGTAATATCGATCTGACACTAACACTCCAAGCCCTGCCAGACCCGCGTACGCGCTGATATGTGTATGATTTTCGCAGTTTGTATGATCGCCATACGCATTACTAATTCAGCGCTATCGACTGCACACGCGGCGGCGGCGGCAGCAGCCCCCATTCGCGAGCCAACCGGACAATTATAAAATCATAAATGTAAAGCTGTTTATGAGACAGCAAGCATTATAAGACAGCGAGCATCAGTCAATGATCATTCTGTGTATAACATAACATGTATAAAAGCTGATAAGTCTTTTAAATATGTTTATACCTTTCTGTATCACAATTTATTTCATGAAATAAACGTAAGTTTATAAAAAAAAATAGATGTAAAGCTGTGCTCTGCTGCTCCTATACGTTTGTATAATGTATCTAGAGCTCAGCTACGCCGAGGGCCTATTATTTCAGCGTATCTATTAATTTATGCGGGCGATAAGTGCGCGGGCGATTGTCTATAAGGTGTGCCGCGAAGATCGGCTGAGCTGAGTCCACCACAGCTGCAGTCGTAGCGTGGAAAGCAATAATGACTTATGGGAAACAGATAGCGCCTAATCGATCGAGATAATGCTGCTGATGCGATACTTGATTTACTGAGAAATCGGCACAGTCCACCAACACCGTACGAAAACAATATTATTATTTATTTTTACCGATCAAATTACATTTTACGCATCGAAGGTGAACTCGATTTGAAAACTAATATGGGCGTATGCATGCAAATTTTCAAGAACTATACATGAGAAAAGTCAAAGATACCAATAGAAAACGTAAACTGGTAAAGCAGAGTGCACGAGATTATTATTTATGTAATCGAACGGATACCGACAATTAGCGTTTATGGTGCGCTTTTCTCACGCATGTCGAGCAAGGATTCATGAAATGTTCGATGGTCACTTGCTTTGTTTCATTTTGTTTGTTTTTTTTTTTTTAGTTTTTTTTTTCAGAAAAATAGTGACTTCATCGCTCGAGCCATCCAGACACACGAATTGAATCATCAATTTAGCTCGCGAAAGGCGACACTCTCGCGTCGTGCGAGTGGATATAATATTGCCTTATTCGCAGCGACTGAAGAATATACGAAGAGCGAGCTGAAAGAGGAGTAGGAACTCGTCCGTCCACCGCTATGCACACATATATACAGGCGAAGGTCCACGACAGAGATTATAAACCGACACCTACGTTGCCACAGAGCGAAATATATATGCTGCGTTCGCGAGAGAGTTACACCCACTTGTAGCGCGCCGCACTGCACTGCACTGCACATCGTAATCTCACTGTCTTTTTCCTTGTCTTTTTTTCTCTATCATTGAATCACTCGTTATGTATTACATGCAAAAACAATTGATTCTCACCTGCTTTGAACGTTATTACAGAAATCGAAACGGAGACAAAAATCGCTTCGTGACATTTAGCTCGCTCCTCGATCCCATGGGCTCGCATGCGGCGTGCAGACTGTTACTGCCTATAGTGCCCAAGCCTGACTCGCCGCTCCACTGTGTCGCCTGTGCCTGCGGCCACTTACAATCGCCGTAATTCTATCGTACGTGAGAGTCACGTAAACGAACGAGAGCGAGATCGGTCTGGAGCATCGGCATGTGTGTATATTATTATAGAGCTGGCGATGATGTAAAGCAAACCATATCTCGGCCTTAAAAAACCGGTGTCTCGCACTCTCGATGGTTTAATCGCTGATCGGAAATGTAAATTGAGTTATAATACATCGCGCGCGTAACCAGCCGAAATATCGCTCCGCGTCCGTTTCGCGTCCGATCTGTATTGCGGTTTCTTGATTCCGCTGTAAACTTCAGATAAACTTGTTTCAATATTGACACGGGGCATAGCTTTTTATATATAAAATATTATACACCAGAACTCGGTACGCGATTTTTATTGATTTCGCGCTAAATATTATCTTTCGTTAAATTATTAATTAAAAAAAGATCTAATTCAAATGGCAACAGATAAATGAGGTTTCTCAAACTTGAGGCTCCATAGTATTCGATTCTGATTTTCAATTCTTTGATGTACGATTGTTTTCTATTTATTATGAGGTCATCGCGCAACAGCATTATTGTAATTACCGGAGCGCAACTCCTGTTTCTATTTATCACCCGCACCTCTTGTTATTCCACGAGTCGCGATTAAACTCTAAGATGAAAAAATTACAACAATTATACACTATTATACAGTATTAGTACAATGTAAATTATACAGTACTAACTTGCATGATTGACAAGTTCTAATTTTTTAAAATCATTCAAATTTTTAATTAGCAACATTATTTTTTCACAATTTCTGAAATTGTGTTTATTTTGTTAGTTATTTTTCATGCAAATTAAGCAAAATAATAATAATAATTTACAATGATATGATCGTGTTTCGATGATGCTTAAGAAAGCCGGTTCGTCGAAAAATCTATACTTTCGAATTGCGAGGATTAAGATCACTTATCTCAATGTTTGGCAAAAAATATATCTTTTGTGTGCTGTTTTGTTTCCTATATTTCTTTTGTAACGTCAATAATGAGTGAATAAAAATATCTTGAAAACCTCAAAATAAATATGATGACTTAATTTTAGCCCACTCAAAAACCCCTGACATTTAATTTTCAAGAAAAAATTTAACGTTTTTTATAATACTCATAAGTTTGAAAATGCATGCACAAAATCGGCTTTTTACACATTTACGGGTTAAAATGGTCTGCGCAGCTGCGTTTCCGCCAATAGTCGAGCCAGAAAGTTAACGTGTAGTGGATCAATTTTCATCGTATGTTCGTGTAAAGGTATTGCGATGTTCAGTCGACCGTCGAGTTCAAGAACGTGCATATATTCATTCGAAAAAAATACGAATTCTTTTGGTCTAAGAACAATTGAAACCGACTAATTTTTACATGTAAATTTATACAAATTACTATTATTCTTTGCTGCATGTTACACAAAAGAGTAGATAATTTGTTCAATTTATCATAAATTTTAATTTATTAAGGATACATTTTTTAACTAAAATAATTATTTTTGCTATTAGTTTAATTCATTCTTGTCGCAATGCGTCATTGAGAGTGTCTATACTGCCTTAAAAAAAATGTATTTTCATTTCGTTGACAATCTAGGTATGAGAAGTTTGACAGCTAATCTCGATCGGTCTAAAACACAGCTCTGCATACATTGCAGTTGCTTATAAATAATTTTTACTCTCATGTTTTTTCAATAATACTATTGAATTTTTGTAGCTCTATTATTCAGCCCCCATTTTTACTTATTACTTAACGTTACACGTAGATAATTGAGTTGATTGTAATAAAAGCTGGGCCTCATTGCTTAAATGATTATTTTATAATATTATATAAATAACTCCTGCACAATTATTCAAGTTTTTTTCATTTATGTACAAATACATCAAAATATTGTACATTTCACAAACGCGGATGAGCATTAGTTCGATGTGATAATTAATTGTTCGATACATTCGTCACGATCAACGCTGTTGAAAGGTGCGTCAGCCAATTGACGAATGTGTCGCTTTGAGGCCGCCAACAATTCTCATGGTCCCCTTCGTAGAATTGCGTTTGGCTTCAATATAAGGACCGATAAAGATTAGCAATAAATGGCAGTATCCACCCACGCTGGATCAACTAAGAATAAGTATTTTTTTCTCTCTCAATCCATTAGTGCCCGAGAAAGATCATCAGTTGCAGTGCGCATCGAGTGCAGTGATCATCGTTCGGTCCTGGTAGTTCTTAACGGAGCATGGGTGGCTTGACTCAGAGGCCCTGGACACCCACCAAGAGACGAGGCCCAATCGCCGCGGAATTTGTTACTCCGGGTCCGGCATGCGTTGCTCTACCGCCTTTGACTGGTAACGTTAATATTCTGCTGCTTATTTCTTGCTCAATTTATTTTATAACAATTGCAATCGAAATTTTTTTCGTAGGTAAAACGATGACAGATTCGAAAAAGGGTAGAGCCCCAGCCTTTTCGTTTGGAAGCAGGTTATTACATTTTTTTGTAAAATCATAATGAAAAAATATAACATTATATTGTAATTGGCAATGTTATATTTAATATTTTAGGCACTCAAACAAAAATGATAGTCCAGGACCAGGACCAGGACAATACAATGTTTCTGGTCTAAGTTCGAAAGGTAATAAATAGCTTAATTCCAAAATCCTTCGTCGATTCGAGCAAGCTAAATAATATTTAAATCAATTTGAATATTACAACCATTTAAAAAATTATCTACCTATGAAATTTCCGTAACAGTAGAAGCATTTTAACAGTCGCATGCAACAAGATACTCTAGTTATCGATCAAACGAACGCAACGTGAACATGCTCGAACATTCCTTTGCCCATGGCATACCTCCACTCCAACATTAATCGTAAATGCTGTTAAATCTTCGTATGTCACGAAGATTTTCGATGCGATGACCTTTGACAGGATTTCAGAGCAAGATTAATTTTCGGGGCGTTTGTTTTGTTAGGAAAAGATGCTGCACCATCGGTTTCGTTGCATGGACGAACAAAGACTGGAAAAATTGAAATTACTCCTGCCCCGGGTGATTACGATCCGCAAAAAGCCGAAAAAATGATTGCCGATACTTCGCCAAAATTTTCTTTTGGTATTAAAACGCAAACCGAAAAAGTCGATCATACTCCCGGTGAGTGGATTTGTTAAGTACATATAAATTGATGTTTGAAAAAGTGTTCAATCACATTTGTTTATACCAATACATGAATAAAATCATCAATTTTCATTTTTAAGAAATTAAAACAACAATAATTGAATCTAACAAGATGTAGGAGTTTATACCATTTTTAAAGTATGTGCACTAGTAGAGCTTTTTGTATATGTATTTCTAATATCACTGCTTCAATCAATGACACGTAATATTTTCACCGCAATATTTTTCATGTTAGCATTGAATTCTTTAATGATAGTGATAGAATTGATTCAAAGGAAACCTTAGTTTTTGCTTGATCATATTTTTCGCTAAATTAACTATCTAGTTAAATGGACAATTGAATTTACAAATGACGTATATTTTTTATCCACATTCTTTAATATTTTATAGCACCAGGAGCCTATTATCCCGAAAAATTTCATTTTAATAAATTACCAGAATATAGCTTTGGAGGCACTAAACCGTTGGACAAAATTGAAGATTCTCCAGGTACGGAAAATTACTAGTAACAAAATAAATCTTTGCTGTCACATGTTACAAAATACTTGTATCAAGTGGGTGGTAATATACCCTGTAAAGTATCACAGTTTATTCAGACCTTTAACTTTAAATATTAGGATGTCATTTTTGAAAGTATTCAAAAATTTAAAAAGTCGATTTTTTAAAAAATCCAAAATTATGCCAGTACTTCAAAAGTATATATTTTTTTTAGCACCAGGTACTTATTCACCCTCGTTGGGAGAACTCGATTGTAGTCCGAGATACAGTTTTGGTCGTCGAACATCTATTAATAAGATAGACGATACACCAGGTATAGATTTTAAAATATTAATGTTTTCGACTGACAAATGATTCAATAATTCAATCTTTTGTGTTATAAATGGTATAAAAATCATTAGCTCCTGGTACATATTATCCTGAAAAAGTTAATCTTGACAAAGGGTCTGAATTTACGATAGGAAAAAAAAGATGCATTGAAAAATTCAATGATGTACCAGGTAACGTTCTTCTTCATAAATTTAATAATTCTCAAATTGATTTCGATTTTTGTTAAGCCCCAGGAACATATTCACCGGAAAAAAATACAACTAATCAAAGTCCTCAGTTTAGTTTTGGATCAAAAACCACATTAGATAAACCTAATGATGTACCAGGTAAATAATATAGTCTATTATTTTCTTCTTACAATTTTTTTACATTTTTTTTCATTTAGCTCCAGGCACATATTTTTCGGAAAGAGTAAATCTCGGAAAAGGACCAGAATACAGTTTTGGGCATCGATCCCTTGATCAAAAAAAAAATGACACACCAGGTACATTCATGAATAATTGATTAGAAATCGTTGAATAAATACAAAGTAAAACAACTTTTATTTATATGCTATAGCTCCAGGCTCTTATAGCCCTGAAAAAGTAAATTTATCTAAAGGGCCTGAATACAGTTTAGCTGGTAAATATATTAATAAAACAGCTGTTGATGATAAACCAGGTAAGCCATTGCCTATAGATTTTAAAAGTATTAGTGGTAATTTTCATTTATAATGAACCAATAATGATTAAAGCTCCTGGAGAGTATTTTCCGGAAAAATATTCATCTGGTGTAAGCCCGAAGTACAGCTTTGGATGTCGAACTTCTACTGAAAAATTCGACATAACTCCGGGTAAAATAATATAGAAGTAGTAAAAAAGTATGAAGATTGTAATTTTGAATTCTCTTAATGATAATCATAAATTTAAGGACCAGGCCAATACTACCCTGAAAAAGTCGATTTGAATAAAGGCCCAGAATATAGCTTGAGCGGAAAACAATCATCGACAAAGTCTAACGATGTTCCAGGTAATTTTCACTAGATCCAGAAAGATTTTATAATTTTATAAAATTCTTAAAATCGTTATAAATAATATTGCATCAAATAGCAGTGCCCGTCCTATGTAGATCGAACACTTTCGATCGTACTACCGCACCACATTGCAGTAAGATTAGGACCGACGAATTCGATTCTGAACCCGGTAAATATTAGTCTAGTCTGTATTTTTATTAAAAACTCAATTGCGATGTATATGAGGAAGCGTACGCCGCAGCTCTCTCTGTCATACTTGCTAGTGGGAGCGCGCTCCTCAATTAATTTATAATTTACTCGAAATTTCTGGTGGACAATAACTTCGGTAAGTGCATGAAATAAATAAGAAATTTTCATCAAGCAGAATTGAATGGAATTCAGAACTTATAACCAATTCAAGTCAGAAACGTTCATTTTTTGGCGATTTAGAATTATTTAATAATTTATTTCATTATTTTCTTTGAAAAAACATTTGCAATATCAAAAATGTGATTTAAATGTTAAATTAGATTTTATACTTAGAATGAAATCATTTATTGCACGTTCTTCACCGTAATTTATAGCTTAGTAGATAAATACACAGTCGTTCGTTGAAATACTTTTGTAGTTTATAGCTATTCGAAGTAGTTTATATGAAGTAGTTTATAGCTATTCGAAAGTAATATCACACTTAAAAATTTGAATCAGTTGAATTGCAATTATGTGAAAAAATATTTTAATATAATACAAACTAAATCAATAGTTAGAAGAAAAAACAGATGTGATTGAAATTTACTCCGAATCAAAGCTCAAAATTTACTTACCAAATAGGACTATCCTGTCTGACTATTAATATCGAACAGAAAAATATGTCAAGAACTCCGATAACGCATTGACTTTGACCGTAGCTCCAAACGTGTACAATATTCCATCGGCCTTGCTGGGCGGGACGAAGGAGAGCAACATCAAAACGGCGCCGGCATTCTCCATCAGTGGACGTCAAAAAGTGTTCACCGACGATCGAGTTCTGGTGCCCGGGCCGGGCTCCTACGAATCCATCAAAGCTGACGCGATTCGCTCCAAGAGTCCGGCCTACAGCATGAGCGCGCGTTTCCAGCCTCACGGCACCGACAGCAGCCATCAGACCCCGGGCCCGGGGGCCCATTGTCCCGAAAAAGTAGGCGATAAATTAATTAACCGTACGCCAACGACCGTATCCAGTTAAACTAATCTGGTTATTTTATTTTTGTAGGTAATCTTAGACGTGCCGCCCGCTCATACGTTTGGTATTCGACATTCACCTTACATTTGCAACTTGAAAGATGCAGTATGTTAAACACGTTTTTCTTCGCGCTCGACGAGGTCATTTATTTATGTGCCGATATACTTACATCATGCACATTTAACGCTATATTTTTCTATTTTTTAAGTTTACTTATTATACATTTTAAAAATTAGATACTTGCGCTTGAATGCTAATGTTGTAATTCATTTCTTTCGTAAAAAAAGTTGTGTATTATACTACGATACGCGTAAAAACGTGCATCTTTCTTTATATTTATTCGTTGCTGTAGAAACCAAAATAACTGGTTTTGTAAACATACAAATAATTTGATGTTTCATGATGATTTTCATTAATGTAATTGGCACTCATAAAATTGTAAGCAGTTTAAAATATTAAATTTACTTTATTGCATAGACAAAATGCAACATGGACAAAAAGGCGTCTGTCTTGTATATTTATATAAAAGTTAATAATTGAGAGTATTAAAAATATACTTTAACTATTAATATCATTTATGGTAAGCATGCATAATTAAAAACTTGGCTACGCAAATTTTCACAGCCTGAATTATTTCATAAAAAATAAAAAATCTCTTAAACATAATAAATAGACTCGGGTAAATATTAACAATATTTTCAAGCCTTGTGTACACAATGGCCAGAAATCCATGTAGAAATAACATGTAAATCTTTGTCAAGAAATACAAAATCAGCTTGGGCTCCAAAATTCAGAACTCCTTTGTGACTTTGTATGCCTAAGAATCTAGCAGGATGAAGTGTGGCAGCTTCTAAAGCCTCTACTACTGAGCAACCTGTACAAAATTTATAATATTTTTCAGACACTTTTTTCTTAAAATTTAAAATTAATAATACATTTTTAAAAGTTTTTTTTGCTTCACAGTTCATATAAATAATTTTTATGAACTGATGAAACATTTTTTCAGGAATAAAATGGTCTGTTAAATTACCTGTAGATTTTTTGAAGAACCGTACACATTCGGCCATGTCAGCAATGCTTCCACATAAAGTATTAGTGTCAGCAATGTAGGCACGACTTTCTCGAATCTCTATATCAAATTGGCCTAATTGATGCACACCATCTTGTAAACCAAGTGCTGAAATGGCATCAGTTACAAGCACCAAACCTATTTGAATAAATATCTTTGTAGTTTAGAACAAATTAGTAATTTAAATATTTCATTTGTTTTCTATGTAACCTTCTGGATGTGTTCGATGAGCTATTCTCAAAGCAGCTGGATGTGTGTGTACACCATCAGCAATAATCCCATAGTGTATAGACTTTTCTTTTGGTATCTGATCAGATGCGAGTAATCCTACTAACCCAGGATCTCTATGATGAAACTAAAATTTCAAAGAAAAAAATTTATTAAAAGCTATTACATAAGATCATTAAATCAAGTTAAACAAACATATTACTGGAAGCATTGCATTGAATAAATGAGTGATAAATGAGGCTCCATTTTTTACTGCTTCTTCCCCTTGCTTCAAATCACTTGCAGAATGACCTAAATATTGAATGAATCATGCAGCAAATAATCAAACATTTAAAAGAATACATAATTAGTAATAAGTGTTTAAATCAAAGAAGTTTAAAGTCTTGCTTACCAACAGATATTTTAATATTTCTTTTTTCTAATTCTTTAATTACATCAATAGCATTTTCTAATTCTGGTGCTAATGTTATGTAGCATATATTTTCAAGACTTCCATAGACATCAAGAAGTGATTGAAAACCCTTAAACAAATAATAAAAAGATGATCAATTTTTTAAAAGATTTTAATTAGGTAAATGAAGTAATACTAACTTTTTCAAATTTCTGAATACATGACTCTGGATGAGCTCCTTTTTTCAGAGGATTCAAGAAAGGTCCCTCAACATGAACACCTAAAATAGCTGCTCCATCATCACCTCCACTTGTTCTTTTTATTTTTGGAAGAATTTTTTTATAAGTTTCTACTGGTGAAGTCACCAAAGTTGGACAAAATGAAGTAACTCCATATGCAAGTAGTTTTTTTGCAACATTTGTTACTCCCTGTTCTACCTTATCCACATTGTGAGAAAAGTCAATTCCAAAACCACCTGTAGTCCAAGGGCAATGTTTTTTTATTAAAGCTGAGTCAACTTGAAATGTTTAACATTATTTTTGTGTGTCAAGGTAACTCACCATTTATTTGCACGTCAATAAAGCCTGGAGATATCAAACATCCATTGCAGTCGATCTTAACATCGGGCTCAATTTTTTCGTCATAAAAGATTTTTTCCGGATCAATTATTATGCCATCCCTCACCCACAAATCTTCCGTAAGGATTTTGCCATCGCGCAAAATTTGGCAATTATGAAAATGTTTTAGCTGACCACTTGTTGACTCCGGCATTTTTTACCACACACTGCGACAGAGTCGACAAAATACCGCAGAGATATCTCAAAAAATAATAAGCACTATCGCTACGCATTATCGAATGTTACGCCTCGTTATTCACCATCAACACTTTTTATACGATCTCACAGACGCTCATCAAGTAAATAATTCGCGAGTGTGTAGGTATAAAGTGATGTTTGTCAAGCTACCACCTTGCTGTCACTGTTTCGCGTTCACTGCTGCATCCTTCTACACTGTTAATAGTCTTAGCTGAAGAGTGAGATAAATTGCTCGCGCGCACATATGAATACTTCTTATTCATGTCTAGAGTACAGGTGCTATTGTAAGTTCATTGTGAAAATTAGAAATATGTTAAATAAATGTGCTGTAAATATTCAAACGCATGTAATAAATGGTAGCTATGATTGTCACATTATTTGATTGAAAAACGTGAATTAATGAAGATCAATTGTAATTTTATTGAGTTGGAATATTATAATCCTCAGACTACTAAATTCAACACGAAAATTACACGTTCAATTCATTTATCAATAAAGCTTTTAGGATCATAATTCGTTTGCTTTATTTTTCATGTTAAACAATGGAAGATCGGGGAAAATAAAGTAATAATCATATGAAAAAAATAAAAACGTATTTACTTTTATTGTAGAAAAATTGTTGCAAGTACATAGATTTTTATTTTCAACAGTCACTTTTTTTCTAATTATATTAAAAATGTTTACAACAGTACCAAAAATTTATTAAGACAATAACGTTCTCATAAGTCGGGCAAAAAGTTTTTGTTTGTATACAAATGTAACAATAATATGATAAGGGATTCGAAAAATTGATTATGATATATTTTTCATAATAAAAAGACGAAAACGTCACTATCACTTGAACTTCACAGATCAAAGGGATGAATATCAATAGGTGTGATCCAGTTTTTTGATTGTTTGATATCATTTAAGATATGATGCTCTTAATTGAAATCCTCTTGTTGTTCTAAAATATCTTTTTTAATTGATTGAAGGCGTAAATTCATCGGTAAAACCTGATCCATTGCAGAGCATTTTAATCTTAGATGCAGATGTAGATGAAGTTTAGTCGTTCATTGACCACGCAGTTCTGTCTTGTGTTAATAAAAATTAAATAAATTTATTAATTTTATAATCAAGGACCGTTTTATTGTTGTCTACATTCAGGAGCTTCCTGGTTTTTCATGTCTATCTTGCCTTTTGGTCCAAAGTTTTTAGGTCCATCTTCATCATCTTCATCCTCATCATCATCATCTACATCATCATCATCTTCGTCCTCATCCTCATCATAATCATCATCCTCATCTTCCAGAGCTTCGCCTATAATTTAAAAGTTCGTTATATTCATATATTTATTAACAAATGACAATTAAGACGTCTGCCTTTTTTCGAAAGACTTCTTACCAGTGAAATATAAAACTGCCCTAGGCACAACTCGTTCTCTAATGTAGTGACCAATCTCAAAATCAGATGTGAGCATCAACTGTGTTTCATCATCCAGTTCTACATCAGGATCATCAGGAACTGTAAATTAAAAAATAAATATGTAGCCAAAACTAACATTATTAACAGATATTAACAGTTTCATTTTTTTTCTTCAAGACTTACCAGGTGTCGGAGAAAAGAAGTTGAAGAATGAATCATTTTGCACTGTTTTTGTTACTGTGCGCATGGAACCACGTGACTTGTGTTTCTGATTTTTTTTGATCGTTTTAACTGTGACATTTTTGCCTTTCTTCCAATCAATTGTGCATCCCTAAAACAGAATACTTTTTAGAACCAAGTTCTTAATAGAGATTATGTATAATCTTTATATGGCTGATTTTCCAACGGGTCAAATACTCAAAAATATTTGTGAAACAAGTTTTGAATAAGGCTATTTTGATAATTTTTTGATTTTTGTTAAAGTAACAGAATTTACGTAAGTGACTGCAATAACTTGAATTCAACATAAAGCGACTCCAAATTTTTTTTAAGTTACCTTGCATTTGTAAATTTCTGGACCTTCGAAACTGAAGGGATCATTTTCTTCTGGAGCACATTTCATTTGATACTCCTTTGTTAAAACTGAGTTTGAAAAGTATTCATTTGGTGAGAAATGAAATTCCAAAACGAAGCCCTGAAAAATAAAATCAATTTCAAGTATATTTAGGATTGGCACTTGATATTTATAAAATCATAGATAAAATGTAATAAAAATTTACCATTGGGTCTTTTTCTAAAAATATAACTGTGATATCATAAAGATGTTTCAAAATAGGTTCGTCATGTTCTTGGACCATATCAGAAAGCATGCTCACATTCTTAAAAATGGTCAGCCAGAAATCTGGGATACCTTTGATGTTCTCGTCAACAGTTCTGAAAATATCATTCAAAAAATTTTCATTTAAAAGATGTATTCTAAAGTTTTTGGAATTATAAGCAATAAATCTTTTTGAGATTCTTAAATAATTGTATTCAAATATGCGATTGAGCACAAGAGCAACTTGATGCAAGTAAAATTATTTTCTCTTTTCAAACAAATACCTACCCATTTTTTTCGTTTTTGGATTCTTCTTTTACTTCAATCTGAACTTTATCTTTCATGTCTTTGCTAAGATCTTCCTCTTCATCTTCGTCACTTTCCCAAACACATTCTTCATCAGTTGGTTCTTTTTCTCCAGAAACAATATTGCTTCTTTCCTGGTAATATTGGGAATATTTTTGAGCATATTTGCACTCAAGAGCATGTACCTCTTCATAAAACTCAGCTTCGAGATTTATAGTTTTCAATTGTAATTGTTTCAGTGCTTTTACCCTTCGTTTAACTGGAGCTGGTAACTAATAAACATAAAATGAAAGAAAATTATGTTAACTATTGTTAAAAATAATGAACAACAGTATATCTAAATATATTACCTCAACATTGAAGTGATTGATACCATCTGCTAATGCTTGCAAGAATTCTTGACGCTGCTTAGATTGCTTTACAGCTTTATCATCATCTTCTTCAACAGATTCAAAATCAGTAGTGTCAGCACGCTCTGGATCGTTACTCATTTTGAGTCTGCAAATAACATAATCATACGATTGAAAATGATATTTAACATGTACCAATATTGTTGTATTCTTGGCATTTCAAGTCAACTATACAGGTTATGCATAAGAGGAAGATTTTAAACTATAGTAGCATAGATAGATAAAAAAATTATATGCAGTAGTTAAACCTCAACAGATATAATACCTAAAAATAAATATATATGGCTAAACTTAACACTCATTCATTCAATTCTTAACAAATAATGCGTGAAGGTGAGAAACACATGGAGATGCCTACTATGAAAATATGCACGAAAGCGCGCGAAACAAGAAATCGAGTTTTGCATTTAACCACAAATCTTTCAATTCACACAAAATATCGACTATTAAAATTAAATTTAGTCGATGTCAAGCCAAAATCAGTTAGATAGAATACAATGAGTACTGTAGAACTAATTTGAGACGCTTGTGGCAAGCAAACACGTGCCACAAAAACCGGAGCCGATAGATGAAAGGAATATTTAGCCAACAAAATAACAAATCAAATTAATAACTTATTAGACATGGAAAGGTATAATTCGATAAATGTTGAATAACATGGTTTGATGTCGAAAATTTAACATTCTTGAAACTCACATATATTTTATAGCCTAGAACTAGTAGACATTTGATGAAAGAAAGAATAAGGAAACAATTCTTAGATAAATTAAAATTTGCTATATACTGAACGAAACTCACTTGTTTGAGGTATTGCTTAGATACGACGTCAAAGGGAAGAAAACGAACTGCGCCGGAGACGATAACGACTCGCTCTGCCTAAGCCGAAGAACAGGGTATATCTCACTGCCGAAATTCCGTTCGAAACGAGTCACCCGTTGGTCGTTTTTGGTACCACTCGGTGGTCGATGTTCTTGTCGTCGTCGTCGTCGGCAGGCCAGCTGCGCTCGTTGCTTAAAGCGAGAGAAAAAGAGACGAGACTCGTAGTTCAGCCGATTAAATACGCTCTTACACGACGAATCTCTCGGCGCGCGCTTCTTTTTCGCATTCGATATTTAAGCTTTATAACCTTACCGGCCTGGTCGCTTACTCAGAATCGCTTTAAACGCTCTTCTCGTCTTTTTCTTTCTCGCACGCTCTTATGAGCGAAGTTCGCGATCGCTTGAACATTCGCCAATTGCTTATTTACCTGAAGTTTGCCGCTATTGCACACGCGCCTTTTAATCAAACAACTTCCGGCTTCTCCGTTGAAAGATGATTCGAATGAGAGCTTTAAAAATTTAATTGATCTATAATTAGATTAAAAATTTTGAAATCAGAAAGATGTTCCAGATTATGCTGGAATCGCGGGGAAATTCGGCAATTTTTTTTTGTTGAAAGAGGGAAGGCGAACGTACAGAAACGAATAAATTTATGCAATAAAAATTTCTGCTCGTAACTTAAGAGGAAATATCACGTGCCATGACCAATTTCAGTTGAAAATTCAATCAGATCGAATAATCTCATTACTTCCAATATAATAGAGAAGTTTTGATGGAAATTGGCAATTTCTTTGAAGACCTGCTCCTATATGTTCGTGCGATAATTCATACGTGCTGCACAAATTTAAATCATGATTTTACTTGGATAACGTAAAAATTCAATGATTTTTTCGATATGATTCATTTGTTATCAAATTAGCTCATCTATTGAAATTTTAATCAATCGATCAAATTCTTGGTTTTTTCGGGTCAAGTCATAAAGCAAACATCTTCGCAGTAGGTGTGTCGTCGGTACCTCAAGTTAATTAGCTACGATTATAGGAGGCTTTAAAAAACAAATTAGAATTACACAATAATTAGCGTCTTTTTTAAAAGTGTAATTAAAAGTTTCGATGTAGAACACTCGTTTTGTTAGGAAAACAGATAGATCGGAATACATTAGTGTCGGAAGACTCGCGCGTTATCTACTGATGTGAAACTTTTTCAATTCAATGCTCTTGATATCGCTGCAACGATTAACATTAAATCTATGCAAATAGGCTAATCATATTGGCAACAAGCACCTCGATTCTGCCAGTGCCACGAATTGCAGGCGAGATGCGTTCCTGCGCGCGGGAAAGACAATTTCGCATTTGCAGCGACCTTTGGACTCAAAGATTAAAGGTAAATTGTTATAAAGTTTGCGATGCGGCGACTCGCGAATCCAATCCACGCGCACAACGTGAGCTTTTTCTTGCCTGTTCGTACACGCGCGAATCGCAGCTAGCGGCCGTGCAAAAATGCGAATTCAGCAGCGTGTACGAAATAATACAGCTCTGCGCTGCTGCTGGTCGCCGCCGCACAGGCACAACCGCACAGCCGAAGTGGAGAGGAAGGAGGGGGGTCGGAGGGAAGGGGAAGTCTGACTCGAGGAAATGCATGGCAGTGCACCAATGCGCGTTTCTGCACACACGCGGACGGCTCTTCTCTCTCTGTCTGATGTTAGTGTATTGTATAATGTTCGGCCTATAGGTAGGCGACGAGGCGCGCTCGACGACAGACAAGAGTAGGACGATCGACTCCGAAACTCGAGACTCTTGCCTGCAGCTGTATAATAACGCGCGAGTCGGCTGCATGCATCAGCATGCAATGAGGTAGATTGATTTGTGCGCCGTGCGAGCTCTCTGTACGTACATACATAGAGAAATACAAAACAACCTATACATGTATAAACGCGCGAGTGCGTGCTTGTGTGTCTCTCTATATCTATGCAGCTTCCGCTCATCGTCGTCTCAGCAATGATATAATTCCGTTTGTGAAATTTCGTTTGTTTGCTGGGTGATTCTTGCCTTACATTACCATCCGTCAAGATAAACTCCAAACGCGCCTAAATAGTGTGCCTGCCTCTCGTGCGTCTGTCAGTGTGCGTTGGTCTTGTTTGTGTGTCTGTCTGTCTGCCTGTCAGACTCTGTGTGTGGTTCGCGGTTATATGTGAGTGTGCGTGCATGTCGCGGTTCGCGCGTGTTTTCTGCCGTAGAGACTGCCTGATCGATCAGTGTGTGTGTTTTATTATGTGTACCTCTCGTGTACATCCACGTATATATACATACAATGAGCACGTATATACATGAATGCGTGCAAAATGAAACGCGGATAAACGCATATATATACATGTATATATTAATAAGCATTAATCGCGTGATTTTGATATACCCTCAGCGCAGCGATCACAGGCAGCGAGTTCCGTGAACAACAACAACAACGTGCTTGCGGACCAGTGAGAATCGCGCCATATACCCAACACACACACGGCACACGCAGTCAGAGGGCCAACCGCTAGGGACGAAATTGTCATAGAGGGCAGAAATTCGCATAGAGAGGGAGAGATCAGCAAGCGCGGAAAAAAGGAGTTTTCGGCGATTTACGAAGAGACGAGACCGAAGAAGCTATGGCCAAACATAGACGGGCTCAGTTGTTCTGCTAGGCACTCTGTGCGATTATCAAACTGGCTCGGACAATAACAAACTCTCACAGCCGAAAGCGCTCGCTGCTGCAGCGTTTGACCTTTGGATAGCTGCAGCGCGAAGAGCTGCATCGCGATCATCGTCGCGGCTGCTGTTCCATCATCGATAACGGCGACCAGGGCTTTTTCTTGCGCGCACTAGGCCCTCGCTCCGTCTCTCTGCAGTCCCGGATTGACGGCGATTTGCCATTCTTCGACGACAAAATAATCGCGCTCGTGCCCCCACGAGCCCGCAGTTGCACACACGGTCACGAGACACACTCCGAATTTTTCCGTCGTATTATGATCCAAGCACGAGGATGCCTTTGTTTGTTTATTTTTGTTTTCCTGGCGAACGTCGTCCGGATTCTCCCAACCCTTCACGGCCAAAATCATGGTGAGTTCGTACAATTTTTTACATCAAAATGAAAAAATGATGATTCTTTTTTTTCTTTGTTTTCATGCATCAACAATGTTGACAATATTATTTTGATTAAAATTTTCCTGACTTCCTTTGTCTTTGTGTCAATAAAATTTTATCTTAAATTCATCATTATACTACTAATAATTTATAAGTGTTTATAGTTTATGAACAATTCTTTAATTCAGTTATCCTTTTTCAGCATTTGTCCAGGATGATAATGATGTGCAGTATCTTCTTGATAGCTTACCAGTGTCAATACATAAGGTAAATAGTCCATTTTAAGAATATTTATTGATGGTTCTTAAAAGAATATCAAAATAAAAAAAATGTTTTCTAACTTAACTTTAGTTTATGAATAACATTTTACTACTTTATCTTCTTTAATTATTACTGTTTTTCTTGCAGGCTTTTGGTGATTCAGTTCATGGAACTGGGTAAGTTCTTGAAAATGTATGTGTTATTGAATAATACTTGAATTTAATAATTATATTCTATGAAGCATTAAATTAACATTAAACTAGATAATGAAACAATTAAATTAATTTTACTATATGATGCAGGGATGCTATTGACGAAAATGGTATTCAAAGTTCACTAGCACATATTGAATTCGAACCAAATGTGCTTGATTTTAAAGAAAGGTAATTTTTAAACATTTATTTTCAATCAAATATTCTTACATCCAGTAAATGATTCATTTTATTTAATTATTTTGTAAAATTACTCAACAGACAACTTGGTGTACCACATCAACAAACTGTTACATTATTTAACAGAGATGATAATCGTACTATTCATCTCTCTTCAATCACTGGTCTCACGCAACATTTTCACTCATCTTTTTTTCAAGATAAAGTAAGTTAACAATAACATGGCCCAAATTCTATATACATTCCTACTAATTGAAATGTTTAAAATTATAGGTAATACCTCCATTAGGTAATACAACATTTAGTGTAGTATTTTTAGGCAGAGAAGAAGGAGAAATTGATAGTTATCTCTTTATACATACGTCAGATGGAACACTTAAATACCAAGTAAAATTTTTATCTTATAGTAAAAAATTTATATCAATATATTAAATATTCACTACATTTATTTTTTAGGTCAAAGGTACAAGCGTGAGTAGTCCTTACAGATTGCAACCTGTCTTAGGTGTGAAACTACCTATAAATGCATCATTTACTCCTCTGATATACATGCATAATCCTTATTCAGAGCCTATGCAGGTGAGAAATTTTATAACTTTAGTTTACTTTTATTATGGTTCTTTTTTTTTAATTTTAAAATTTCAGTGTTTTCCAAAATAGTTCAAGCATTTTAATTACTATTGATTTTCAACAGGTTACAGAAATATACAGTAGTGGTGTAGAATTCGATTTGGGACTTCCTAATGGACAGACAGAAGGTCCTCGTGAATTATGGGAAATTCTTCCTTACCAAACTAAACCTATAATAAGGTTACATTTTAATGCATACACTGAAAAAAACCATACTGCATATATAAGGTATAAGGTTCATTTTATATATAAACTCTTGGCATTTTACCTTATACTTAAATTTAAAATTCTTCTTTTTCTAAAAAATGTTTTTTAGGTTCAGGAGTAATAAAAGTGCAGAAGTTCTGATTGTGGCTGTGGAAATTGAAGTTAGTAGTGGAGCTGGTCTTCATTGGGGTGATAACTCTGGATTAGTAAATTTTGGCATGGGCGGATCTCATCAATCACCAACTACTTATCAAATAGCTTTGAAAAATTCTGCCAAAAAACCAATTAAAGTTCAAGTAAATTTTATTTTTAGATTGTTATTAATGATGGTTATTTTAATGAAGTACATTTTTAAAACTACAATGACTTTTTTCAGAATATTGTTAGTACTCCATCATCCAAAGCATTAAAAGTAAATTTTGAACCTATTGTGATACCAGGGGAAACAGAAACTCCAATGGTTGTCGGAACGCTTGTGTATGATTGTAAGAATTTTTATTTATTGAAATAAAGATATTGATAATGTTGGTTCACTCATTATAATTCTAGGGAAAACTGGATTACAAGATAAACATTTTAGAGGAAAATTATTAATCAAAGGAATTGGACCGGGTGGTTCTAGTCAAAAACTTGCGATACCCTGGGTGGTAGAAGTTTTGCAAGGGGGCTTGGAAGTGAACACTTCTGCTGCTCATTACTGTTCGCCACATTCAAATCGACCACGAAATTTCAGCGTTGTTAATAAATTTAAACTGCCTCTAGCTATTACAAATGTATCACTCTCGTCTGATGCCGCACCTTTATTTAAAGTATGTTAAATTATCTTGTATCAAAAAAATTACTCTTTTTAAAAGAAAGTATATTAACAATTCTAAAAATGTATTTCTTTCAGATAAGTAACTTTATCCCTAAGGTTCTGAAATCTGGTCAGAGAGATGATATTTTTACTTTGGCCATGAAAAACGACAAACTGCATGACGATTTACAATTAGAGTCCTCAATACTCATCCAAACAAATGTTTCGACTACAGAAATCCCATTATTAAGTTATAATGGAAAGTTACATAAAATAATACCTGGTGAAAAAGAAAGTGACAAAGGTACCTTGAATTTCGGTACAATCAGTAGCGGAACAGAAAATGAAAGTATATTTGCTCTTGAAAATCAAAATCCAGTTAGTATAGATCTTCATGGTTGGGGAGTAAACATACCCGGTGCTGTATTAGAACTGATGGGCTGTCAAAGTGGACCTACTACATTATTTAATAAAGGAGTACGCAACATAAGTTCATGTAGTGTTACATCAAACGTAAGTTGTGAAGGTTTTATATGGATTTATTTTCCATTGATGACTTCATGATTTTTTTTTATTTACAGCAAAGCATAAAACCACGATATTTAGCTATTTTCAAAATAAAAGTGAACACACCTCAAGTTGAAGAAGATGCGATCATTGGAGATGTTTTCATAAAAACAAATTATGAAAAATTAACCATCCCTGTTTATATGAGGGTTGCTGATGGAAGAATAGCCGTACAAACGTTGACTTTCACAGATTGCTTTCCTGTAAGTATTTAGCCAATTTTCTATTAACAGAGCTATACTTACTTTCAAAAATGTTTCATTTAAACTCATCATATTTTTTAATGAAAATGATTTATAAAATGATATATTAATTATACTTAATGTATGTAGGGTACAGTATGTCTGCAGGAAGTAAATGTCCATTCAACATTTGCACAACCTATGGAAGTAACACTTGTATCCTCGCTAAACAAAGATGATAGAGTAAAATATGTTCCTCTAAACGAAACATCCAACTCAGTTATTTCTAAAGGAGACAATTATATAGGTTCTATTATGATTGATCCTTTAGTCTCATGTAATGATAACTGTTATATTGGATTACCTTTGAATAGTAGCGGTGAGTTTCAATTTATTGTGTGATCAGAATGATTTTGATTAAATGATGTTGATACTTTTATCTATTATACAGCTGGTAAACAATGGTTAAACACCATTAGCCTACCCTCACATACCCGAGATTCTGATTTGAACCTGTTAAATACTCTGTATTCTCGATTTTCAAATACTACAAGCGTTAATTCTTGGGAAAACATTACGATGCAATTAGATACAAGTGAAGTTCGAGGACACAAATTTTCTGTCGATTTGAAACCAGCATGGCCGAGTCTTTTAGTTGGAATGGATGAAACTAAAAATAAGAGTGTGCTTGCTTTTCCATTGACTCAGGTTGGAAATACGACGTACAAAAATATCACTCTGCACAATCCAACAATGCACGTATTAATTGTTCACTTGGTTATGGATTGGACATATCCTCAAGGCTCGAGGCTTTTTCAATTTCTACCTGATACGTAAGTTGGCTCGAGGTGACAAAACTTGTATTTATAGTTTAATATACAATTATATTGATGTTGATTTTGTAGATTCAAACCGGGTTGTCCTGATTGTCCGGGCGCGGTTCAAGGAGAATTTAAACTCAGTGAAGATGCTTTAGAGGAGAGAGAAAGATTTGAAGAGCAGTGGGGTATCGGTTCAGCTGCCCATTCATTACCTTTACTTCTAAAAGCTAATGAAACAAGGAATGTGAGGCTTTCTTATACCCCTAGTGCAGATACAAGTTCATCTGCATTACTTTATTTACGCAACAATATGACGATCTTAGAGGTGATACGATTAGTTGGTCAAGGAGCTTACGCACATTTTAAATTCGAAAATCGACAGTCTGATTCCGAAGCACCGTTATTATTTGAGCTTACTGACCAGCAGTTAAAAGCTTGTGAAAATGTTGAGGGAGCTGAGGTATTAGCTAGCCTCACAGTTCGACGTTCCTTTCAAGCTCGTAATACTGGTCAATTACCTATCGAAGTGTCAGGTTTTGCTGTGAATGGTATTGATTGCGGCGGCTACGGTTTTCATGTGATTGACTGCAAGCATTTTCGCCTCGAACCCAACACTTCGCGTCGAATTGACATCACCTACACGTCAGATTTAAGCTTGGCCTACGTTGAACGTGAGCTGCAACTTCACACGAGTTTAGCACCTGATGAGGCAGGTCTCGTACGAGTTCCAATGTTGGCGAGTTTACCATCAAATCGCGTCGAGGCATGCAGTCAAAAGATTCCGCGACCTACGTGGGAGCCGACAATGAACTTATTAGGAACAATACTTTGTTTCATAACAATCGGAGGTGCTATGACATTTGGAACTATGGAAGCTGACAGACGCCTCCGAGAAGCTCTCAATGCTATAGCTCATCCTGGCCCTTTGCAACCGACTTTAGACTTGCGCCTCATAGGAGCTAATGCTGATAAGTCATCTACACAAAAATCATCGCCGCAAGCTTCACAAGGTCGAAGCAACGCACTCAGTAGACGATCGCAAGAACCTGATAAGAACTCACAACCAGTAGTTCGGGCTAAGAACAGTCCTGTATCCAGTTCTAATAAACGTAATCTGTCGACAGAAGTGCGTCAAAATGGCTCGAAAGCTAAACCCAAATTGAAACAAGTGTCTCGACCTCAGAATTCAGAGGAAGAAACGTCTTCCATAACGACTGAATGTTCACTACTAGATGAACGTGCTTCTTTTAAGGTATTTTTGTGTTATTTTATCTATTGATTTGTGTTAAAAATTTAGTAAATTTTTATTAAATTATCTTTACTTTACTCTATAGGATACAGAAAATGTCGGGGAAAAGTTTGTTAAGGGACAGAAAAAAAATACAAATAAAAAATCGAAGCCACAAACTTCAATTCCTCCTGTGCCTACAGTAGATTTTAAAGAAAATTTCGAGTTAAATGGCGATGGTGAATATCTTAAAAAAGACAGTCCAGAAAATCAAAACAAATGGAAAATAAATTCAAATCGTTCCACGAACAAACTAACACAACAACAAACGACAATTAGTACGGTGTCACGTCCTATTTCCGAGCCAGCCAGTAAACTTACTCGTCAAAAGTCAAATCCATCGAAAAAAGATAAACTATTGCCAAGCAAAAAAAACCAAGAAAAAGCTCAAACCAAAAACGATAACAAAGATGTCATTTCTGAAAAATCGATTCACCTCGAATCTCCAATGGAAATTGGGCCTCGAGTATCTGTAACATCTTTAACAAATGGATTATCGATAAAAAAAGACGAATTGAAGTCAACTGCATCTGTTTTACCAAATACATCTATATTTACAGCTACAGCTGTATTACCAGCTACGTCTCTATTGTCATCTACATCTATAGTACCAACTGCATCTGTATTGCCAGTTACGTCTGTATTGCCAGCCACATTTGCATTACCAACTACATCTCCAACATCGTTAGCTCCATTGCCTCCACTATCACGTTGGGAGAACAGAGCTAAATTCAGTGATGTAGTTGCTCGTAATCCAGATAACTCTAATACTTTTGCAAATAATTGCAATCTTACAAAAGTCAGTCAATCTTACAAAAATGCTATTTCGAGTCCTACGAGTTTTGGTACTGAAGTTCCTTTTACAAATGGTCTCACGAAACGAAATCCACCTCAAGAATTTTTGTTTAACGGGAATCAAGTTAATTCAAAATCTCTGCTTGGTGACAAAAATGGCATTTCCTGCCAATTGAATTTAGTGCCTCCCCAAGATGGTACTCAATTGAATAATTATTTTTCAAATGCTTGTAATTCTCTATCGGTTAGTTTATTCATGGAATACTACTATTTTAAAATGTATAGTATTTTATTAAATCAATGTATATTTTTTATTAGGCGGCAGAACCCGAACTTATTCCATTCGATTTTACCGACGCAGACGAACCTCGTTTTGAGCTAGAAAATGCCTCTGATAATAATACTAATGATATTTGGCGTGACAATAGTATCATTAATAACATAAACGACAATCCATCATCTCAATTTCAAGCACAATCACTTACTTCAGAAAATGTATCAAACGCAACAGAATCTCTTCAAGGTAAACGAAAATTTTTTTTACTTCCAATTTCTCATCGTGCATATTTTTTAGATAAAATTTTAATTAGTTCCAGACAACTGGTCAAATGTAGACACGAATTGGCAACCTCAATATCCCCGTGCGGCAGTTGGAGAAGGAAGAAGCGGTGCATCAGGCAACAATCCTGAGAGAGTGTGGTCCACATCTTGGGGAGATCCAGCAGCGCCTTATGCCCAATCTCCTGTAATTCGACCCGTTCAAATAAATCTTGAAGTAATTTTACAAATAATATAATTTTTTATGAATTGAGTAAAACACTTTTATATAAATGAATTTTAATTTCCTAGGAACAAGAGGGTTTTGATCCTTTCCGGTCTTTAAGTTCAATATGGACTCCAAATTCAACTGAACCTTGGATTGTTAGACCGAACCAAGAATGACCATCTGCAAAAGAGTTCCTGTCCGATCAAAAAATTTTTGCTTAGAAAATTTTTCATTACAATGTCCTAAGAGTGAAGCACTAAATGTTTGTGATAACAAATACTTAATAATCTTTTTTTCCTCGTGATTTTGGAAATATTTAAAAATTACTTAATGTACTTCAAAAGTTTGAAGTATTAATTTACAATCCAACTTTTTTTTTCATATCCAATGAAAGCACACATTAAAAAAATAATGAAAATTGAAGCAGCTGTGTTATTATTTTAAATGATCATTTAAAGTCAATCTCAACTTATTCAATGTGTAAAGGTCAAAAATAATTTATAAATATTGAAGTTTTTAAGAAAATTACATTTATTACATATGAAAATATAGTATAATTTGTGTAAGATTGTCACATTTGAGTGGTTCTGTATCCAGATATTCTACTTGAATTAAGAACACAAGATTTAGCTCTTTGCAGTCTTTTTAGAAGCACCTGAAAAAATATGATTTATAAGGTATTTATTAATTAGAATTAATCTCCTACTTGCATCTTATACCAACCATATTTTCTTCTTCAATCTTTTTTTGTAATCTCCTCCTGTTGATTGCAGAACTACTTACTCTTGGTTTGATCTGCTGAATGTTAGTTTTTGGTGCTTTATGTTGAGTAATGATTTTTTTTAACAAAATTTCATTGTCACGTTCAATTTTCATAACTTCGTCATTTGTAAAACTCATATTTTTTCTTGAAGAAGAAGCTTTAACATTTCTTGAAGGCGTTTCATGAAAATTTAGGCATTTTATTTTATTATCTAAAACTGTCAATTCATCATCGGATAATTTTGATGTAGATGGGAACTTGTCAGTTAATTTTTGAGGTTTTTCCAGGATGTGAGTTTTAGATGTCGTTAGCTTTGTAGATGGAGTTTCTTTAGAAAAAGAACTTTGGCTATCATCAGACTGCACTGATTCTTCATCACAGTGCTCGGAATAACAAGAATCCTCGTACGCAGATTCAACTTCAGCTAAATCCAAATCTAATTCTGAATTGTTTTCAGAAACAGTATCTCCTTTATTAGAAATTTTGTTGCTTACTGAAATTCTGGTTTTATTATGTTTTATGAATGATTCATTAAATTTTGAATCACCAGACGAAAATGCAAATTTTAATTTAAAATTACTTCCTTTATCAGTTGAATAAGCCATTATAAAAAAATTGGCAATATAGATTACAGATAAGAATAAAAATGCAAATGCTAGTTCATTTTCTTACTTTTGACAATTGAATTTGTAGGGTTATGTATCTATGGTAACTAAAATAATGAAAACAAAGATTTACTACATTCTCAAATACTTATAAAAAAATTATATTATAATTATCATTAAGGTTTTAATTTTCATTTATACAAATTATTTGTTAGTGCAAAGATTAAAACTTAGTTTGTTATGTTTATGTCAAGTTACAAAATTGAAAATTCAAGAATTAATTTTCATTAGGAAATCCAAACACTTTTAAGCTACCTGCATCTCGTTTTCTATCATAACTATCTTTATCATCACAGGCAAATGCAAGTAAATATTGTTTGGGATGCCAAGCAACTGTAAAAGTTGCAGCTTCTACAGGAATATCAGTAACTTTTTCTCCAGTTTCTACTTCACCAATATCTATAATTAAATCTTCAGAAGCAGCCGCTAATAATTTCCCATCATGTGAAAATGAAATTGTTCTAACTGGCCAATCTAATCTAGAAAAAGTTCTCAAGCAACACAATTCATCAGCATCCCACAGAGAAACCAAAGCATCTGCTGAACCAGTTGCAAAGTAACGACCAGTTGGATCGAATTCAATACAAATACATGTTCCTGGATGAGCTTTAATAACATGTAGTAGTTCCAAACTGGGGTAACTTAAAATATGCACACAACCTTGACCATTAGTTAAATAAAAAGTATCAGAATCTTTGTTCCAAGATATTTCATTCACTTCAAAATTGAATTGCTCTTCGTGTTTTATTTTCATAGCCCGAGCATCAATAAATGTAACAAGATCTTCTTTATTACCAACTGCTATAGTGTTGCCATCGGGAGACCATGAAATATTGATGTTTTCACCTTTGGTACTAATAGTTGCAGTACTTTTTTGAGTTCTAGTATCCCATATCCTTACTGTTTTGTCACCACTAGCCGTTGATAAAAGTTCTGGATTTGATGCATGCCAACATAACTGGTCTACACTTCCACCATGACCTCTGAATGTAGTTTCTTGTTTCTGCAATTGAAAAAATTTCGAATTCAATTTTAAGTTACTACAATATAATCAAATTATTCATAAATTCTTGATAATGATAGAGTTAATAAAAAATACATAGTAACTTTTCACAAGCATTAAAGAGTTAGACTGACTGCAAGTAACGAAGAAAATATAATCTAGAATTTTAAAAAAATTGAGAAAAATGTTAATTTTAGAATGTTAGATTATGAATAATTTCATCAACCTCATAACAAATTATACTTTGAGTCATGAAAAATGAGAAAATCAATAAAGCCGGTTGTAAAGTAAATAAAATAGGTTAAGAATTACCAAACGATCGGGTGACAGTGAAAATATGCAAACACATTTGTCGAATGAACCCGATGCCAGAAGTTTTCCGTCGCAATTCCAACCGACACTATGAACTTTGGCAGTATGACTCTGTTGTTCACGCACTTTGTTGTGCGATTTAAAATAAGTGATCAACTCCTCCACGCTACTTTGCGGAGCCATCTTGTTTATCGGGCGACTAATATACTATTGTTGTTGTCATTCAAGGCTGCTGCTGCCAGTGTTGTGAAAAGGCTCCTGCTGCTGCGATCCGTAACACTAACTTTACGCGACATGTGGACTAAACGCGGAACTCTTCAATGTGTTATACTTATCGTGATATGATTCAATGCGTCGATAAAACAGTTAGTTCAAGAGTGACGGACAGTCACCACTCACCACTACCGCTCGGTAAATAAATATATATAAATCACTCTTCACGATGGTGTGTTTAATATGCAAAATTTGAATGTTTCCATTAATTTTGCTCTACGTAAAATTTACAGAAAAGTTATCCTGTTAAATTATAAGGTGACGATTATCAGAAAATTCATATGACTTACATAAAAACGACTCAGTTTCTTTATTCACATAGCAAGGAGGCAAAGTTAGTGTAAAATAAATAAAAGATTTTGGAGAATAAAATATTCATATGTTAAATTTTAGATTTCAATTTATACAAAATATTCGGCCATAAATTGTTGTATGGTTCGAATACAAAATTTTACTTATGTACTAGGTAAGTGTTATAAATTTATAAATATAGGCACATGACAATCTATACTAATATAACGTGTTTTACACGCGAAAATTCTCGAGTATTGTCGTACAAGGGACTCCGAAATGAAATGAATACTTTTGATTATCAAATGTTATTTGTTGTTAATGTTTTTTACGTTGATTAAATGCTATATTTAGGAATATATAATATTCATACTAATATGACTATGAAAGATGAAAATAATTTATCTCGCATTCATCGCTTCATCTTGTCCAAAATCGGTACAACCATTGCAAAAGTCGGACGTTTTCCGGGATCTTCATTCATACATATTTTTATGAGCTTTGCTAGGTGAGATGAGATTCCAGGTGTAATGCTCACGCGTAAATCTTCTAAGGCAATCTGTAAAAAGTATTTGTTTGTTAATTTTAAATGAATACATTCAAAATCTTATTCAAGTCTGACAGAAAATTTTCTAAAAGGCCTGAAAGGTTTGTACCTTCATGCCACATTCCATTGGCGAAAGTTCAGCAAAAGGCACTTCTCTCGTTGCTAGTTCCCATAAAAGTACGGCAAAACTCCACATATCGCTGGCTTCTAAATTTATGTCAGAGGGTCGTTTGCTAAGGGCTTCTGGTGACATCCAAGCTGGTTCATATATCCTACCAACTTCTTGAAAAGAAAATTTAGAATCTGCCATGTTTACTCGAGCCGTCAAATCTTCGTCGATCTGTATATAACATAGTTCATACATTCAAAAGCTTAATATACTAGTAAAATATATAATTATATATTCTATATACCTACCATAACATGTTTACTATTTAAATGAAATCTACATCGCATCTGTCTTTCGAGTCCGTGCAAAAATGCCATAGCTCTAGCAACGTCGAGGGCCAAACGCAAGGCTCGAGCTGTATCGACAACTACGCCGGTTCCACCGTGTAATAAGCGATGTAAGCTTCCTCGAGCCATGTACTGAGATACAGTGGCAAGTCTGGGAGGTTGATTTACACATCCCAGAACTGGCAAAACGTTTGGATGGGAAAAAATGCGTAATTTTGGGAATTCCTCGTTGAAATCTCGAGAAACTCGAGTTGAACACTCCTGGACAGTTAAAATTTTTGCAACAATATCGTTATTTTGCCAACGGCCTCGCCATGTTTCTCCGCTAGCTGTGACAGCCAATTGAGTGTGTAATGATAGATCAGACATGTTGATGCCTTTATATCTTGATAAAGTGGCATCTCCTAAAAATTTTAAAATTAAATTAGCTAAACATGGCAGCTTGGTGATTTTGAAATTTTACATTAATGTTTCAAAACTTACTGCTTCTAGTTTTTAAACCTAGCCAGCTTTGATCTTTGAATTGAATTTTTTTCAAATCTTGACCAAAATCAACTGCCATATCTAAAAATTATTTTCATAAAACATTAATTTTTTGTAATATTATTATAAATACTAGAAACATTTTGGCATACCATGCAATCTCTTTGCCAACCCTCCTCTACTTTTGTCCAATGGTGTATCACTATCTTTATTGGCAATTGATACTAAAGCTCCAGCTGCAACTAGGTCCTCTGCAACAGCTTCATATCCCCAAAAGCATGCATAATGTAAGGCAGTGTTGCCATGTTCATTTGTAACATTGACATCAGCTTTATGTTTAAGTAACTTTGAAAAAATTAAAAAAAATTATAATTAGTATGAATACTATATATTAGTACCATATAAAGCATTATTATTTATTTTTTACCAATTGCACTATTTCCCTATGCCCATGAGCAGAAGCTAAGTGAAGAGGTGTATCATCGCCACGATTTGTTGCATTTATGCGAGCTCCTCGACTAACAAGTAATTCTGCCAGCTTAGAGTGTCCCTCTTTACAGCACCAATGAAGTGGACTAAAGCCATGATCGTCACTAAAAAATTATAAAAGTAAAAATTATTAAATTGAACATCAGAATGATAATAACATAGATTAATTCACCATGCCTACCCTTGATTCATATCATTTTCAGTATCATCTAACCATACTCTTACTTGCATTGCATTGCCTTCTCGGCACCATTGGAAAATGTCTTCCATATTTATAGAATATGTATGTAATTTTAAAAATAAACACTTGTTGTTTATACCACTTTTTACACAAAAAACAATAGATTAAGTGATAAGCTTCAAAGTGAATTGCAGTTCTTGAATCTTGTCAGTTAAGAGAAAAAAGACCAAAATAGACTCTTAAGGGAGAAGGTTGAAAATCATAAAATAAAACGAGCCACAGCCCATTCTACATACTGGACACATACGTCAGATGCTAAATATAATCATATTCTTTAAGTTTACATTACACATAACCCCATATATTATTTATCATCAATTATTCAACTCTTATTGTAAGTTCACAATTCACGAACGATTAAATTTTTCATTTGCATAAATAAATTAGGACAATCGGCCACTCCTACGACATGTATTATGGCAATCGGCATGTAATGTCGAGTCAACGACAGTAAAAACACAACTATAAATGGAACATGCGTAGGCTCTGTTGCGCACAACGAACAGAATCAGAATGTCAGATTCTGACTTCTGTTGGTTTTTGCAGACTGCAGCGTACAGTGAGCGGAGCGAGCAGACGCCTATAAGTTTAAAATGAACACATAAAAATTGAGTAGGGACTGGGCGAGCCACATAAACCACTACATTCATTGAATTTTCAAAGAGAAATTAAAGATGGATAAAATTTAAAGATGTACATCACCGTTCAAATTTCAACAAGTGCAGTTGGCTTCTATAAGCATATAAAGAGCTACATAGCTTTATGAGACGGACTTTTTTTTGTTAAAAAATTTTATTACAAAACCCTAAAGTCCAATCATTTGAATTTTTTACACAATGAAGTTCAACTGTAACAGAAATTGTAAAAAAATTTTTGATAAAAATGTTGAAAATTATCGATTTCCATCAGAATATTTCAAAATAGAAATAGTGTGAGCTTTGTGATCGAGATTTTAGATCGCATAAGCTGTGATGAATTATTCGCTTGCAATCGCATCCTCGGATATTCTTCAAACGAGTCGTATCAAATAATATCAATCAGTGGTACAATAATCCACGAAAGTTTAGAGTTCAGAGAAAAGAGTCTTTTAACGAACTGGAAAGTGTGTTTCTTACAACCGGGTATTTGCAGCACATTGCTAATATATCATGTATAATAAAATATATACTTTGCGCTCATATGTTCGTATATGTATATAGTATCTCGCGGCTCAGTCTGCGCGCCCTCCTGCAGTGCATCATATGTGATCATAGAAAGAGCTTTATATATAGATGTGTATAAATATATAACAAACAACGATCCACATGACCAATTTTCATAAGCACTTGTTGGGATAGCTCTTCCATCGTGATATCTAAAATACTTTGATTGTTAACATCATACAAACAAATTTCGAGCTTTTAAATCAGCAGTATACTATTGTCTACAGTTGAATAATTTGACAGTTGTTAAAATAAGATGATTAATTGAGCATTTAATCTGTTTTGAATAGAGAGAGTATGAGTAAACAATAATAACAATCTGCAATCATAACTCGTTTTCCAAAGTATGCTCGACACAACAGAATGGTTAGACCATGGGTAGGATGGCTTTGTATACTTGTATTTATTGCAATGTTATTTTACTTATACTTATCCATAAATGGTAAGCCTCTATAATTATTTTCATAATTGTTTAGATTGATTAACACTATCTTTTTTTACAGCTCCTATAATAAGAAATCCTTATGCATTATCGACAAATATGCTTTCTTCCAAATCTAAAGAATCACAGAAATTCATTCATTCTCAAGAAAATCTTTTCAATTTACATCGTTCCAATAGAGATATTAAAGTAAGTATTAGGATCTTTCAAAATGATAATTTATGTATTGATACAAGCTCTTTAATTATTCATGAATTATATTTATATTGTAGGTACGAGATTGTAGTACCATTCATGTAGCTTTAGTGTGTGCTGGTTATAATTCAACTATTAGTTTTATAACAACTGTCAAATCTATTTTATTTTATCGTACAAAGCCTCTTCATTTTCATTTATTAGTCGATGATATTTCTTTGAGATCTTTGAATGTTGTGTTCAACACTTGGAATCTACCACATGGTAAAATCTATTGCACTTTAATAGATATAGTTTTAATAGATATTAATATTATTTTGGATTACAGTTACAATATCTTACTATAAAACTGAATCATGGGTATCAAAAGTTTCCTGGATCCCCAACAAACATTATTCTGGAGTTTATGGATTATTGAAATTAATTTTACCTGATTCAATCAATGAAGAAAAAGTAATAGTTTTAGATACAGATGTAACTGTACTCAATGACATATCGATTCTATGGAAATTTTTTGAACAATTCAACAATAATCAAGTTTTGGGTTTAATTGAAAATCAGAGCAATTGGTACACAAGAACATCAAAATCTGTCTTCAGTTCTCAGCCTTGGCCTGCTGTGGGTAAAGGTTTTAATACTGGTGTAATGTTAATGAATTTGCAAAAATTACGTGCAATGAAGTTCAATGAATTATGGAAAAATACAGCATCTACTGTGCTGCAATACATTCCTAAAACAAGTTTGGCAGACCAAGATATAATTAATGCTGTTATAAAAAATAATCCAAATTTAGTATTTGCCATTGATTGTACATGGAATGTACAACTAAGCGATAATGCCTTAAGTGAAACATGCTATACCAACACTGATCAAATTAATGTAAGCATTTCAAACACATTATTATAGAAATATAGTCAGATTTTTATGTAGCTTCCAGAAAATTTTTGTTATAAACTGTTTTTTTAGATTGTTCATTGGAACTCTCCAAGAAAACAAAATGTTAAAAACAAGCATGCTCAGGATTTCAGAAAAATGCATCAAATAATTTTAGAACTTGATGGAAATTTACTCAGAAGAAAACTATTTGGATGTCCTTCAAATGAAGATATAATTCAAGTATGAGCACTTTTATACTTATATCTAAAACAATTATAAAATGATGCCTTAAATTTTGTATTTTAGAGTGATGAAGACGATCCATGTTCCAAATTTAGAGAAGGAGCCAACATTATTTATCGTACACATCCTTTTTATTTTGAATTTGAATACAACATCATCAGTAATGCTGATGTAGTTTTAGCTGCGCAATGTAGTACTGATAGAATGGCACTATTAGAAGATTTATCTAAACATTGGGATGGACCAATAAGTGTTGCACTTTATTTGAGTGATGCTGATGTACAAACTTTTATAGATTTTGTACAAAATTCGGCTGAGCTTAGAAATCGAAAAAATATAGCTTATCATATTGTTTATAAAGAAGGGGTAAAACATAATATAATGATACTTTCTATGAATTTATAAAATGATATAATATTTGAATTATACTTACTTTTTTAACTCCCGTTGAAGGAATTTTATCCAGTTAATTATTTGAGGAATGTTGCCATGAAATATATGACTCAACCATTCATATTTCAATTAGATATTGACTTTTTACCTCAAATGAATTTGCATAAAATTCTAATGGATCATCTTATTCAGTACAATTTAACTGGTAATGAAAATATTGCATTTGTTGTACCTGCATTTGAAACACAACGATACAGGTATAATTAAAAGTAATATCTCAAAGGTATTATGTAAAAATAAGATTAATCATGTAGTGATTTGGAATTACTCTAGGTTTACGTTTCCTATGTCAAAAGCAGATCTTTTAAAGTATTTAGAACTTAGAATATTATATACTTTCCGTTATCATGTGTGGTATCAAGGACATGCTGCAACCAATTACAGCTTGTATCAAAATGCAACTGAGCCTTATGAAGTATCTTGGGAACCAGATTTTGAACCTTTTGTAGTTGTTCCAAAATCTGCACCAGCATATGATGTGCGTTTTTTAGGATTTGGCTGGAACAAAGTGTCATATATAACACATTTAACAGCTATAGGATATAGGTAGGTTCTTTTATAATTCTAAACAATAACTTACTTCACGATAGACTCTGAATGAACTGGATGAAAGAAAAATAAGAACAGAGTTTAGTCTGCAATGCTATAAATATAAGGCTTCTCTATTGATTACCTACAAATCTTATGAATAAATATGAATATATTAATTTAATTCATAGATACGTGGTTTTGCCAGACACCTTTATAATTCATCGACCGCACGCCCCCAGTCGAGATATAGGAAAATTTAGAACGGATGCTACTTACAGAAGGTAATAATTATTATGTTAACTAACCAAATTTTAATACAAAAATAAATAAAATTTTTTCGTAATACTTGGCAACCTTTAACGCACACATTATTATTTACAGATGTTTAAAACAACTAAAAGACATGTTTGTAAGAGATTTAATAGATCAATACGGGGACAAAGCTATCAAAAATCTAAAGATTGTTAATGCCAAAGAAAACAAGAGTGTTTCAGTTTAACTAAATATAATTTAGTCAAACGCCGTTTTATTCTATGAGACTACTTTATCTGAGTTAATAATTTTATGATAAAAGGTGCCTTTATAATTATACTAAATAAAAAGACTGTATTTCTCTAATCAATTCGAGTAATATCAATTAATGTTATTGTTATGTAAGCGTTATTCGCAAAAACAGAAATAAATATTTAATTGTTACATGAGCTACATTTGTTATTGTTCTGTAATTAGTTTAAAGCGTCGCTGTATTACTTTGAACAAAAAGTTTTACCTCTAAGATGACTGTTTTTGGAATACGTTATTTATACAAATTAAAAATTTAATACGAATGAAATTTTATTGAGCTGTTAAAATTACTATAAATACCTTCTTATACCTTACCATTAATCATTTTATTCGTTAACTGCACAATAAAAAAGCCATTGATCTTAGTTAAATTGATTTGTTCAATTATTAAAGATCCTCTCTTAAAAAATGTTCAAAGAGTTCACTTTTTCTAAATTCTAAAGGATGGTAAAAAAAATTATTATAATTGTATTTTATTCTAATGCGTGGTTACTTTCAAGAGATTTTCTTTAATAGATCTCGACTTATTTAACCCTTTTACTCTTTAAGTTAAATCAGGTACTCGATTGAAACCCATAGTCTGTCAGTTTGGATACTAAGAATACTTTATTTTGCTAAACCAATTGTACGACAAAAATTGTATCAGTTTACCGAATCGATGAGTGGCATAGATGGTATTTTCTTAAAAATATATCCTCGTAAAAAGCTATAAGTAAGGTGTCGATAGCGCATAAGCCGGATGCGGGTCAGCAAAGCAAATGATTTAACGGCAAGCCTTATTTGACAACTAAATGTGCACCATGCCTGTTTGTTCAAAACTCGCGGAGATAAACCTACGAAAAAGAGACATGTACGGGTCGTCGTATATCCCTCTTCCGTACCGATTATCCGTTTGATTTCTCTTGGAACGTGTTTTTTTTATACTTTGCGCAAATATTGCACGAGTGCGATCAGTCGTAAAATAGAAACTTACATCGATTACAATTTACGAAGCCGGCAGGCGCGACAAATGTTTATTAATACGTGTTTTACGAAAGTTTGAGCTAGCTAGCTCCTTACTTTTCCGCACTCCAGAGTTCTTGTTTCTGCATCGACGCGTGTATTTTCTGGCTGCGAGCAGTTCTCCTTTCCGTGACAAACACACAAACACACATATATATATTTTAATTTACGTGCCTCTGCGAATCTGGAACGCTTTCAGTAATTGCGCGAGTGGCGCTTACATTTTAATTAAATAATTAGAAATACGTTCTTCAAGGCAATAAATTCATATGCATCCATCCTACTTTCAAGCGAGTAATTTTAAATTAAGAATTATCAAATGTAAAACTAGCAGCAGAATCTCGGATAATTATGAGATGTTTCGTCGCCTTCTATGTAGAGAAACTGAGCTTATTTTATTGTTGCAGAAAGAAAAAAACGCGAACGAATGGTAAGCTATATCGAAGGAAGAAGAAAAAAACATCTCATCGATTCTGCTTTCTTGATGAATTATTTGACATTGACTACTCGGCATTGTGCCGAGAGCCCGTTAGGTGTTCTGGATCCATTGCGCATTGAATAATTAGCGATGCCAGGCCTGGATTGGTTGGACGTTTATTTCTTTTTTCTCGTACACGCGCGCATGTAGTTATGAGTCGGCACATAAAAGCGACGAGCCGGTGAGTCAAAGATTGATTCTCCGGTGCTGCTGGGGCTCGAGTCGCAAGCTCCGTGGACTTATCATCGGCGGCGGATAGAGCTGCAAATAGCAGTCGCATTTATGCACGAGAAAGAGCGAGCGATTGGACGTGGATTTCAATTGGAGCTGTAATCGCTCGGGCGAGAGGATGAAAGCACATATATACTACGTGTATATGTACATATACGAAGGGATCTTTGACGGCGAGATATGTGTGTCACAAGAGCAGCAATGCGAACGAAGAAGAAAAAAGAAGTGCAGAAGCCGAGCCACGAGAGTCAAAGGACGCGAGCTTTCGAATTATAAATTAAACATGCGACTGCTGCAGCCTATATGCTATTATAGCGTATATATACACACGGACGACGGAGCTTTAGCAGATTTTCGCGAGAGCCCCGGACAAAAGCTTTGTTGACCCGTTCTTAATGGAGCGCTGTATGTGCTTTTCCTCCAGTTATCTTTCTCTTCTCTTCTTTCGTCTTCCATTCCATCTTCTCTCGCTTCAAAGATTCATGTACGCGTAGTACACTTAAACTTGTATAATATATATTATAGTTCCATGGTATGCGTTTATGCGGACAGAATGGATCGACGAATAAATATCACATCCTGACACGTGCACCCACAAAAATACACGCACTGTGCGCAATAACTCGACTGAGATAGACCGACAGATTCGTTTTGCGCATAGGCGCGTTTATTAACTTTCCAACGTTTTTTTCATCCATCGTCTCTCGGGTGGTTTTGCCGAGAGAAAGGCGAACCGCTCGCGCACCCCTCGCATGTCCATCGCGCTACATTATACGCGCGTTACAGCCATCTGCGCAGCGAGCAACGTAGCTGCTTACACAGTGTAAAGTACGTATAATTGCTTTTTACGAGGCGCGCGTACCTGCACGCACCGACTTTTCAAGTATACAGACACTTTATTAGCCGGGCGCAGAAACATCTTTGCCCTGCTGCGATCGTATAACTGCAGCATGCACCCGTGCGCGCCGTGTCGTGATAGTTTTAACTGTCGCCAGGAGCTTATCCGACAAATGTTCATCTAAAAGTAAGCTCGCGCAGTTTTCTCTCCGCTCGTCTCTTTCAAGCTCCACCTTACTCTTTCAAGAGTTTACGCATAAAATAACTCCCTTCGTGATATGCAAATTTATAAATGTTTTATGAGATATATATTATTGTTTTGACTGTAGTTAGGTTCTTAAAAAAGTTACGGCTTCTCGATCATCAGATTTCAACTGATATACAATCAACGTTTTAATCAATTTTACTCCGTCGTCTTTGAGTTAATTTTAGGACTGAAAAACTTGACTACATCCAAATGAATTCAAATGTTCGAGAACCCACGTAGTGCTAAAAAAAAACTATATATAAATAATTTTTTCTATCTTGTTTACAAGTGTGTTACATGAACCGCGAAATAAAAATGAAGCCACTGGTATTACTCGCGCACACGATCAGAGAGGAACAAAAACAATTATTCACGAATTGTTTACTTGCTCGCAGATAATGCACTCGTACACACGTAAGCGCTAATGAAGCAAAGAATATAAATAAAGCTCGGAGCATTATACTTTTATCGACTTCCTGCATCCGCTCCTGCACTCGACTCCGACAACGGTCACCGAAAGAAAATAGCGCGCTGCGCTGCACCTGCACTCCAAAACTTTCCATGCGCTTGAATCGATCGGTCCGTGGATACGTATATACATGCGATAACGCTGATCAAGTGATCGGCGTTTCTCTTATTTGCATTCAAGATTTTCTATTTCGCAAACATATACTGCAGGCCAGTCGATATCATGAGCTCCGAGCTTGTGTGGCATGCATTATTCAGTGATACGTATCGCGCGCGCGCGCAGCCACCTGTCTTTCCAAACAACGTAATTGGGCATGCGAGGCAAATAGATCGTTCGTTAAAAGTTAGCTCAAGTTTTTTTTTAGGCCTCTTCGATTTTTCAACCTCTGCCCCTGTGTTCACGTGTGTGTATGTGCGTGTGTTGTATGCACTTACAGCTCCCGCTGTGGCCATGTAGCTGTAGCTCGTTTTGCCAACTTTTATCCTTATTCCTGCGCCTTTCGCACGCTTTTGCATCGTTTCATTCTCCCTTCTTGGCCTATTTTCTTTTCAGCGCAGCCCTCGTATACAGTAGTAGCGGGCAGAAGCAGAGCCAGCACCGGCACCAGTCGTGTTTCACTTTTATATTTCTCGTTTCTGTTTTCATACGCCTCGTAAAGTGGATCCTTTTCTCGCGACTTTGCGGTGAGCTGCTACGGTAGAGGCTTTTTTGCTCTTCACCCATGAACTCGGGGAAAATACTTTAGTGCTTGCTTTTTCTCGGCAACATCTTTGGATTATTTTGTGGCCTATTTTTTCTTAATTCTCGTTTAAAAATGTATATCTCTTTTAAATTCACTTAATAATATAAGAGCTATCTCTAGCTTTACAGCCTTAATAGCTAAATAATTTCATACTTTCAAGCAAGACTATTTGCAAGACATGGGGTATTTTAAATTGTACTTCAGGACGTATACTCATTACTCAATTGTAACTAATAAAATAAGAATTATTTAAAACATGAAGGTGAATCACTAACATGTGATAACGTAATTAATATGCCATTTTCATTTATACTTTAAGTGAGTTAAAAAATTTATGAGTTCATGATTCCGCGACTCTAATTTTCTTAAATTAACTTATTAATTTTTATCTTCTTTGTCATGTTTTATTATTTACTGTAGTATATTAGTAGCAACAATATTATACACGCTGAGTGGGAAAAGGACGATTGCTATGTAAGTAACATTCGTCAAATTCAATTGATTCAATTTTCTAATTTCTATACTTACTCTCATCATTATGGAAGGATGCCTTTTAAAATAAAACGATAGTATTTTGAAATTTGTCTTTTATTTGTTAGTCCATACTTAACTCCTATAATATATATTCATTTTTACATAGTATACAAACTTTGCTCTTCTCAACGTTTTGTATCAAGCTGAGAAATGTACATTGTTTACGCATAAATTAATATAATAGCGCTATGTAGATTTTTGTATTGTTACAAAGGAATATTTTTCATATGTATTTTACATCCTAATCTTAAGAGTTTTATTGTACATATTTTATTTACATCTGTTCTTTTTTGTCTATAATATAAAACTATGGTAGGCTTAAACGATACTTCATCGATGTGTTTGAGACGCTTGACACTGTTCATAACATTTTGCAGATCATAATACCATGCTGCAAAGTATTAAAGATTGTTTGATTACTCAAATTTAAAAAAAAAAAAACTTAAAAAAAAACTTTTAGCTATCTCATATGCACGATTAAAAAGTTTTTGGCGTTTATTAATTTCAAGACACAATTATTCAATTTGAGAGCAGTAACTTCGTAATATATAATTTATATATTTACTATCAATTTACTTCTTAATCATAACATTTTACATGATTGGGATATATATAAAAAGGACATGTATTTTCTGTAGTATATCTGTCTTAACATAAAAACGTACTAATATCGATTTAACATAAAAACATTCTTTCAAAGATATAAAGAAGACCAAAACGGAACTAACATTTCCTCTTTCAAACTCTGCATGAATAACTACATTGTAGAAAAACATTTTGAGAAAAATCAAGACTTCACATGAAAAATTCTATTACATTTATAATTAAACTAAAAACAACCACTGTGTTTTAAAGAAATAATAATTAGTTTCAAAAAGACTAGAATTTTTCATGGCAAGTAGTTTTGGAATATAAAGTGTAATAATTTACGGTAGACGCAAGCATAATTTAAAGACATATCGCTAACTAATAGAATAATGTTAAAAAAAATTTTTTTTGTTTAATTCACTTTTCTGACGAATTATACCGTTGAATATCCATGAATAGTATGTACGTAAAAACTAGGTTAATGAAATTACAACGGAAAATACTTAAAAAAATATAGTCATGTGAATAAATTTTCATTGTTATTCCGTTTTACATCGAATGGCGAACGTCCATTAGTTATTCATAAAAGAGATAAATTTAATTGAACATTTTTGTAATTTTTGATAATATACATTACAGTACATATTCATAACAATAATATGAATCATTTTAAAAATGTCCGATTACTTTATCTCGTGAATGGTTCAATTTTTTACAGAATAACATTATTTAGACCGATTCCAATCACACGTAAAACAGTATACAAAGTAATTTCAAATGAAATTTTCGTTAGAAGTTAAAGAATGTATTGAGCGTCTGTAGTTTAATTTTAACACGTTTGGAAAAGAAGAAAGTAGTAATTTCTGATATTTCTGGTTCGCGAATGTTTAAAATAAAATAGTATTTCTAAATTTTAGAATTACACATGTTTCTGAAATAAATTTCGTTCGAGAGTATTTTACAGAATTTCAGTTTAAAAGACAATTTGACACTAATCGTCAAAATTATTTTACGCGTTTAAAGCTCGCGTATATTTCATATAACTTCCAATGTAATGCTTTAGATTTGTTTCTGTATCTTATTTCAAAAAGTTGGTTTCATTTGTTATCTGCAGGCAAATGTTAGTTAAGCGTACACTAGTTTTTAGTAAAGAAATCATATCACTATCATTAATCAGCGCATCTTTGTTCGACAAATATGTTAGAGATATTTTTTATAATTAAAATTTAAAAAATCATTATTATATAACGCATCATCATGGCAGCATTGAGAGCAAGCTTGAAAATACTTTCAAATCTCTCGTGGAATTAAATTTAAATATACAAATTACCCGAATTAATTCACTTGTCACTATATATCCAATATACATATTTCTTTTACACTCTCCGTGTTTCTCTCCGTTCTCTCTTCATAGACCATATAATATAATATATAGTTTTATGTACGTATAAAAATGTATCTATTCGTAGTAGAAAAGCAATACTCAGTCATAAAAGCTGCAAGTCGTTCCAGTGCAAATAATATGCACGACTTATATATTGTTGATAAACGTAAACGTAAAAAAGGAACAATGAATGGGCTCTGTACGCAAAGGCAAAATTGAGTAGACGTATTTTACAATGTATACAAGACTATCCACAGTAATTATACTAGTCATCGCTTATGACTAAATAAATTGTCATATCGATTAAGAGCGCAGCCGTCAGTTAGTTGCTAACACGTCACAGTGGAAGCCCTGGGTAAGATCCAGAGAAGGAATGCGAAGGGAGGAAAGTGGGGCGACATAACATAGAGTCTGAAGTCAGCGTGTATGATGGTAAGTTCAAATGTCGAGCTGGAAAACGCACAGCGCTACAGGCCGAGCTACATTTCCCTTTGACGTTAACGTCAACATAACCGGTACAGCTCGGATCGCTGCTGTAGAAGGCACTAGCGGTCCCTTATTGCAAGTCGCGAGTTTTCCCGCGAGGCTCGGAGCACCACTTGCTCGCGATAGTTGTGTGGTTTTGGCCGGGGCGCTTCTGGATCTCATCTGCGCTCACCGACCAATCGCGATAATCATACCTGCAAGGCAAATCGTGAATTATTAGATGACTACGAGTATTGAAAGAAAATTTTTCTCAATTTGAGCAAAGCTCGCTCCGACTTACCTCTGTCCCATCTTCACCCTCGTCTTCGTACAGAGGTCCATTATTGTTTTTCTTCTTAGGCTTAGGCGGTGGCCTGGGTGGCACTTTCCGCGTTAATGTGCTCGGGCTGGAGGTGGACATGGCCGACGACGGTGGCGGTGGCGTTGCCGGGGCTGGCGATGGAATCGACCTTGGCACAGGCGACAAACGCTCCGAGTTTTGTTCCATCGAATCGTCCGTGACGAGTTTTGTCAAAGGTTGAGGCGATGCTGGTCTTTCTTGAATCACCAGAGACTGAGGCGAGGTGGCCCTTATGGGCTTTGGCCTCGCCAGTGGTACGCTGTCTCCCGTGCTAAAGCCAGGCCAGTCTGGCGCACCCTCGGGCGCTGAACGATTCAAATGCGCTTGCTGCATTAGAATCGCAGGCTTGCGAGATCTCGGGGCTCGCGGCAAAGTCAGCGTAGCAGGGTGAATGCCGGGTGTTGGCGTAGCTGGCAGAGGTCGACCACGCATCGACATCCTCGGCTCCGAAGTCTTGTTCAGTGACAGCATAGAGCTACCATCCGCCGTTGTCCGCCTTCCTAGATTATCGTACACAGGTTCCAGTGTATCTGAAAGCACACATGAACATAAATAATGAAGCTAACGACGCTAACCTTCTGAAGGCATGAGTAGTTTAAAAGTAAAATTAAATTAAGTTTTTGATTGCAATCATTATTTCATAAAATATTTAGGAAAACCAGTTGCAAGATGCGGCAAAATTCTAAAAACATTCATTCAATTTAAGGGAAGCGCAAAGCAAATCAAGCAATTAAATTTTCAATTTTGTTTTTTGAAATTTTTACTCGATTACTTGAAAATTTTTGAAGATCGCTAACAGTTATTTTTATACAGCTACTTATTGACTATAAAAATTAATTATATTTTTATTAAATTGAGACACAACGAGCCAATCAGCAGTAAAGCGTATAGCTACTCGCTGCGTCTTAAACAAACAAGAAGACTTTATAATGCCGTGGCGAGCGCCAACCAATTATAGCGCGTAAAGAAGTTTCACTCGGATAAAAAGAATACAAACCTGCGTGGGTGGGTGATACAGGAGTTGGACTGCTCCAACTCGGTGCTCTCGGTCTTCGTGGTATGGTGACGAATCCGTGTCGAGGCATCGACGGGTAAAACTGCTGACCCATGCTGTAAGGCGTGGCGGAGCTCGAGCGCACGGGGTGCGGCAGCGTCTTGAAGGCGAGAGGCGCGTAGAGCGGCGAGGCCGGCGTACCGTTGAGACTGCCGGGCGTCAAGAGCCGCGAGTGATCCGGCGCCGTCGAAGCTTGGCTCGTCGGCGAGGCATTCCTGCCTCCCGGGAACGCCAACAGATCCGGGGGATATTGCCGATGAGGAGTAGCCGTGCGCGAGGGCACGACAACGTGGCCCATGGCCGAGCTGATGCTGCCGCTCAGTAGAAGCGGATCGAGCTCGGCACGGCTGTGCTCCTGATCGCGCAGACCGTTGGCCAGCACACCGAGCACACTGCCTATGCTGCCGTCGGCGTTGAGCAGCGCGCGGCGCGCACTGGACAGTGGGCCGCCGCCGCCGCCGCCGCCGCCTGGTTCGCGTTCCGCTCGATACTCGCCGTAGACGGAGTCGCTGTCGAGGAGCGTGCGATTGAGCTCGGTCATCTCGGTACCGTGCTGAGTCATCGAGGGCGCCTCGTAACGACGCGGTGGCTTGGTCACCGGATTAATCGCGGTGATCAAGGACTTCTCCTGCTCGCCGAGACCGTGATGGTCGAGCGAGGCGGCTTCTTGGGCTTTGTCGGGGCCCGGGCCGCGACGGCGACGTTTGCAATAGCAGAAGCACAAGCTCATGGCCGCTAGCAGGAAGATCAGAGCCGCCAGGCCGAGACCAAGAGCCAGCGGCAGGCCCGACAGTCCTCGGCGCGTGGTGCTCGGCCCGTTGAGCAGCAGATCCGCCGAGAGGCTGAGATTGGCGGCGACGCTGCCGGCGGCGTTGCTCGCTTGGCACACGTACTCTCCTCGGTCGGCGCCGCTGGGGTCGGTGATGCTGAGATTGGCCCAGCCGTCGCGCTGATACAGCATGTAGGGCGAGCGGCCGACGTGGCCCTGATCGCCGCCCATGGCGGGCCGCCTGCTGCCGTTGAGGAAGACTCGGTCGTGCAGAGACCAGGTCGGCTGGGCTTGGGGCTCGCCCGTCGCCCGGCACCAGAGCTCGGCTTGGCCCGAGGGCGTCTGGCGCCAGCCCAACTGATCGATGTCCGGCGGACAGGCAAAGTCCTCGGAGGCGAGCTCGTCCCAGGCTTTGCCGGCGATCGTGGCCGGCGAGGCGCACACCGTCGGCCTCGAGTAGGCGTTCTGCTGTATCGCCCAGTCGCGGAAGCTTCTCAGTTTGCAGTCGCAGTTCCAGGGGTTGCGGCCCAGCTCGAGGCTGGCGAGCTTGCCGAGATCCTCGAAGCTCTGCATCGACAGAGTGGTGAGATTGTTGCCGTCGAAGGCCAGCGTGTGCAACGATCTGAGCTGTCGAAAGCTCGTGGGTCCGATCGTCTTCAGCTGGTTGTCGCGCAGCTCGACCTTTTGCAAATAGGCCAGATTGTGGAACATGTCGTCTTCGAGCTTCTCCAAGCGATTCTGATTGAGAAGCAGCACGCGCAGTCTGACCGTGTCGTTGAACGTGCCTGGTTTCAGTTGACGAATGTGATTCTGGGACAAGTCGATCTCGATGACGATGAGCAAGCCCTTGAAGGCCTCGCTCGACACGTAATTGATTTTGCAGTCGCGCAGCACGAGCTTCTGCAGGTTGTCCAGCTCGACCCGAGTGAAGGCCTGATCCGGCAGTTGGGCTATATTGTTACCCGTCAGATCGAGGTGTTGGAAGCTCTTCAGGCCCTTGGGCACGCTCGTGAGGTTCTGTTGCTTGCACTCGGCCATCCTCTTGCCGGACACCCAGATGCACTTGCAAGCGGGTACGCATTCTCCCCAATTGCTCTCGGCCACGCAGTTGCTGACCAGCAGTAGCACGAGCCACGCCCAGCTCAGACTCCGACCCATCTTCGTTTTTCTGTAAGCAATAAAATTATTTTACATTAATTTCGTGTCTAAAAAAAAATATGCTTATCTCTATATATAAATTTAATCATCGATAATTTTATGACATAGATTATATCTATTCGAACTGAATATTAAGGAGTTGGTTTTATTTGATATTTTCTAACAATTATGCTACGTAGATGTCAACAAAGTAACACAATGAGGACATTCACGTAATTTTTTAGTTATAATATCAAATGATGTCTCAGAAAACATGTTAGAGATAGACTCCTTGAAGCAGAGTGTTAACCAATTTATCATAGAAAATTAAGACATCGATGACGTGTGATCATTTAGTAAACGATAAAATTTCTTTTTGAATTATGACTCGTTCACTATTGGAAGTCCTCAGCGTTGCAAAAGCCTACAGCTAAAAAAACTCGCAACTACACAGAGGGAGGTAAAAAAAGCTCGATAAATTCCCGGAATTTTGCCTTATATAATCGATCGTCCGTGGCGAAAGAGCTCGCGAGATCGCGCAAGCGATTATGCTCGGAGGCCGTGTACATACACATACATGAGTGTACGACGACGAGGTCGGTCCTGAATTGGAACTCCGGATCGCGGGGGTTGTATCAATTTGAGGTGGAGTAGTCGTGCGTGCAGCATGCGCGCGCGACAAGCCGAGTAGCAGCGAGAGCGATCGCGTATATAGCGAGCTCTACACAGCCCCGCGCTGGGCTCGGCTAGGCCCCCGTATCTGCAATTATTCGAGTGCTTGGCAGGCGGCATTTTTCGCACGGAATTACTCGTATTGAATCGGTATGAAAGGCATAGAGAAAGAGCCGGAGAGAGCAAGCCTTTCTCTCTTTCACGAGATTAGCATATACACGAAGTAGTAGTCGACGTGTAATGGTAATAACGAGGTAGGTAGCAGCGGCCAGCCCCGGCTCGCGCGCGCGCGGGGCCAATGTTGGGAGCCGCAATTATTATTATCATGGCGCACGGTGCGGCGTGATATAAAATGAAAATAGCCGTAACTAGAGCGCGGTGATACATTGTTTCGAGGCGTAATTACAGCGCCCGACTGCTGCTGCACTGGCCAGTTCGCAGGCCGCGCTATATAGTGCGTGCACGCGCGCTGTTTAAGCAGCAATAGCAGCAGCGGAGCAGCCCTTGACTCGTCGTTTTTCGCTACCTTATTTAACGACGCGCTCTATATCGTGCCTCGAGCTGCTGCTGCTGCTGCCTCGACCACTGTGTATACACCTACACAGCCCGAGCTGGAGTTGCGACGATCGTCACTTTGGCCGAGCGGCGAAACTAGCCCCGGGCGCTTTTCACCGAGGCCTGGCCTGGTCGCCACCGTCGCCGCTTGGTGTGCATAATTGGCCCTGCGAGCATGGCTCTCGCACCTTATACACACGATATATGTATAAACGAAATAGAGCGAGCTGCCGAGTCTCGCTGCGGTGGTGAGAACATCGGGGCTGACCGTATAATCGCAACTTTGCCCAGCGAGAGACAGCTAAACCGAGCCCATAGGTAAACTCAAGTAGCCGGGAGAGAGAGAGAGCTTAGCCAGAGTGTAACCCGCTCGATTAAGCTGCTGCTGAAGCAGTTGCGCATCTTTGCGCAGTAGTCGCGCAACACGATGGTACGGCGCCATCGGCGTTTATTTCGACTTTACGCGCGCATAATGAGTTATTTATTAGCTCGAAACGTACCCATTAGTCGTCTTGGCTCTCTCGAGTTAATGTCGCTCGAACTTATATATAAGTCGAGTGCGCGCGCTCGAGAAAAAATTGCGAGTAAAAAAATTACTCGACTCGCCGTAGTGGCTCCAAAAGCGACAAGAAATTTCGGCCAAATGTCTTTGCGATTGCTTCGAACGTAAGATGACGACGACGGCTTACAGCAGCAGCAGCATGACACAGCCGCGTACATCTCATGAGTCACCGCAGTGCGGAGAGAATGCGTCGTCGACGACGACGATGCTGCCTGCTAGACCTTTATACGTGTGCATGCAGCGCGAGGGTACTCTACATGTACTATGGCGGCGCGAAGACGGCAGCGCGATTTTATCGATTCGTCAGGCTTATTTGACTTGTAAATATAGGGGCCACGTGCGCAGCAAGTCTACGTTCGGCCGCGCGTACGCGCTTCTCTCTCTCTCTCTCTTCCTCTTTCCCTTTAGCCCGACACCTCTCTACACTATACAGATTTCTCTCTGTATATTCTACTGCGCTATATATACACGTAGCCGCGATGATGCCTCCATTCAAATTCAAAACTCGCTCGTTTGGTATCGTGTATACGTTTTCTCCTCCCTTTCTGCCCCCTCCGATTTGGCACCTTTACGCGCGCGAGCGTGATATGCTTGCGAGCCCTCTCGCACGACGCTCATAGATATAATAATAGCATAATAGCAGCGGCTCTCGTGTAACTTTGGCCCCTGCACGCATCATCGTATACGCGATTTATGTCTCTCAATTTCAATCAAATCACCGCTCACGTATCATTCCGCGCACGAGGAGCTGACCAACCGCAGCCCTTGCTTGAAACAATTTCACGGCTCTTATTCGGCTGCATCTCTTCCGCGTGTGTGCAGTCTAAATTCGGCCGTATACGGTCGCGCGCATCGAAAAGCCTCGGGGCGCGCACCAACTTCCAACATCGTCCCGCAGATGTCACGCGTATGTATGGTTGTGCGAATTCAGCTGCGTACGTAACATCTAAAAATCGAAGCTCTGGCGGCGCAGAGCTAGTAAGGTGCCAACAAGGCCTAGGACGTGACTGTAAAACCCCGCGTCATAATCCATCGAGTTCATCGTACTTGTGCGGCGCAATCGTTTGTAATTGCCTCTTTTTTCACACACACCCACACACACTCGCGAGTCGCGGCGTGTCACGCGACATCCGCACGACAATAATGAAAGTTGCAGGAGAGCCAAATGATCGTTTAGACGAGTGCGATAAACTGCAGAGACAATGAAAACCCAATTTACCTTGGGAGGTGTAATGAAACTTTAGTGTGTGTGCGTCTGTATGCGCGTAATCCATATACTGTCCCGACGAAAGTAATGTGCTTTTCTTTCATATAAACTCCCTGTGTGTATACTTTTCTATTGTAAGGGATTATATGCCGAGGACGTGCTGAAAATTGCTGCCAAGAGCCAAAATAAAGTTGCAAGAAGAAGGAAAGCGTCGTCGTCGTCGTCGTCGTCGTCGTCGTACTCGTCGTTCGAGTCTCGAGTCGCGCGTCGTCCTCCTCTTGTCCCAGGAGAGCGCTTTTTCAGTTAAAATTCATACGTCCTGAGCTCATAAATCAAGCGGGGCTGGCGTATACGACGAGTCGATTGCTCTATTTCCCTCTTGCTCTTCTTTTTTTTCTCTCCCTCTACGCCTTCTTCTCTTGTGTTTTAGTGCGCGCCCTGCAACTTTAAGCTTTTTCTCAGCGGATGCCAGGCAACGCGCCCGCCGCGCCGTGCCCTCTTTCTCGCGCTAAAGTCTCGTGTATGCTATGCACAAGAGCTCTGCTGCTGTGCCATGAGGCATGCACACGCACTCGGGGCGACGTCGAACGATAACTCCCCGAAACTCGAGGTGCATGTCGCTGCGCCGCAGAAGTAGTAGCAGCAGCAGCGCCAGTGGTGCAGTAGTAGTGTCGAGGGGGTCTTTCTCTCTCACAAACACACACATACACGCGCATACACACATGGACACAAGCTGTGCGCATCATTTTCATAAAATCATCGTCGATCATGCACGAACTCACGAAGAAGTTGGCGACAGGGTGCACATGTGAGCTAGTTAGCTGCACACGAGTTTTCGAGCTGGCGGACGGTCGATGGGCGACACGCCGATTACCATTTCTAATCCGGACCGATGCACGAGTTCCGCTTTCATTTTCGCCCCCGTATAAATTATGTAGACGAAACCTGATGAATATTGCTTTCAGCGCTATGATACGTGTTCATCTATTCGATGCCTTACAACTGACACTTTATTACGAGCACCAATTTTAATTACGATTGTTGGAATAGCGAAGCGAGAATTTTATTCTTCGCCGTGATAGAATATATTTTTTCCCCCTTTTTACTTCATTTTAAAGTTATCGAACGTACTATCCGGGCTCTGACTTAATTCAAGAATTTGCAAGTCAGCGAGACGTGTAAGGGCTTGCTACATCTGTAAACTTGCCGCAGCTGTTATTCGCCGAAGGTTTCAGTTGAACGGAATAAAATGGCATAGCTGGTACGTGTCGCAGTTAAAAGTAGGAAAAAGAAAAAGGGCTCAGGTTGGGGCGGGTGGGCAGGTAACTTTATAGATAGAGAGAGAGAGTGAGTGAGTGAGCTCCCTGCGTGATTTTCCACTAGTTCAAGATTACGGCTCAATCAAAGCTCCGCGCAGCTACGTATATATAAATATGATAATACGACCGAATAAAGTTTCAAGTGACCAAGTTCAGCGCGCGCGCCGAGTATGTTGAGGACTTTTATCGTCAGTCATAGAGCCGTTAAAAAGTCCGCGAACTCGCTCCATTTTTAATGAAGTGCCTCTCTCTCTTTCTCCCTGAATCCGAGCCCGATCGACGGCGGCGGCGCACTTGGACGGGTGAATGGAGCCAAACAAGAAGTGCCATGAATTTGAGAGAAGCGCAGTAGCGCGCGCGTAAGGCAAAATCGAGGTCAAATAGTTCGAAATTGCTCTGATTAAGAGTCGTAAAAAACTTCACCGACACTTTTTATTCTCTCGCAGTAGCGAGAGCAGCTCCTTGAAATCCTTGAATCGTCAATCTGTTGCTGTATACTCTCCAATTATTTAGCGTCGAACAAGTATTGTTACTTTGCGCCGCTTTCACGCTCAAGGCATAATAATAAAGTCTCTTTGATTGTTTTTCTTTGTAGATCGATCTATCGGCAGCAGCAGCTTCTTACGCGAGCGGCGCTTTCATGCACCACTCAAGTTAATTTTTTGCAAAAGTTTTTCATTCCCTCGATTTTTTCACCGTGAAATCTCTCCTCGGTG